GTTTTTTTTCGCCTAGAGCCCGATGGGTACTTCCGACGCCGTTGAACATTCATTAGCCAGTGGGGTGGATATGAGAGCCAGCGAAGTTCGCGTAGCTGATGATTATACCAAACGTAAACATGTCCTGAGGGTATCATCAGTAAATCCTTGTCGCTCGGAGTTCCTCCTTCAAGCCGAAAATACAGAAGAATTTACTGACTGGTTCAAGGCTTTGCAAGAACAAATGGCTACTAATACCGAGGCTGAAGCRAAATTCGTAAGTATCTCTAATTATTTTTCTTATCAACGATTAGATAATGCATTACGAAATTGTATTGTGCTGTCATGAACACTGGAAACGGAATATCAAAAACTCTTTTGTGTTGTGTTTCTGAAGAGGTACATTTCCTGTAGATAATTAGTGTTACACTTTCATTTTTGACCATAATGAATAATTTTATTAGTTGTGAGGCAATCAGAATTTTTAAGTAGTGTTTCGTGTAACCCTCTCATTTTTTTAATGATTAATTTATTTTTTAAGTAATCATATAAATTTCACGCGATGAGTGTCACGTTATTAAGCAAATTCCGTCATTATCTTAGTCTGATAAGGTTGAGTACACTGCAACTTTTATTGCAGGACCCATCATCCGGCAGTAAACAACAAGCAGTACCACAGACCGTCCCAGCATCCACTTCCATCCTAGTCCAAGGTAACAGCCGACTCTCTCCACAACCCACCAAATGCAAATCCTCCACCTCCCGTAACCGTTCCCCAACCGGTCAATCGCCCGTGAGTAAAAACCGTAAGCCATCTCAAGTCGCCGACCCTTCTACCAGCCCCAAAGTAAAGACATGGCGTGGCCGAGTGGCTCAACAATTCCGGCGTATGCAAGGTGCGAGTTCGCCGAGTTCCCCAACTGCTCCGGAAGGTTCAACTTTCGGGATTCCCATYGAACAATGCCTCACGTCTTCGACGAATCCCTACGTACCGAAATTTGTAGAAGTATGTACGGACATTGTCGATGCTCACGGATTACAAACAGTGGGAATATACCGAGTGCCCGGAAATAACGCTTCAATTGTAGCGTTGATCGATGAGATCAATAGGAATTACGAAGAAGTGCCTGTGGATGATCCTCGATGGAACGACTTACATGTAGTTAGCAGTCTTTTAAAAGCTTATTTCAGGAAAATTCCTGATTCTTTAGTGACTAGTGCGTTGTATCCGAGTTTCATCAAAGCCGACAAGATCGAGAATCCTGAAGCGAGAATGAGAGAATTGAAGAGGCTAGTCAAGAGTTTGCCGCCTCACAATTACCACACGCTGAAACATATAATGTTCCATTTGAAGAAAGTTATGGAAAATTCTGAAGTCAATAAAATGGAAGCGAAGAATTTAGCAATTGTTTTTGGGCCAAATATTGTTAGGCCCGAAGACGACAATATGGAAACGATGGTCAGTAACATGACTCATCAGTACAAAATAGTGGAAACTCTTCTGACAAGTGCCGAGTGGTTCTTTTCGGATGAAGACTCCGATGAAGTGCCTGTTCCCGCCGTTATAACCGAAGCACAGGATGAGCCTGAACCCCCTAGTAGTCAAGCTTTGTTACTAGAAAATATTAGCAAATATGAAGGTTGTTTTTTCGATATTTGTCTCGCTTTTGTTAATAATTCGGTTACAGCTTTAAAGGATAAGCAAAAGAATGGTGCATTGCTTTCATCGATCATTTCGGCGGCGCAGCGAAAAGTGAAAAGAAAATCTACCAAAGGTTCAGGTTCCTTAAACGAAAGCAAAGAAGTAACGTCTCCGAACGGAACTGGGGGCTACTATTCGGACACGTTCTCACAATCTGATCTCAAAAATGTAAGCATTGTTCGCAAAATTGAAACATTTCTTTTAATCGAATTTTTCCAGAGTACAATTGACGATAAGAGTAACGTCATACCCACGACAGTGAGCGAAATTGAAAAGAGTTGCAAACAGCCTGCAAAAGTGCCTTGGTTTAATTATTCGACTGATAAAGAAGATTTTCACAGACGTATTGAAAACTTTAAACAGGAGACTGAAGCCATGTTACAAATGCCGCGACATTTGGAGATTTCGGTAACCAACATCGGTAAGAGTATTAAATTGGTGTTTTAACTGCAGTAACTCAAAAATTTGCAGCCTCTAAAAGTACTTCGGCTAGTAACGTAAATCAAACACCTCGATTATCTACAAGAACGGTCGATTCTCATTTACTTAAAACAAACAGTGCTTCCAATGTATTTACAAGAACTATCAACATGGACAATAGACACAGTTTGGACAATTCGTACCAAGTGCAATACAATATAAACAATAGTGATTTCGGTGGTAGTTTACGCGACACGAACAGAAACGAGAGTGTTAATACGCAAAACGGTCGGTTGGTGCGTCGTGGCAGTTCCGTCGAAAACGTCAATTCCAGTTCTATGGACTTGAACGCGAATGGGGCCATGAAGAAAGTCAAATACGAAAATGAGGTAAATATTTTGTCGATTTAACTGTGGGCAATTTTCAATTTGTGAGTTTTAGGGGGACGTTGGTGATCGAGTGGGCTCATTGGATTCTCTCCACAAAGAGGTGTCCATAGATGACGGTAAGTGTAACAAGTGATTAACTTGAACCTAGTCCGTTGTGTAGAAAGTAATTTTGGGTGTGTTAGGGTGTAGTGCACCTCTGCCGCCTGTTAGAGGGTGGCGGCCGGTCAGGCCACCAACTACTGCACCACCACAACGTCCCCCACGTACCCGACACTTGTACAACAGATTGTGAGGTAGAAACCGTGCTCTCCAAAGACAAGCTTCACGCACCCCTTTTTTAGCTTAGCGTAACACGTGATTGATGCACAGACGCCTCGATTAATTCTACTCCATCTTGTTTTTTTCCCCTCATCAATAACAAATTTAAATGCTTTCAATGTTTCTTAAGGTGTAGACATGACGCAAACATTTTGTATGCGGTTTTTCGCTACTAATAATTACACCACAATAAAATACTGAATTGGGTTTTTCGTTTTAGATTCTGATCTGGTGACGACTTTRACCAACCTCTACGATAAGAAATTGATGGAGAAGAAGAACTCTCGTGAAAATCTCCTCTCAGGGGAGGACTTCCCATACGCAGACGAATCACCGGAGAAAACTCATCGAATCATCGCGCATTCCCTTTCTGACAAAGAAAACGTGCCAAATTTAGGCGACCGCTACCGAAATCCGAGCTTACACAAGAACCAATTTAGCAACAAAGCAAATTTTTTACACTGGGACGACTTTAAACTGAAAGAATCGAAAAAGGAGACAGAGAAAGACGAAGATTCGACATTGGCATCTGACGTACCTGACAAGGAGAAGCACATATCAAACAAACATATGAACAACAAAAAAAATCCGGTGCCAAATTTGAAACTAAGACGTTCTGAGTCGCTAAACAAACCAGAACGAACAGTCTCGCCTCTGAACAACAAGCTGAAAAGGTCGGAAAGTTTAAGCAAGGCCGGAGATAAACTCAAACGTTCGGACAGTTTGACCAAAACAGAAAAAACCGAAAGCAATTTAAACAAAAGGCGGGAATTGGCAACTTCTGTGCGACGTTCCAAAGATGTGACCAAGTTGAAAAGGAAAAATGGGATGCCGGATAGGTCGATAAAAAGACGTCACACTGTTGGAGGGACGAAGGATCCGGACAAAGTCACGTGGCTCGACAACAAGTACCAAGAAGAAGTAACTTCCAACAAGGAAAATAAAGAGAAAAATCTTCGCACCAGTTCCCCGGACTTGAGTTCAACGAGACGGGAAAGGTTGTTCTTCGAAATAAATTTAATAGGGCCCGAAAATATGGTCGTCGCGTTAAAACAACATTTGATGGGTGCTCGGCCCCAGAGTTTTCCCGATACCGCTGTTTTCAAAGTACCACTCGAATCTCACGTTTAAGTCGTCGCGTGCCTTAGGAAGTAGACTGAGCTGATGATGTGCAATACGCTTGTGCATTGATAATCATTATTTATTTAAGGTAAATTCATGCATAGGATGGATGGAAGTTGCTTTCGTTTCGTGTGAAAGTAGGCTAAGGTTTTGTTTTTTGATCTTTGAAAAAGACGGAAATGTAATTTCTAATATTATGACGGCCGAGTTTTTATTTCTACAGCATTTATTTGTTGTTACTTTTAAGTTTTTGCTCCTTTAAATGTATGTGATTCTAAAAGTAATGAATTAATTCAATTCCAAGGTAAAGCAATTAAATTTGTGATAAAACTGTAGTGATTTAGGCTTGTACATAACTGTGTTGTTTTATTCTTATGTTTAGTTCTTTATGCTTTGATTACCACGTTTTTCATCTTTTATTATTTCTTTCTTCAAACAGTATTATTGAATACTGTGCCAAAATAATATATTATCTAGCTACTTTTTGTAAATATTGTTTATTTGCTTGTGAATTGGTGTATAAAGGTCATTTATAGGCTGAGCATATTCTTGCCTGTTATTGTTTTTTATAGTTTTAAGTACAAATTGTATGTGTTGTTGTATTTTGTGAAAATTGTAAATATAATTTTCAGTTTATCCAGTTCACAGTAGTTTTTATTCCTACACCCAATTCGACGACTTGAATACAATGAGAAGCATCATGAAGACTTAAAAGTTGATAATGAATTACCTCGAAATTTCCATTTTGTGCTTTCAACTCATTTTCGTCCCAAGCCCTCTAGATAAGCTCTGATAAAAAGCCTCAATTACATTCTCATAAAAACCGATGATTTTGTTAATCAATCCAGGAACACAACTGTGATAAGCGTCTCTTATCACCCCAATTACGAACTGTAAATCAGGTCCTAATCTTTTTAGTCGTTTTAGAAATCGATGTCTAAAAAAGAACAAGCTTGGTCTTTTTGAATGGGCTCGTAATATTTATACCAAATACAATCCCTTGAAATAATCGATTTTCAACCTACGTCCGCCTTCGCAACGACGCCGAAGCGCCGGCGCCCAGCGTCATCTCCAACGGACGACTTAATACCACAATCGGGAAAATTTAGAGGGCTAGGTGACGGCGTCCCCGTTATTGCCCACCAAATTCACTACCAATTTCTTGTTGTTTTGTGATTAGGCGATTAAAGGGAGCGATGCAGTGAACGGCTTCGGCTTGCACACCAGGTGAGTCGATTTTCGCTTATTTTGCGACGTTTCAATCACTCCATTAGGAATATGTCAGCACCCACCTGTTTTCGATTTATGGAATGTTTTTTTCCGAACAAGACCCGTTTCTGGTATTGAATGTTGTTCTTGCACACTGTTCCACCACCATGTGCTAGCCGCTTATAAAGCGGTATGAAATTTGCATATTTTTTGTGATGCCACCCCCATCCGCGTTCAATTTAATTTAAGTAAATCCTTAGACAAACAAAGTTGAAGGGTCGGCGGAAATCGTCTTGACTTAATTTGATCCACGCAATTAGTGGTTTCATTTGCTTTTATATAAATTGTTTTAACTGAAAGAAGGAGACGTATCCGGAATCACAGTTGAGTTTTAATGAAATAAAAGGATTGATTGCATTGATTTCGTTATCCTGCTGAAAAGCGCAAAGGTCGAATATTTCACCAATGAAAGCGATGTGATTGACAAATTATTCTTTTTTTATCACACTTGTAAAACCTTCGATAGCTCAGTTGGTAGAGCGGTGGACTGTAGAGGTGCTTCTTGTAGACATCCATAGGTCGCTGGTTCAAATCCGGCTCGAAGGAAATCATTTTTATATCGGTGTTAAATTGACCAAATTTGGTCAATCTTTGGCTTGGTGAAAGTCGAAAGTAACACCTTCGATAGCTCAGTTGGTAGAGCGGTGGACTGTAGAGGAACACCTTGTGGAAATCCATAGGTCGCTGGTTCAAATCCGGCTCGAAGGAATAATTTTTTATAAATAAATAAATTTCAAATTTGTCTCATTAAAAATGTCATAATCTGTGATTAAGAGTATCACAACCTTCGATAGCTCAGTTGGTAGAGCGGTGGACTGTAGAGGAACACCTTGTGGAAATCCATAGGTCGCTGGTTCAAATCCGGCTCGAAGGAATAATTTTTTTAAATAAATATATTTCAAATTTATCTCATTAAAAAATGTCACAATCTGTGATTAAGAGTATCACAACCTTCGATAGCTCAGTTGGTAGAGCGGTGGACTGTAGAGGAACACCTTGTGGACATCCATAGGTCGCTGGTTCAAATCCGGCTCGAAGGATATATTTTTTGGATATTAAAATTTAATTAAGCGTAATTGAACCAAATTTAAGAAAAATGTCACGAAATATGAGTAAGGCGTTTGACAGCTGAATTGGTAGAGCAGTGGACTGTGGAGGAACTCCTTCTGGATATTCAAAGGGCGCTAGTTGAAATGTTCGGTTTGAAAAAAATGATTTTTTATATCGGTGTTAAGTAGATCAAATTTGGTCAATCTTTGGCTTGGTGAAAGTCGAAAGCAACACCTTCGATAGCTCAGTTGGTAGAGCGGTGGACTGTAGAGGAACTCTTTGTGGAAATCCATAGGTCGCTGGTTCAAATCCGGCTCGAAGGAATACGTTTTTGCATTTTTATAAAAAAAATTGGCAAAAAATAACAATTTAGCTATAAAAGTTCAAATCGAAGGATCTTTTATTTTGTCAGAAAAAATCTTCAAATTGTACACGAAAACTTTTCGTGCGAAAAATTTTAATTAGCAACTGTAAAAGCGCTCCATAGCATGTAAAATGAATATCAATTAGGCGGCCTACGCGACAACAGATATTTTAGCGTTTTTTGATAACACCGATAGACATTTAGCTGTATGTCGTGACCAAACAAATAATATTATGTGACATGATTGTAGTCCAATATTACAAGAGATGTGATGTTATTTTATTTTTGTGTTACGTGTTTTTAGTATCAAAAGATCAATATCACTGGAAAAGCTACCACCCAAAGCTCTTAATAGGTAGAAACACTAATTTAACATCCGAATAGCACATTTTGCAAATTGTTTTTCCGAAAGTCCCGGCTTGGTAAACAAATCAATAAAAATGACACTAATTTATTCTAGAAAATTAGTAATTGTCTTACCGAAAAAAACTTTAAACATCAGTGCTTAGAAATCAAATTATAGGCTTTTACGCTAACATATCGATCATTGGAAGAGGGTAACTTCAAAGAACCAGATGTCGGCATACATTTTTCAAGTGACTTTTAATGGCAATTACTCTTTGATCAGTTGGAAGGATGTTCGAATTTTCTGCCGACTCAAAAACTCCACCACTCCAACTCAACTATCAAATTGTTAATCACTTTCCAAAAGCGATTAATTCTGATAACAATTCAGAAATAATTCCAAAGTAATAACAGGCCCGCTTTCTGTCCCTGTACAGTGAGATAGTTCGTCGTTAATTAGCATACCATCGTCGAGCTACAAAGCTCTTCATCTGCAGGCTCTCGTTAATTCCATCTAGTGTCACTAGTTAGTAATCTAATAATGTTTTCTCATTAAAGGCCATGCTGTGGCCGGGCGTACCGTTACGGATCGCTCTTCTACTCCTGATTGCCACCGTTGGCCCACCGGGAGCTCGTTCCGAAGGGAACGTGGGTAAGTAACGTCCTTAATCTAATAGTACATGGCAAAAACCACGTTCAAGATTCATCATCAACCACGCTCAGAGCGTGGTGAATATCAAACGTGACATAAAGTGGATTAGCATTTTAAGTTTGCTAGAAAACCGTTTTTGTCTAAATTAGAATTTATGAAATATTCATAGCAAATAGCAGTAAAAATCCTGACGCGGTTTAATTGAAACGTCTTATCACTATCATAAATCTCACCCCCGTGGATTAATCAAACTGGAAAAATTGTACTGTTAACGCATTGCTGTTATTCCAACATTTGTTCCCTTTTTAAACACTAATCGATATATTGATTGTTCCACCTGCTGACGTAGGTGGCATCCAACAAAGAATTGACGCAGTTTTCAACTTTGTTGCCATCTTAAGACTAATTTAGCCAAAAATTCCAAATTCTGTATTGTATGTTTGAATTTTACATTTTGCCAAATGCATCAAATCGCTAAATCCCAGTTTTGCCCGCCCACGCATCAGCGTCGTGACGTCAGTTTCCAGCCGTTTTAGCGTAGGTACACTGATCAATGAATCTCAACCCCATTCATGAAAATTGCCGAATTGGAACTGTCGTTGTTTTGGAGACACATGACCGGAATTCCGAACRATACTGACCCATCTTTTTTTCAGGCTGTTTGTTTAGCGAACGATTGTGTTTGGAGGACGAATGGTGCTTTGATGGTAAGCATTAGAAAAGGTCTCGACTATCTGACTGGAATTAAAATTTCAGATTACGCTTTTGGTCGATGTTTACCGCCAGCTTCGGATGTTGACGAGGACGACTTGTATAGGTTGAATTAGAGCAAACCTTTATATTTTTTTCTATTGATGTGTTTTAGATACAATTTGGAGCGAGAAGTTTTGCACCAAATAAGTGGAGAATTGCGTCGATTGTTTGCTTTGGGATATCGATGGAGTCACGGTTACACGCAATGTCGCTTACAGGCGATGTTATATGCCACCAAGCACGAGTAAGTTACAACTTATGTCTGAAAATAGTTTTGATTGTTTTCTTTATTTAGTGTATCGTTCGAGAACAATGCTTGCTCCCATTTAGTCGACCAAGACTTAGAAGGAGCTTTGAAAGCTCTAGAAGAGCAAGATCCATTAGATCCGAGAGAAATGGCCATTGTCAAATACACTCCTAGTATTGAAAATCCACATGCTGACTTTGCTGATGAAGTTTATTACCCACCAGTAGACGAAACGCCTCAGCAAGCTCTCCGAGAAAAAATTCTCGCACCAAATGCCATAGATCGTAAGTCTTACTTTCTCCATAGTTATTTAATCTAACATATAATCAGTTTACGACATGGAGGACCCTTACGCACAAGTCATTAAACGAACATGGATACCACAAATGCATCGACGTTCTCTTCCTGCTTCAGACTATTTTACTGAAAACTACAACACACCTAGCGATTTCAGGGCAGGGAGAGAATCTAGAGACGACCTCGAGTTTCTTCCATCTGAAAACGAAATGACAGTAAATGACCTTCGCCAAATGTATCCTCTTATCAGATATCTGAACCAAATGAAGTTAAGTCCGGAAGAAATCCAAGACACTCTCACCCCCGAAGAATACGATAAACTTCTCCAGTTGTTAGCACAAATTGAAGCAACTGATCCGAATGAAGAAGAAATCGAAACTGAAGAAGTCGACCCTTTCGAACGATTCACTCTAGAATACAACACTCCGGACAGTTTCCGCGCCGGCTGGGAATCCCGTGATACTCTAGGGTACAATGACGAAATCCCAGAATCACGAATTTATTTCGACGAGAACGACGAACCGAGCGAGGAATATGGTAGTGGCTACAATATAATCCCGGGCGATGCTTTTAGAGAATTGAAAAATAGATTTGAAGACAATAATTTTAATACAAAGGAAATTTTCAGAGAATTACAGCATAAACATCGCTCGCAAAACACTCCGGGTGTTTACACAGAGGGAGGAGTTGTGTACGCCCCTCGTTCCAATGATGACGATGAGCAAAATCTTGAAGAAATTTTAACCAAATACAATTTGGGGTTTAAACGACCCGAAAGACTCGATGTGAAAAAGCCGGGGCCACCATTCGACGCACAAATTCTCGATGGGAAAAGAGCAGTGCCCAATCGACACCAAAGTTTCCAATCAGCTTTTACAACACCGAAAAAAGAAGCCGAAAGTAACGAAGTGGTGCCTCAAGAATCTTACATTGTTGACACGGATTACGTTTACGTCGAATTTGAAAATGAGTGAGTTTTGTAAAATAAAATAACGTTTTAAATTAAGATAACACTTGTCTSCTTCACAAATCTCATTGTTTACAGTATAGTTTCAAGACTTTGTTTTCAGTGTCTATAAGTGGGCRGAAGGTAAACAATTGATCGGAAACATTTCTGATCTTCTGGGACTAGAGCGATCAGCTTTTAGTCATGGACGGTAAGTTGGGAACTTAATTTGGTGCAAAGCTAATTTTGTTCCTTGTAGCGTGGACCATAATGAGGTTACTTTCAAAGTAGAACCAAACAACAAGGGTTGGAATTCAACACAAGTGGCCGAACAAATTGGTACGTCTTTCAAATGCGACTTGTCTTATTTTTGTTTTTATATTTTGTTTGTAGGTAAAATCAAGGAAATTCTTAGAGACGCTACAGGTATTGTAATTACGGCAGCTGGAATTGGTGACAAGGTAAGTGCCAGACTTCCAGTCTTCCGATAATAGTTTGAAAACTTTGTAGACTAAAATGCGAACTGTTGTGTCTGCCCCAATATACGACAACGAATTTTACATCGTGATCTTTATGGTTTGCGGAGTACTAGGAGCTATGATTATTGCAGCATCAMTTCTGATCTTGATCCGACGACATTTGAAGTCTAAGGAAAAGTTACAAGGATTATCCCGTCCAGACACTGAGGCTAGTAAAGATTATCAGGATTTGTGTCGAGCGCGAATGGCTGCAAAAGGACAACCCGTTGGCGATACGGTCCATGGAAGAATTACATCTCTATCTCGCGAATCCGAACAAAGTCCCAGCAGTCGCTCAAGCACATCTTCTTGGAGTGAAGAGCCGGCTTTGCACAATATGGATATTTCAACCGGTCATATGGTTCTCAGTTACATGGAAGACCACTTGAAGAATAAGGACCGCCTAGAGCAGGAATGGGTGGCTCTTTGCGCCTACGTAGCTGAACCTTGCGATACAACCATTGCTACGAAAAAAGAAAACGTGGAGAAGAACCGTTACCCCGACATCATCCCCTACGACCACTCTCGCGTCGTCCTCAATGAATTATCCAATGCTTCAGGATCCGACTATATCAACGCTTCTAGTATCACGGACCACGACCCTCGCAACCCCGCCTACATCGCGACGCAAGGACCGCTCCCGCTCACCGCTCCGGACTTTTGGCAGCTGATTTGGGAGCAAGGCGCCGTCGTGATCGTAATGTTGACGCGGTTGACGGAGGGCGGCGCCGCTATGTGCCACCGCTACTGGCCCGAAGAGGGCTCCGAGCTCTACCACATCTACGAGGTGCACCTTGTGAGCGAGCACATCTGGTGCGACGATTACCTCGTCCGGTCCTTCTACTTGAAAAACGTGAAAACCGGCGAGACGCGCACAGTGACTCAGTTCCACTTCTTGTCCTGGCCGGAATCCGGCGTCCCGGCGTCCACTAAAGCCCTTTTGGAGTTCCGCAGAAAGGTCAACAAGTCGTACAGAGGCCGATCGTGTCCCATTGTGGTGCACTGCAGCGACGGTGCCGGAAGAACGGGCACCTACTGCTTGATCGATATGGTGTTGAGTAGGATGGCAAAGGGCGCCAAGGAGATTGATATTGCGGCTACTTTGGAACATCTGCGGGATCAAAGACCGAAAATGGTTGCTACTAAACAACAATTTGAGTTTGTTTTAACAGCTGTTGCTGAAGAAGTCCACGCCATCTTGAAAGCTTTGCCACCGCAACCTTCGCCCGCTCAGGCTGACAAAGACAAACAATAAACCAATCTGATAAAGAGCAACTCCCAACAACCAGCCCTGTTCGGGGTTACTCGGCTTTTCTGTTTCGGACCTGACGTATTCTTCATCTTCACACACACACACGTACCTTGCTCTTTGTTTCACCTCCGTAATTACATATCCATGGGTTAAGCAGATCCTCCGATTTATTTTTCTCACGTAAAAACACGACTATATTAATGTTACTTAATATGTTACAACTTACATAATTATCTCTAAAGATATATATTTTGTGTATTAATGTATCAACGTAGTTGCATATTTTTCTTATTTTGTGAAATATTTCAGTCAATTCGAAAGGATAACGTGTTTCCAATCACAAGCCTACAAGTAGCAACACTTTTGATTTTTATCTAGTGGAGGAATTACAAGTATTAATATTTTTGGTCACCAGCCTCCCAAAAATGTTGATACTGATGACTTTTTTCTTATTTTCATTTCTCTTGATTAAACTCGACGCTTACCATAATATAATTCAGACTGAAGTTAATGAGAAATGTAAACTTTATTTATTTTTTATGAAATTCTATTAAAATGATAAAGAAAAGGCTGAGGCGAGGGAAATTCCTTTTTATCCAATTTTATCACTACGGGTACGTCCCTGGTCCCAGCTGCTATATTATGACGAGATATGACTAAAACTTAAAACGATTAGACTTTTAAGAGAATTTAATGATACAAAGGTATAATTACAAATGTTCTATGCTATATTGTCAACTAACTATATTTTGTCAGATAATGTTATGTATTGAAATCATTAATGTACTGAATTTATCTGAATTAGAATAGTATAATGTAAACTAAGTGTATGTATACAGCATACTAGTTGTTATTTTGTCTTTTAATCCTGCCCCAATTTCCTGTACATAAACCTGACTTTGGACCTGTTATTAAATCCTGGGAAATCCTGATTTATTTTTATTAAATTATTCTTTCCATTCGCGTTATCATGAAACCAGGACTAAGCCATCTCAAACTATTCAAAATTTAATCATGTTAAATTTCACAATCCCTTTTTAATAACAATTTCAGCAAATGTGGACTTTAAGTAATAGGTAACCGAATTGTCTACAATTTTCACTTCATTACGGCGGGTGGATTGCTGGTTGCAGAAAACAACTCAAGCTACGGTCGATAGATTCTTGGCACAAACACTTACGCGAGTTTAATTAAAATAACTAATTAACACACAATTTTTTACCCATTATTAACCCATATTTAAAATGCCACCCTCACCTAATTTTACTATAAATAACCTTGTCATAAGACACATCGACACGCTATGAATAATGCTAACATTAATTTTTAATTAGTGCCCCACTTTTATAAGTGTTAACGTAAATAAGGCAAGTTTTCGTTCCACAGTCATCACATTAAAATCAGATAATTTTCTTTTTTCCTTTGTAAACCCTTTCAAGAATATTATACTTCCATGGAAGACTGCTCACCCTCTTTTTTTCTAATAAACACGCGTCTATAAAAAGTGGCCGGTTTACATTACATCTGTATACAAGAACCCCCAAAAATAAGCGTCGCATGTCTCCATTCAAACATTTTTATTACAGATCAAAGCTCCGAATCGTTGARATAATAATCACAAAATTCTTGCCAAAATCGTATTTTTGAGGCGCAACCTTCCACCGTACATTTGTTATGAAGCGACGATTCGGATCAAACTCGGCCTTGGTTTGTTACCGTGCATATGTGCATACATTATGAGAATAATAGTCGTCTTATTTCGCTTAGTTTATTTAACAATGACTGTGTACAGATATTAATCGTAGGGTCGGTACTTTAGACCTAATCCGGTCCCGGATTTACCGTCCCAAATTTCCTCCGGGTCCTCTTTATAATCCTTCAGATGTAGATAAACAAACTCGTTCACTCTTGATTAGATATCTAACTTTTAAATGGACCTCGAAGATTTTTTTCTGATCAATTGTGACTTTTTGGGAGTTGTGGGTACAAAACAATGATAGTAGCGATTATAAAATAAGCGCTACGTAACCATGGCAATCTGAGAGAGCAAGAGCAGCCTCCGTAAGCACACTGCGAGTGCGTCAAAGCAGCGATTTGAGCCAAAGAGTACACACACCCTTCCAGTTTTACATCCACTGTAGAAAGCAGTGAGCTTGTCCGCTTTAATTGTAAGTGTTTTGTTTTCTGTTTTGAGTGAATAAGTTTCCCAAATCAGTGGATCGTAATAGAACCGTCCACAAAATGACACCAGTTATAAACTGTAAGTTAAAAATACACGCGGAAGACGGATTAATTTTAGGCGCGCAATTTTCAATTTTTGCGCAAAAAGCTCTTTGTTCGCTTTGGCAAGAAGAGGGTAGGGGGGAGGAAAGGAATTATACACAAACGCATACTTTGTTAGTTTTTAACCGGGAACATGTGTCTCCAACATGAGATTTCGGCGTGTTTCTCCTCCACCGGAAGTGAATTAACGACAGGCTTCCTCTTGGGGTTTTTCAACCCCAATCGATGCACTTTACAATCCGTAATTCATTATTCACGGCAATTGTGCTTCAATTAAACAAATTTTCTCTTGAGGTTTCCGAACAATCGAACCACTTCCGTTTCGTTAAGGTCGTGAGAAACTGTTAAATCATCCAAAAAAACTCACGTTACTCATCACTGCTACAATTCCGCCAATGATTTATTACGACTTGGTCCTTCAAAATTCCTCCGACCAGACGCGGGTCGAGTTTTTGTCCGTACTCCCAAAACTCGAGAGCAACGAACTCACATTCGGGGGTGGTCGACGACCCCTTTTTTGATCCACTTTTGAAAATTTTCGATTTTCACCTCGACGAGATAAGTTTCCCGGGCAATGCCACGCCCTTTGGTTCATTCTCCTGCGGGACCCGGAACACCGTACATCAGCAGGATTACATTTGCTACAGATCTGTTCTGCTGCCGGATTAAACGCATCAAATGCAGCGCCGGTTTTTGGCATATTTTGCGCGTTAAAACTCAGAATTTATTATACACAAATAGATTTAATGGAGTTGGCACTTGAGAAGACCTAGACGCGAAAACGTAACCTTGAAGACCATCACATGGTCGGGTTAAGAGGCGATTTATTTTATTGATCTATATAAAAATTCCAGGTTTATTATGTCCGGTCTTCTCCAAACCGAGCCATAAATCGAGGAGTAGAAAGAGAAATGTTCCAATACCTTCATAAAACATCGATTTGAATAGAATAAACATAAGATTACTCTTCCATATCACTAAGGCTAACGCGAATTTGGGGTCAATATTATTGAAATCGCAAAATTTCTATTCCAAACTTTTGCTTTCTCTATACAAAAATGCACGAAAGGTAAAATTCTACCAGAATCACCCACAGGTGGGTGTCACCATGTAAATTTCGAATTACCATTTCGATCGTCGTTCCACCTTGTTTTACATTTCCCTCTGACGTTAACACACCTGTACAAATTAATAGTTCACTTTAATTACGACGTAATGTACCCAGAACCCAGCCTTTTAAATTATTAAAAGTTAATTAATCCTGTCAAGGACCCGCAGTCTGCTTATAGACGTAACTCTATCCGCCGGTTTATTTCGGGCTTGCAATTGGTTTCAATTTTTGGTTTACGAGTGCGTTGCCATTGACATCTGTTTAATTTTACAGTCTTCAACTTCGTTTTGCATCGATTCTTGACCTGGCGCATCCACCAATTTTCCGATGCTGCATCTCTGAATAATTCACGCGGTCAGAAATTCCATTACTGGAACCCATAATTTATTAAACCGCGACGGATGAGTTATTTCAAACCCCACTCGCTTCAAGAAAAACTTTTACTTTTGCAGAAAACCCCGAGCAACGAGAGTGTGAACCGCGATGGCKTGACCTAAGTGCTTCTGTCTAATTGTCGTGAAGTGTTGAGACGTTTTGATTATGGAGAGCAATTCAGTGTCGCCCATGCCGGACATGGCGCCCATGGCAGAATTCGACAAAACCCCTCCGACGCCTCCAGAGGATACTCTTCCGATGGACGACCTACCGCCACCGCCGACTACAGTCACCGTCCAAGAAGAAAAGGAAAAGGAAGCGTGAGTAAAATTCCGTGCGAAATGGGTCACAGATGAATAAAATATAACAATACCGGCGATAGACCGATCACTTCATTATTTATCAGACAATATCCACGTCATTCGGAATCTCTAAAGTAWTTTTTTACGTTTCACTTGATAAGAATGCAAGCGATGCGTGCCGACTTTCACCCTCCGATGAGAATTTTAATCCATTTAATCMAGGTTACGATCCCGAGGGGTGACATCTGTGCACACGCAGTGATATTCCCGTGTCGCGCAACAACCCCCTTGCCACTCATTCCAGGCAATTAAATTGATTGAAGCGACTTGTTAGTCACTCTTTTCCAGGTAATGGTTTGTTTTTATTGACGTCCTTGGTTACATTAAAGTCAGTGGGGCAACATCCTCTTTGATATCTTACACTTCCGGTTTCTCTTTCAACGATTCTAAAATCCCGCCTTACAAACCTCATCGTAACCCGAGCTTTTGCATTCAGTCTCCAATATTTTAAAAGAAAATAAAGGACGCACTGTTTTGCGTTTTATGTGAAGGTCGATTACCTACTACAATAGGGTTTTTGTCAATCAAGTCGACGCAGTTTATTGAACTTGGTAAAGTAAATTATGATTAAAAAGAAAAATGGAAACGCCCCCAAATCATTAAATTGGATATGCTTGGAAAAACATGTTCATAATTTATTATTTTATTATTTTTATCACAGCAAATTCGATACATCCAACACATACGTATGTGTATAATGTGTTGCCTACAAGACAAGGGCAACGTATTGATATTTCATTAATTGGTTAATACTTTGGGAAAAGTGATCGGTTAGCAATGTCAATAAGCCCTGAATTATCCTATAATGGCTCGCTGACCGTGAGCGGTGCAGCAAACTCCCCAATTACCATATAAAAGTGGCTGATTGTTCTTCCTCATTCCCTCTATTGTCTACATCCTATATCTCCCACATCAGCTCACGTGACACTCTCCCGAGATTCCATCATATCGTCTAGTCACTTGTTATGAAAAGCCCTTTTTCACAGCACATCTAGCAGATGTCGCCATTCAAACAAAACAGAAAAATCTACTCTAGCATAACCGCGCCAGCTCTCGCGCAGTCCCGCTCTAAACTCAAAAGCAGCAGCAAAGTGGGTTTCTTCGCTCTGCCCTCTTCGTCTTCATTTTATTTAGTTCGCTTTCGGTCGTTGTGCGTGGTGTATGTGCGCATGTTGTAACTACATGTAAACAAAGTGYACGTTTGAAAATTTCTCGAATTTGATTTTTGAAAAACTTGGAACCATGGCGAAGAATAAGATGCACACGTAAGTGGTACCTCGAAGGAACGCTTAGAACCGGCTTCCATCGCCCAAAGCGTCTCCGGACATTTAAACCCGTTCGTCTACAAAAACTTCCAACACTAGTAAAATATTTGTACTGGGCCATAAATTTTTTAAGAATGTTTATGTAAACTTTTATTAGCTTTGCACTCTTAATCGTGTCAAACGCTTTTTGACGTATTGCGATTTTTTGGCGATGCTCCATTTGGCAGGGGAAGTACAGACGCGCGATAGTCGCATGAAGGGAAACCCGCGAATTTTTTCCTATAYTGTTGTAACAGTAAAACATCGCCGTTTCTCATCATGGACCTCTTTAATCGCCTTTTAATTACAAGCACAAGTTTTTGTCATAAACGAGTCCACTATCTGATAGCATCTGTTTGCAAGAGCGTTAATAAATATTACGAGTGTGTATACAATATACATCCAGTGTAAATTTACACCTGTTAAACAAATTAGCTCTATCAATTGCGGGAGATTTTTGTGAAGCAACGAGGTCGTGTCCTATTCCCCCTAAAGACGAGATTTATCTTTCCTCCTTTCGTTTAAAAACATTTTAACCTTGCCTGAGGTTTTATTAACAGGTTTTTATTTATTTAGAAGCAATTTTAGACTAAACAATGCGCTTTCTTGGTGTATTATGTTCACTTTAGCCCTTATGCTTTCGAGGGTGTGAGCTTTTTAATCAATTAGGGATAAGGTTTGGCTCATAACTTTCAACCCGCGTCTAAGTTATTATGTCTGTGTTGAAGATAATTAGTTGATGTGTTTAACAAGGTTGTATCCAAACGGTGATCCTTCCATTATTAGATATTACTTCACCAATTTTTTCTATTACGGTGGATACAAGGAAATTCCATTTGCTACTTTGTGTTATTAATTCGATTCGACTACGTGAAACGTGTGGAAAATAGCTGGCATTGTTCCTGCAGTACCTTATAAAAATAAACAACATTTAAAAAACGTGTAAACATTCACACATAAATAATTAAGCTTCCATTCATGTGTAAGCGCCCTTGGAACGGTATCACGTCTTTAATATTATTGATACCTTTATGACACTTATGCAACTTCAAAATAATAATTCGAGGGAAATTTTTCAACATACTAAACAGGATGTGACTAAGTACTTCTATTAAATGACTAAAAATAATTGCGCTAATTGGAGACTAAATGTGCATTATTTTATAACAACGTTAGCGGAAAACGTGAAACGCTACGACCAAATTCTTGAAGCACCATCGATAAAAAAATTAATAAGGAATGATATGTGTAATTTGGCAGCATGAATTTAAATTGCCTGCACAGTTAGTTGAATTTTTGAAGAACCTGTACCATCGATGACCTTAACGCGAAGATAGAGGGGAAATTAAGATTAACTTAAGTCAGAGGCTATTTATAATTGARAGTAGTTTAATCTACAATACAACAATGTCACCGTGTTTACCAAACACATTTTCGGTCAACGCAAACTGGAAATGCCGTTCACGTTTTGTGGTCAACCAACAACACGMGCTATATGGGTTACGAATTTTATAACAGCAATTGCAAAAATAGCAAATATTGTAACTGTTCGGCAAACCGGGTTTAGTTTAATATTAGTTTTAGGAATTAGCACGTTCTGTACTTAAAATACCGACAGAGGTATTCTTCAATGGCGAAATCTGGGCCAGATGTACCAATTTTCCCAGTTCATTAACACGGAGGTGTTTTCGAGTGATTTACACACATGTGCGAAAACTGTTTGACTTTATGTTGAAATAATCAAACAATACGAATTTTATTAATACCGTGATTAGTCACTGCAATAAATGTAATTAAGCAAAATGGTGGATTAAATCAAGGTCGAATTGTTGCGAACTGCAGGTGTCTACGTGTTTTTCCGGAAAATTTTGCAAATTTGGCGGTTTGTTTACTCCATTGATGCTCCATTGACACCAAGAATGTTGCGTTAAGCGGACTTGATCTAGTTATCTTCTAAAGTTACATCTTCTATTATGTAAATTCTCTTTACTCAAGCATTCATTCACCATGATAATGTCTACACCGATTCAACAACAACTAAAATAGCCTTCAATTATTCGGTTGGTTTTTTCCCTACACAATGTCGTTATTGTGGTCTACTTATCAATATTTCAAAAAATATAGACAGTTCAACGACAGAAGTGACAAATGCACTATAGGAATAGGTCATTGAATTCATTTTTTCTAAATTTTATAACGGGAGTGTGCATATTCATTGTAACATTTGAGTAAAAATGAAAACACAGGTGCTAAAAATATCCTCATTACTTACCTGCGTTCCGATTAATATTCCTTTGTTTGTAGTTGGAAAAAATGAATCGGGGATACAATGCAACGACACCCACCAGGTAACGGAAGATTATGCCATTTCCTAAGAGTCGTCTTATTTATTCAGGTCTGAAGGAGTTTAATGTCTATGCAATTCTCTCCTCATTTACGACTGATCATTACGCAACCACTAATGACAGTCATGTCTTGCTTAAACAACCCACCCATTAATTGAAATTAGATAAAGCACTTGGAATTGCTAATGACCAGACTCAATATCTTCTCGGTAATTCAATATGTGTGTTTTCGGATCTTAATTATCTTCTTCAAATGTTGCCATTCCAATTTTAGAATTATTCGCTCTGAAGAGAGCAAACTATTTCGGTCAAATCTCCCAAGTCTGACAGGTGTATACTCTGTTACCGTTACGCTATTGTATTACGCTGCGAGAAAAAGTAAAAACAAGAAATTGGTGCAGTTTTTGTTACAGTGTGGCCAACTTTTACTTTTTTCCATAATTAATGATTCAAATTTCCCGATATTGAATAATCTTGAATAGAACTGGTTTAGAGTAAGAGTCGTATCTGATTTCACCACACATCTTGAATCAAAACACCTGCGTTGTAGCGTCCCTTTTGATGGTTTTCAAGTCATTATTTGATTTACGGCCACGTTCCTTATAATCTTGGGTAACTCGGTTCAAATCGAGTATTGGGTGTATCGCGATTACAATTTAGAAAGTAGAATCATTGCCTCGTTAACATTTAGGATTTGTCAGAGAAAAGCTTCGGAATCGGGAAGAAGCATGAAATTTTTATGATTAGTGCTATGGGAGCCTGTCGTGGGCGGCTTACATCTGTTAGATGTGAGCGAATGCAATATTAAACAGCTGTGATAGCTGGGAATTGCAACGGTGATAAATGGCTCTGCCACTAACTAAATAATTCGCAATGAATGAATAAATGGTCCATTGTAAATGAACGTGTGARAGGGCGCGATATTACTCCATCGCGTTGATGAACGTCACGCACGAAACCCTTGAAAGAACGGCAGAAAGTCTGAAAAACTGAAATGAATGGTCGAAGACGTTGCACAAGATTCGGGTCGACGACCGACTGCTTCTTCACACTATGCCGGACGAAGTAGGTCTCTGCGACTCTTTTTGGGAAAATCATTCGATTTCCATTAGCGTTGCGTGAATTATACGTTTGTTAATAGCTCAAAGAAACCGACACAAAGATCACTAAATCGGTCTGTGTAGGAGTAGGAGGGACGTGTTTTCACTGCAAATACTGCATCAAAGTTCAAATCGAATTTGTACTTTTCAAACATTTGCAATCATCTCCTTTTTCTTCGACCTTTCTTTGCGAGTAACAAATACCAGCAGGAGAAATAGAAAGTCGCTGGAGGGGTGCACGACGTAATCTCGACTGTAAAATGTACTTTTTGCAAGGATCAGAATCCTCGCTCTAGAAATTTTTCTTTGTAATGTAAATAAATAATAATTGCCTTGACTCGGTTTAAAATTATAGAAAAAGTTTGATTTTTGTATGTGTGGGGAGAAAGCGCCCAAGTCAAGCGTTATAGAACAAGTGAAAACATAAAAATTAAAAACCAAGCATCGAAAAATCACAATGCAAGTGAAACGTTTTAACTTTTTACTCCGACAGATGTGCAGCACGATTCTCACAATCGACTCAAAGCATGTTACTTGGTCATTTCATCTTTTGTTACTTTCATGAAAGGACCTGATTTGTGACTTAATTGGTGAAACTTATGGAGTTTTGCTTGTAGACTTTCTCGCTTGAATAGCAAACAATGACTTCCGTATCGATCTGTTTTACACTAGTTGCTATGATCATTTATATGTTTATAGGAGACGATGTTATCGCGTTATAACGCGGTGTTAGCAGACACTTTTGATCACGAACTTGAACTTGCCGACTAATAAACAACTCATATTTCGGTAGCTGATTGATTCGTGTTTTCCAGACACCGGCACTACGAGGAAGAGAATGAATGGGGCTGCGGAAGCTGGCTAGAATACGCCTTGGTGATGATTTTGGCCTGCATACTCCTCCTAGCCTCGCTAGCTTTGACTCTATACTGGGTGATCAAACATCGAGGAGGTTTCGCATGGCGAGACGACCCCATCAAACAGTTTAACTTTCATCCGGTCCTCATGGTGGCCGGCTTCATTACATTCAGTGGATTCTGTGAGTAAATCGATCAAGCGAATCGAAGAAGTAGACCAAACGTGAATTTCTCTCGGTACTCATTACATTTAACAGTAGTTTAGCGGAAGACAACCAAATCGGTGATTTAGATCCGTTTGCGGATTCCTTACCAAGCCTCAAATTGTTGTCAAGGCTGAAATTTTAATAGCCTAGCGCGGATGCTATCAATTACTAGGTCGACGACCATTCTAACTAACATCTTTGATTTTTGCAGCCATTCTCTTGTACAGAATATGTCGGTGTTGTCGAAGAATCTACGTCAAACTCCTCCACACCGTGTTTCACGCTTTAGCGATTCCCTGCGTCGCCGTCGGTTTCTTGACGGTTTTGGATTCACACAATCTCGCCCAACCACCCATCCCCAACTTCTATTCCCTTCACAGCTGGATTGGATTGGTAACAATGGGCCTGTTCGCTATACAGGTGAGTATTTTCATTAATTAGCCGTCGTGAAATGTTAACAAGCGGCAGGTGAACGATAATAAAAGGGCGTGTTCGACTCGGATCAAAAGAACAGTTACTTCAAGGTACTGTTCAACCTCCGGGCTCTTACGAAATCGTGTCATAAGCGGTGAGATGGAAAATTAACTTAGATTAACAGAAAAGCTCCTTTTCGGTTCCTGAAACCGTTCTATCTCGTGACGCCGTAGATTATAACGAGCGCAATTGGACAATTGTTATCAATTTACTCATGTGGGTGCACAATTTTTTGAACAACAATATCATTCATGCGCTCCTTCCGCATCACTGACGTTCTAATCCAATTAATTGGATATGTAAAGGAGACAAAACCGTGTTTTTAACGTTAATTGACCTAGATGTGTTACTGGCGCCTCTAATTGAGTTTTCTTTGTTTTCCGTAGTTCGTCGTGGGTTTCTTCAGTTTTCTCATCCTATTATGTTGTGAAGGGGCGACTGCCGGTTTTCGAGCGTCTCTGGTTCCTATCCATGCTTCGTTCGGCCTAACGACGTTCATGTTAGCCATTGCGGCGTGTCTGACTGGACTTACTGAGAAAGTGTTCTTTTCGTTGTCGTAAGTATCTTGATGAAAATTACAAGAGAGCAAGCATGTTTTTGAATGCAAACATCCTAAGAATGCAAAATGTCAAGGATTTCAATCTATAATCAAGCTGAAGGAAAAGAATAGGTGCCGTTCTGACTAATGCATTTTCTTTTTTCTTATTTAGATCGTACTATACCACATTCCCTCCAGAAGGAAATGTTGTAAATGCCTTAGGAATGGTCCTTGTGGCGCTAGCTATTGTTACAGGATATATCCTGCAGAGAGAGGAGTTTCGATTCCGGGCGCACATCCTGATCCGTTCCGGCGACCTATAGTTTTCGCATGATTGAAATTTTTTAGTGATAATGTTTTTTATACTGTTTTTATAAAAATTGTATTTATGATCCAGTACAACACTAACAATTTCCTGCATGCTCTCTCTTTCTTTTTGCATGATGCTTGAACAGCCCGAGTTCTGGCGCATTGTAAATAAACCAAAATTGTTCACTACTAACAATTTCAGGGATGATTACGTAAAGAGTCCGTTGGAAGCTGGGGAAGAAGGGATAGTAGTGAACACTATTGCGATGGTGCTGGTGGCACTTGGTATCTTAGTATCTTTTGCTGTTCGTAGTCCGACACTTCGTGGTGATACAAAGGTGTGTGTTACTGAGAGATTGTAGGACAGTGCGCTTTCAAGCGCCAAAGTCTCGGATGTGAACGCCTCTCAACAACCCGAACGTTTCTAACACCAACTAAAGGATTCTCAAACATGATTTTGCATGTGTAAATTGTGTTTGTTTTGGTGTTCTAATTCGGATCATTTTTTTCATAAAAAAATATGCCAAAATAGAAGTCAGCATTACTAAATAGCATCGTAGTGTAGCTAATCATCGGGAGATCGAACACATCGCATTGTGCTCCTTCTCTTGTTTTTAATTTTCTCATTATCTTTAAATATTAACCAGTCTATTAACATTGTACAGAAACGAAAATTTGTTAACACGAAAGCTCAAGACCCACTACATGTATTATAATCAAATACTCATAGCTGTGTGTGCTATTCTATTAAGACTATAACTATAATAGAGCATTTTATAAATATTTAAGGATTTGTTGAGATATTTATATTACGTTTTATAGAATAATGTAGAATGTTTGTTGTCGTAGCTCTGTTTCTAAAAGAAAACGAGAAGCAATCTGTTTCCTGTTTCATAACGTAACGAAATTTGATGTTCAGCTAAATAAATTAGAGGAAATTAAATTAAATTAGTGTTCAAGATTTGTAAATGTTAACTTCCAATTCCGTATAATAGAAAAAAGTACAATTTCTTTAATGGACCAATAGGAATTATAAAACGCGTTCATACAATGAAAATTTGTTGTTTCTTCTATATTTGTTATATTTATATTTTTATTCCAGTTTATTGAGTAATATCATAGAATTAATATATGACTTGCAAGATAAAGTATGTGTACAATTTATTATTTATAAGTTTTAATAAATGTATCAAAATGAAATCAGTTGTTTCTTTTAATTTCCAATCCACCGTAAAAACATATCAAGCTTTCTGCACCCAGCCTTGACCCACCGACTTATTAGTTTACTGTTGCTGCATTGATATTATTGCTTCAATTATATTTTAAAATCGATAGCAATTCATTGCAAACATTATTACTTTCTATTTCCGCGTTAAATCTGCTATAATGTCATAAACTACCAATAAAAGAAACTACATCAGTTGAAGAGTACCTCTATTAAGAGAAAGTTTGCAATAAAAAATAAATTTTAAGTGAAAACTACACCATTCTTAAAAAATAATAAACAACAATAAAGACAATAACCAGAAATTGAAATTAATCTTCCTGATCTATCTACACAGTAATTAAAAAAATTCAATGAAAAGCGTGAAACCACTTGTTTTGATAATTACTAAGTAACCACTATAAATTGAAAAAATCAAAAATACTCTTAATAAATGTTGAAAAACAAAATAAATAAAAAATTTACAACACTTTTCCAAATCAATAGTTCGAGGAAATGGTTATAAACATGTGAAAATATTTTTTGTTTAAAGTCGATTTATAGAATGTGTTTGTTCAACCTTGTGGTTGTTGCATTTAAAGCAGAGTGGACTTTTATATGTTTATTTTAGAATCTAAATACATATTAAACTTAAACTAACTTAAACTTAGTACCACCTCTTCGTTGAGGGCATTATCGGTTGTTGCTGATTTTGGAAAAAAATATTACGTTTTTTTGGGATAAAAAGAAAGTAGACTTTGTCTGGGGCTTCTTAAGTTAGTTTGGTGACTTTGAGAAGGATACTAAAATATATCATCTCAATGATTATATTTTTTATATATCATGTAAACTCCATTAGAAAAAATGGCAATGCTGGAGTATTTGAAACGTTTGTACCAATGTATCTATGAATGTACTCGTATGTATAAACCAACCAAAACAAAAGCTTATTGTAGCACTATTGAAAGTCCTTTTTTTAATTCAATTCAATAATAAAGAATATTCATAATTTAATTAAGAATATTCTCAATAAAAATGAAAATATATAAAAAGTAAAAAAAAACTAAACTAGAACATTAAAACTACGCCATGATACTTTAAAACAACCATTTAAACAATAAAATCGCCCCATGATTATTTTTAGGTTTAGTTATCATAATTTCTTGTTTGGGTTGCATAATTGCTAAAGTACTAACAAACCAAAGCTCGAAACTTGCAAATTTAATTGAAAACAGATTGTGTTTTGTTTATTGTGGGCACTAGAAACTACCCATCACGTTTCTAATCTCAGCAAAGAATTGGAAAAGGTCAAAAAAAGAAGCATAAAAAAGTCAAATATGATTTGTTTTGTTAAAGAAGTAGTGCCGAAACATCGTAATGAATAGTTATTCGAGAAAAAGTCAAAGAAGCGGAAAAAGGAGAAAAAGAACATTTTAAATAGGTAACACTGAAGTTGAAGTTCATTAATGAGTCTGAAAAACACGAAACACAGAAGAAAAAAGACGCAGAATAATTCAATCTACTACAATTCAAAAAGTCAGAATTGATAAGAGAGAAAACTTAAAAAATACGCTTAACTTTAAAAAAAAAAGGGAGATTAAAGCAGAATTGGCGTTGCAAGAAAAAGCTTTAAATTATTTATCCAAGTGGAAACATAACTGTAAAGTATGGAAATTTAAGAAATTTGAAAAATGTAATTTTTAGAAGATACAGTTGCGGTCAATGCATAGTGGCCATTTAATTTATTGCAAAGTTGGCAGCCCCAAGGTTTATGTCATGTTGGCATGAAGACTGAAACTATTCTAACCGACTTTTTCAGAATTGTTATTTTTGATAGATATGTCCCTACAAAAAACAATTGGATATTTCAAGTCAGATTTACACAACTCAATTTTTACAAATTTACACAGGGAAGTGGCCACTATGAAGCAATCAAACGTCAGGTTATCTGATCACGTGACCAAATTAAACCAATCAGATACTTAGATTAATTTTTAATTCGCCTTCTTTAAACCGACCCCTAGAGTTCCTACATTAGTTTTATTTTCTCAAAACAGGTCAAAACTAACAAATAAGTACATACATTAATAAAGCTTCGTTTTCAACACTTATTTATTCATGATTGTTTTATATTGCACCTGATGTTCGTACATGGCTAGAAACACTTTATATTTCTTATTATGGTAATCCGTAACTGAAGAATTGGGTGATACGACTTTTCCGTTACCACCCATTGATTTTATAGCTGTGCTCATATCGGGGAAATACTTAGCAGCACAGGCGCCTAATATTGCTGAACCTAACAAAACTGACTCAATTTCTTCTGGGCATACAACTGGGAGGTTGACCACATCGGCCTGAGTTTGAGTAAACAAAAGATTTTTACTTAAACCGCCACAAATTAGAATCGATTTGATGGAATGACCTGATTTTATTAACGATTCAAGGATGTGGCGAGTGCCGTACTAAAAACATAATTCGAGAAGTGAAGAATAATGGGAAGATTTGATTTAGTACCGCTAAAGCTTGAACAGTGGCTAAATATAATAGAGCTAAATTTTCCTCATCTTCTGCCAAAGTAAGACCACAAATCTACAAAAATAAATTAAGTTGTAAGAAAACACTTGTTGGAGTTACTAACAGCCCCCTTTAGCGTTGGATCCGCTATCGGTGACCGATTTCCGTGAAAATCAGGCCAGACATGAAGGTCTTTCGTCAAAAACGCAACATTATCTAAATTTGCCTTTTTGGCCAAATCCTTTAAAAGATTGCTCAAGTAGATTTGGATGTGCCTAAAACTTCCAATTATATTTCAATCGCAGGACCACATGTGGTACTAACATTTCTCCGATTTTCCCTTTAATAGTAGAAGTGGCTGGATGCGAATCTATCACATGGTCTAGCAATTTTCCCGTAGCGCTTTGTCCCCCTTCATTTAACCACATCCCTGGCACCATTGCGCTAAAATAAGGCCCCCAAACACCTGGCGTAAAGACCGGTTTGTGGGACACAGCCATATGACAAGTTGAAGTACCACAAATCAAACCTTGACAAAAATTTTAATACGTTATACAGAACTTTGTGAAAATGTCATTACTTAGTCTTGTACTGAAATCGGGATTCACTCCAGCGCGGCACCCCACAAGCCCTAAACCGCCGGCATGTGCGTCAATAATTGAAGTACCAACAGGAGTACCAACTTTGAGTCTTAATTCTTTGGCCGCCCGTTGGCACAAGCCCTGACCAACTGGAGATCCCGGTGATAGGACTGTAGCCCCGATTTTGCGCCAGTTATCCTCCTGTAAATCCCCCAAACCGATTTCTTGAAAATAGCTCGAGTTCCAACCAGCTTTGCCATCCTCGGTTATCTCATAAGTCCACTTACAGACTAACGAACAAAGAGAGCGAGACTCGCAATTTGTTGCTTTCCACGTGAGAAAATCAGGCAAGTCGAAAAAAAGACCGGCTTTATTCCACTGTTTCTGAAGGTTGTTTTTAAGCCAAAGTAGTTTTGGAGTTTCCATTTCGAGCGAGATTTTCCCTCCAACGTACCTAAGAACAGAATGATTGAGTTTGTTGATGTTGGCCGCTTCGTCCGAAGCGCGATGGTCCAGCCACAAAATTATGTTTTGTTGGTCATTGCCACTAGGGCTCACACTTAGGGGATTCCCCGACTTGTCTAAAGCTACAAGCGAACAAGTCGCGTCAAATCCCAAGCCCTTGACATCGTCCGGGTTGACCCCTTCGGTCACTTTCTACAACCAATACTTAACCAAGTGTTCAACAGTGCTAAGTCTTACCTTAATGCACGTCACACAAGCATTCCAGATATCTTCCGACGATTGCTCATAAAAATCCTGTTGCGGATTCCACGTTTGAGTCTTTTGAACCGCAGTTTTAACAATTTTGCCATTATCAGTGACTAAGGCGGCTCGTGCACTACCTGTCCCCACATCAACACCAATAAAATATGCATTCGACATGACTGATTCAATACGAGTAACCTTGTCAAGGTCTTTTTAGTTATTGAAGAAAGTTTGGTGAGTGGGAGAGAGGTCGGTTTTGATAGCCTTTCATCATTACATTGATAAGAGCAAATTTGGACCGAATTGTAAATGGTGTACACAAAAAATACAAAAAATTATCAGTGGAAGCGAAGTAGAGTTTTAATATTGCTTGCTCACCTATTACTCTTATCAGTGATAAAAATGGATTAATTAATATTTAGTGCAATGTGCGTTATCAAAACATTTTTTTTATTATAATTGTTGAAAAATCTGTTTTTGAAAAACATTTATTTATTTTATTTTACAAAATAAAAAAAATGTTTTTTTTTTATTATTTTTTAAATTTTGATTTTCATAGAGGTCGCCACCTGTCATGTTTATTGTTTGAGGTTATGTAAATGCAACAATTTTCGATAATTAATGATAATTGACTGAAATGGTGCGCCACAAAAACAGGTTTGCTAATTTGCGTTACATAGAGTCAAAATTTAATCATTTTTTTTCAGATACATAATAATTGAAGTCCTCGAGGACTCCCATAAACCTTCAGACTCTTTTAAAATCACTCAAAACCACTTATACCGTGGCATTATAAGCTCGGTTCAAAAATTACATGGGGATTTTGGGGTGGCCGCGTGTACGGCCGGTTTTGTCTTAAGATATTGTAATGAAAAAACTAGAATTGCAATAATGAGGTGTAGACATGGCCCCCATAAGCTGGTGGCTAGTAGCTTACCAATTCTTAGAACAGTTGGAAACAATGAGGTTTACGTTAATACTTTGTATATAGGGGCGACTATGAAACATTGTTTTAACTTTATACTAAGATATCAGCAGAAGAAATTTGATGAGTTTTGTGTTGGGCTGAAGACTCAAGAGGAAAAGGAAGAGTTGAAGAAGGAGATCATGCATTTGGAGCCGCTTCTGAAAATGTAATCACAAGTTATGGAGTCTTTTTGTATATACGTTCGTTCCTTTGAATAATAAAAAAATTAACATGTGCTGTTTTACTGGTTGCATAACCTTCAGGCGACAGCTTAAAAGCATTTGCTTGCAAGAAATTATTAGTCATAATTATCATGATCTGTCTTTCAGTTAAATGAGTTTTCATTACATTATCACTACTAGAAATAAAAAAAAGTCAAGTAAGTAAGTAAATCGTATTCCGGTTATTTTTGGAAAAAGTCGCGTGTAAAAACCCGTTGTCCTCTTGCAACCTTTCCAAAGTGCCATTCTGCATATATATTACAGATAATCTTCATTTTTTTCAATTCCTGTATGTTCCGTTATTTGAACTCATTAATTACGGGACAAGTTCAAGCCACGAACGGTCAAAGCTTTGCATTTCAAGACATTTCGAATTGTCCACTCCACATTCAAACTCCCTTCCTCCAATGACCGCAAGTCTTCCGCAAACAACATGCAGAACTCGTCTGCTATTTTCCCACGTTGACGAGCCTCCATTCCGTCTTAAACCTTCCATGTGAAAACATCCCAACAATGTCACCATTCCTCTTTCTCTTCACGTATTTGTTATGTGTCCAAAGTGCTCCAACAGCAACAACGACCGAATCGCCATCAAGCAATGAAGTTGTCATTAGCAAGAAAAACGAAACTTACGACGTTTCCCAATTCGATGAAGTCTACGACCAGAGACAAAATGGATCGGAAAATTACAGACTCAATGTTAACAAAGTCGTTCTGGTTTGGACTCCCCCTGGATCATTATTAACAGCAGCGATGTTACTCGACCCGTCTTTGTACGAACCGGAGTTCGGCGAAACGGATTTTTTCAAACCGGAGAGTGAAGAAAAGCCGGAAAATTTATTTGTGGTCAAACCAGAAACCACAAAAGCTCCAGAGGCAAGTTCTGTGGCGAGTGCGGACGAAGCCACCACAGTGGGGAGCACCAAGAGGTAATAATTTATCAGAAAAAACTCATAATTACAGTTTTTTTACAGGAAGTTGAAATTGCCCGGATTTCTCAGACCGTACAGGAGAAGACAGCAAATCCATCAATAACTCGTCATTTCATGTCATTTGTCTCTATTTATTCTCATTCGATAAATAAAAATATCTCATCAATGACTTGGTGTGTTTTATTAATAAAAAACAACTTAATTACAAAATATTTTATTTATAAAAAAATAAATACATAAAGGATTTGGGACAAGAGTTATTGCTTGATTGTTCTGCAGACTCCTTCCAAGTCTCTGGCAAGTCCAGGTCCGCACTCCTCGTCATTTTCGGCCCCCAAAAGCTTAAGAACCGACTTTGAAATTTCCTTCTTTTTCTTCCCATCTTTCTTCTTCTCGAATTCTTCGTCTTGTGGAACTGTAAGTAGAAAAGCTCTGGCTACTCTTGGATGAGGATTTTCGTCCTTGACTAGCTCAATAGTGGGCGATTTTGCTATGACAATTTCTTCAGCATTGACCACAGCAGGCACGTCAGGATGAAGTCTCGCCAACTGGCTTTTACTTCTGCTGATGTCTACATGATATGGAGCCGTTTTGGACTCGATAAAATGCAGAGTCTCTTCTCCCGGAACTCCTTTCTTTTCAAGATTTTTCAATTGGGACCTTTTTGGTAAAGACTTGACGAAGAAGTCAAGTAAACCACCAGTGGACGGCGTGCTCGAGGAGGTTTGTGTCGGGATGACCATAATAACAAAATTCCTCAAATCTGCATGGACGTTCCACTCACCTTCTTGCCGCTGGTCGTAGAGGACCTTTGAGGGAACGGGCGAGGCGAGCGCCGTAGTGACAACAACGAAGAGGAGAGTTTGGGTCAGCATGATGTGTACTGAAGCGGTGGCGAGGATTGACTGAGGATGGAGTTTTTGGCGAAGAAGAGATTTCATCGTACATTAACACCTGTCACAAGTAACGGGAGGTTTCTGACCTCAGGATCTGGTGCAGTTTGAGAGACTGCAGGATTTGGACGCGACTAACTGTAATTGCATCACGAGTGTTATCAGGGACCGAAATAGATTCTTATCAAGGTTACAGAGTGGCACAGACACTAAAATTGCGTTAAATAATATTATGGGTCATCCAAGGCCACTCAACCTAGTATTGACCAACGGGCCGTTTCCTGCAACTGTTCAAAAATGTGAACTTTTGACTGGTTCTTAGTTCTCTGAACCTAGCGGTAATCTTATTGCCAATCAAACCATAACTCCCACTTGGTCCGATCTTGACCTTCCTTAGCCTTGCATCTGAAGAAGTCATCGACCATCACTGTTGATTTCAGTCGAGCGCCAAGAGCCCTGTCGAAATGAAGTACTTTCCAGCCGTCTTCGTCCTCATTGTCTCCGTGAGGAGTGCTCCGAGCAAAGAGAAGACATCTCTACCTCAAACCGTCTACGACCAGAAGCAAACCGGAGACTACAATATCCAACTGCATCTGAAAGACTTCCAAGTCATCGCTCTACTAGGAGACGAAGCTTTTGGTGTAAGTAAAAAAAATAAATCCTGAGAACAGTTAATAATTCAAACAGGATTACGACTATAATTACGATTATTCCGACTTTACCATCAAACCACCGACAAATATCACCCTAAAACCACCACCACTACCTGAAAACGCCACCACAGCAAAACCCCAAAAACCTGAAATTTCATCATCAAGTTCAGAAAAACCGAATGAAAAACCATCAGAATCAAGTACCGCAAAATCAGAACCAGAGAAAAATAGCACTGACTCAATCCCAGTCAACACAAGCTCTCCGGACAAAATTAAGGTACAAATAATAAATGAATCAAACCCAATAGTACCAATTGACGATATGGGTACCGGGACTGCACCGACTCTCGGAGAAGTTTTACATTATCGTAAATGCGCCAGTGGGTATGCGAGAGATAAGAGAGGAAGATGTAGAAGAGTCAGGAAGCCAGGAAACCGTCATCAGTAAGTTCTTCAATTTTTGTTGCATTGTAAAATATATTTTTTTAGATTAGATCTCGGTAGGCTCGCTACTAATTTAGCGGCAAGGTTTCGAGCGGCGTCAGAAGAAGATTCCGTAAGCCATTCAAGGGAGGCATGATTTGGGGTGCTGTACAAATTTTTAAGAATTGCTCAATTCTGATTTAAATTTAGAATTTTTGATTCCTGATTGTCATAGTGTTTAGAAATAAAGTATTTTTATTATAACAATAAAATTTATTGATACTTACAGAGTGTCCCGATTTGTAATTTGATTAACACAAATCAAAAAAAAAAATAGTTCATGTGATGCAATGATACCTTCGCCAACTGTTTTAAATTCTTTAAGTTAGAAAAAAAAATTCTTGAATGTTCTGTAACGTTACACGAAAATAAACTGAAAAACATCTTGGTTGAACAAAACCATTTTTTTAATAATAAAATATGTTAGTATCGTTGGCATATTTTATGTAGGTGGATGAATTTTTTTTTTTTTTTGTTTTAACTTTGAAGTATTTTAATCACTGATTTTAATCTTCAGATATTAACCGAAAAAATTATGAGTATAGTGTGCGTTATAATAATTTTACACCAACATTAGAAAGAAAAAATAAAAGCAAAGAGAAATATATGCCACAAATGCCGCCCAAAAAAAAACGTTTATCCACAATCACTCTATAAAGAGACTTTATTCCACACTTTAGATGCGTATAAAGTACCAGTTTATCCACTAGTGGAATAAAGTAACTTTATTTCATTGTTAGTAACCAGCGCACCGCGTAACAGCTTACTACGTTTAACTGAAAGCACATTTGGCGTGACGTTTAAATGTCAGTTTAATTTTTAATTAAGTTTGGAATAATTTAGGCCTGTGATTGTGGATRAATCGTTATATTGCAGTCGTGTGTTAGTCGCGTTTTATCCACTTAAGAAAATTAACCGCTCGAACTGACGTTCTCGCGGTTAAACATTCTTGCGTGGATAAAACACTATCTAACACACTCTTACAATAAATAACAATGCTTTATAAAAAAAATTTTTACTACAATGTTCAATGTTCTGTTACTAGTCTTTTCAATATGCCTAGAATTGAAAATAATAAACATATTTTTTAAACGTTAATTTCCTAGTAAGTTTTGGGTGACTTTGGGAATGTATAACTAATTATTCCATTCAGTTACAACAATATTCCATTATTTAATGGAAAATGCCAGTTGATGTTATGCAACCAACTATACAGTTATTGTTTTCAAAAATTTTGCTTGGTAACAAACAATTTTTGGTTAAAATTTGTAAAACCATTGTTTTGAAATAAGTTTAGCACTTTAGGGCTCCTTTGGTGAGAAATGAGGTCAAAATTTGCGTGAAATTATGAAAATATGACTCAGGTGTTGTGACTTTAGCCACCGCCGTCTATTTTCGCAGACATGTCTGTTTGAATGACAGTGCTTTTCTAGACAACTAATATGGCGGGTGCAATGTTGTTTGAAAGAGCGCAATCTGTTTCTAATTCGAACCATGAGAAACTATTAAAACTGAAACGTGACAGCGAAGACCCGGACAATGACGAAGAAAATATCAAAAGTAAAGAACAAGACATCCTCAACTTGGGGGAGCAGTACAAGAAGGAAGGTAAGGCCAAGGAACTCGCCGAGTTGATCAAAGCCACCCGACCCTTCCTGAGCATGATAAGTAAGGCAAAAGCGGCAAAATTGGTGCGTTCCCTCGTCGATTTTTTCTTGGATCTCGAAGCGGGCATTGGTATCGAGGTGCAGTTATGCAAGGAATGCATCGAATGGGCCAAAGAGGAGCGCAGGACCTTCCTGCGACAGAGCCTCGAGGCGCGCCTCATCGCGTTGTATTTCGACACGGGGATGTTCACAGAGGCCCTCCAGCTCGGTTCAACCCTCCTGAAAGAACTGAAAAAACTCGACGATAAGAATCTGCTCGTGGAGGTGCAACTCCTGGAAAGTAAGACATATCATGCCCTCAGTAACCTGCCCAAGGCACGTGCGGCCTTGACCTCAGCACGGACGACGGCTAATGCAATCTACTGCCCCCCGAAAATGCAAGCTGCGTTGGACCTCCAGTCGGGAATCCTTCACGCCGCCGACGAGAAGGATTTCAAAACCGCCTATTCGTACTTCTACGAGGCCTTCGAGGGCTTCGACAGTGTCGAGTCCCCGAAGGCCTTGACCGCGTTGAAATACATGCTCTTGTCGAAAATCATGCTCAACAACCCAGAAGACGTACAACAGATTGTAAGTGGCAAATTGGCGATTAAGTACGCGGGGAGAGACATCGATGCCATGAAAGCCGTCGCACAAGCTTCACACAAAAGGTCGCTCGCCGACTTCCAGCTGGCCGTCAAACAGTTCAAACACGAACTGGAAGACGACGTTATCGTCAGAGCACATCTTGGGACGTTATACGACAATATGCTCGAACAGAACCTTTGCAGGATTATTGAGCCTTATTCGAGAGTCCAGGTCGATTATATCGCCAAAACGATAAAGCTGCCCATGCCACAAGTCGAAAAGAAGCTCTCGCAGATGATTCTAGATGCCAAATTTCACGGCATCTTAGACCAAGGAGAAGGTAAATAAATATAACAATTATTCAGCATACCACTCACTGTTTATTTTGTTTTCAGGTGTCTTAATTGTTTTTGAAGAAACTCCTGTAGATAAAACATATGAAATGGCGCTAGAAACAATACAGAGTATGAGCAAAGTAGTAGATACGCTTTATCAAAAGGCTAAAAAGTTGTCATAGGCTATTTGTAATTATTATTTAAAAAATGAAAAATAAAGTAAAACAGACTGTATTTTTCCTACATTTGAAAATTTTACCTTATACTCCGTGTTATTAACAGTCCCCTCCCAACTAACTTAGGTGTACATAACAAATCTTATTAACATTGTTCAAGGTTGGGTTTTTAACTGCTTTTATAAAAAATTCAAAAAAATGCATTTTTTCGATTATTTATACAATTGTGTGTTTTTTGGATGATGGAAATAAAACGAAGTTTTTTCATTCAAGTTGTATTTTGATAATTATTATGCTTAAACAATGTAAAAATGCAACAATAAAGTGTTATTTATAGTAATAATTTCAAGTTTGTTTTTTTCTAGGCTTTTTCTTCCGTTTCTTTCCTTTCATTTTTAGCACCTGAAACACAATGTCATTTAGGACAAAATCTAAATACAAGCATAATTTGGCAAACGACTGACTCATTGTACACTCCTTGTCCAAAACAATGACCTGATCTCGATAAACAAAGAAATCAAGTCACGTGGTGTAGCATATACTACATCGGTAATATTACCGATAACGATATTTTAATTAAAACGTAAAATCAGAACAAAACAAATGCGGAATATTAAAAGCATACATCAGCAAAGGTGGCTTATTTTTAAACGATGTGTGGGAGAGAATTTTTAAGTAAACATCCAATGGAAACAACGAATTAACGCGAAATATCCACGATATCATCAATTTGTTTCACAAAATTTGAATAATATCCTTAATTTTTGTGTAATATGTAATTTCTGTGAGGCATCATCTGTACTTCTTGAATATTAAAACGTAGTGATTTAACAAAATGTGTTAAAAACAACATTACTGATTATGGAAAATGAAATAAAAACATTTGTAAAATTACTTCGTACTTACAACACAAATAAATTACTCAAAAATTTTAAGCACACCACTCTAAAAATAATGTGTGCTTATGACACAAAATAACGTTACTCATGGACATAACATAAAGGGTGTTCGAAACTTTTAGTATTTTTGACAATTATTAAAAATGGGAATTATAAAAATAAAAAATAGGTAAATAAAAGTATGTTATTTACCTAATACTACGTCTCGTGTAATGTAAAGAATGCGTTCATTATAGCGTATATTCACAACTCTTTGCATCAGCAAAATAATATTGTTTTTGCTTAGTTTGCGTTTCCTAAAAACTACATTTTCAACTTCGCTTTCTTTCTTTACTTCGCTTTACTCCTTTACTTTCATTTTAAAGTTGAAATATTTTGTATAATAAAATAATACGAGTTGCGTTGCGAAACTTCGTGATCACAAAATATGTATAATCAAGTTGTTCTATTTGAAACACAAACCAATTTCATGACACTTGTCATTAGTGTTAACCAATTTTTTTTCTAAATCATGTCAAGTTTGAAACTCTTTTCTTTTCTAAAATTAGCCCCACAATGTCTCCGCTACTACTCCGAAGCTTCATTCCTTACTGGAACTTCATCGCAATACATCGAAGACATGTACAACGCTTGGCTCAAAGACCCTAACAGCGTCCACGTCTCATGGGACTCCTTTTTTCGCAACACCACACAAGGGCTTTCCCAACCATACCATGCCCCTCCAAATCTAGCACCCTCAAAAGGTGCCTTAATATCCCAAGTAGCAGCTGTTGCAAGCGCCCCACAAGCAGCCCCACTTGATGAACGAACAATTGAAGATCATTTAGCCGTCCAAGCCGTCATTCGGAGCTACCAAGCTCGGGGTCATTTAGTCGCAAAATTAGATCCTTTGGAAATTATGTTTAATGATAAAACTACAACGACTGTGTCACAAACCGGCACACCACCGGACGAAATTCTACGAACATTCAGACTAGAAAATTTGGATAAAGTGTACAAACTGCCATCGAGTACTTACATTGGTGCTGAGGGTGAAAAGAAACTTCCTCTTCGTGAGATTTTACACAGACTGGAGTTGGCTTATTGCCGCCACATCGGAGTGGAGTACATGTACATAGATGACTTGGAACAGAGGGATTTTATTCGGAGACGAATGGAAGCTCCGGGTGTTCTCAACCAAACCACAGTTCAGAAAAAACTAACCTTGACTAGACTCATCCGAACTGTTGAGTTCGAAAACTTCCTAGCCAAAAAATGGGCTTCGGAAAAACGCTTCGGTATCGAAGGCTGTGATATGTTCATTCCTGGCCTCGAACAAATCATTGACAAATCGACCGAATACGGAGTCGACCACTTTTTCCTCGGTTTAAGTCACAGAGGACGCCTCAACACTTTGGCCAACATCCTTCGCAAACCCTTGTACCAAATTTTCAACCAATTCGTACCACTGGAACCCGCAGATTTGGGTTCCGGTGACGTCAAGTACCACCATGGCAGTCACACCGAACGCACCAACCATCTCACTCAAAAACGCTACAAAATCACGCTGCTTGCAAATCCGTCCCACTTAGAGAGTGTCAACGCGGTGGTACTTGGACGCACCCGCGCCGAGCAGTTCTACAAAGGGGACGACGAAGGCAAGAAGAGTTTGGCGATTTTGATTCACGGAGATGCTGCCTTCTGTGGCCAAGGAGTCAACTATGAGAGTTACGGGTTGTCGTATTTGCCCAACTATACCACACATGGCGCCATTTGTTTCATTGTAAACAACCAGGTTGGGTTCACCACCGACCCGAGATTCTCCAGATCTTCGAGGTACTGCTCCGACTTGGGCAAAGTAGTGAACGCACCGATCTTTCACGTCAATGCCGACGACCCCGAGAGTGTCATCCATGTTTGCAACATAGCTGCAGAGTGGAGGGCCAAGTTCCACAAAGACATAATCATTGATTTAGTCGGGTATCGCCGTCATGGGCACAACGAAGCCGACGAGCCCATGTTCACCCAACCTCTGATGTACACCAAAATCAAAAATATTGCCTCCATAGAAACCAAGTATTCGGATGAGTTGTTGAAAGAGAAAGTGGTGACGAAAGAGGAAATCCAACACGTCAAAGATGATTACAACAAATTGTGCGAAAACGAATACGTGAAAGCGTCCAAACAGACACAAATTTTTATCAAAGATTGGTTGGATTCGCCTTGGTCCGGCTTCTTCGAAGGTAAAGACCCCCTCAAGGTTAGTCCTACTGGTGTACCGGAAGTAACCCTCGCCCATATTGGAAACGTAGTCTCCTCGCCGCCCCCTCCAAACCTGGATTTCGTGCTCCATAAAGGCATTATTCGGATTTTAAACCAACGACAAGCCATGGTCGAGAAACGACAAATTGACTGGGCTTTGGGCGAGGCTATGGCGATTGGTTCTCTTCTCAAAGAGGGAATCCATGTCCGCCTCTCCGGCGAAGACGTCGAAAGAGGGACCTTCTCGCACCGCCACCACGTCTACCATCACCAGACCGTAGACAAGATGACTTATCAACCCCTGAGTGATGTTTTCTCCGACCAAGCGCTCTACATAGTTTGCAACAGCTCACTTTCCGAGTACGGTGTTCTAGGCTTCGAAGTGGGTTACTCCCTCGCCAGTCCCAACGCCCTCGTCATTTGGGAAGCCCAATTTGGGGATTTCTACAACACGGCGCAATGTATCATGGACCAGTTTCTATGCTGTGGTCAAGCAAAGTGGATGCGTCAAAACGGCATCATCGTGCTTCTCCCTCATGGTTTCGACGGTATGGGTCCTGAGCACTCCAGCGGTCGCCCTGAGCGTTTTCTGCAAAACTGTGACGACGATCCCGACGTAATCCCTCCCTTCGAACCGGATTTTGCAATCAAGCAACTCCAAGCCTGCAACTGGATCGTAGCTAACTGTTCCACTCCTGCCAACCTCTTCCACATCTGGCGGCGACAAGTGGCTCTACATTTCCGCAAACCTTTGATGCTTTTCAGCCCCAAGAATCTCCTAAGACACCCCGAATGTAAAAGCTCGTTCGATGAAATGCTCGAAGGGACCGAATTCAGAAGAGTCATTCCTGAAAGTGGGCCTCCAAGTCAAGACCCACAAAACGTCAAGAAACTTATCCTATGCACCGGTAAGGTGTATTACGATATCATGGAAGTTTTCAAAAAGAGAAATGTCGTGAAAAAGATTGCTGTTACAAGAATTGAACAGTTATCACCGTTTCCCTACGATTTGCTTAAAGTCGAATTCGAAAAGTATCCCAACGCGAAAATTTGCTGGGCCCAAGAAGAACACAAAAATGCAGGCCCCTATTACTACGTGTTGGCGAGGTTGAATACGTTATTGAATAGAGCACGTGAAGTTCATTACATAGGAAGAGCTGTTTCGGCTGCCCCTGCTACGGGAACCAAAGCAGTGCATTTGAAGGAACTTGAAATGTTGGCAAATGAATTTGTGGCGCTTTAAACACTGTATTTCGTAAAAATAAAGGTTTTCGTCATTTGTAGTTTCGAAATATGTCAGACGGACCTTTAAAACAAAAAAAGCTACTCTTATTATTAGAACAAATTTTTTTTTAATATTTTCAGATTTCGCCTAGTCTGGTAGGATTTATACAAGGTGTAACGAAGAGTAACCTGAAGTTCCTTAAGTCAAAATAAAGCGATTTAACCCAACTTATCTCTATACTAAGTTGCACCGTTGAACCACAGATTGAATAGTTAGAGGACGCCAATGAAATTGATTTTTCACAACAACACAAACATACAAAGACACTAAAACCCAATTTTTTTTTAACAATTTCAAAAAATTTGTTGTTTAGACGTATTAACGTCTACACAAATTATTTTTTACTCTAAAACCAAGGCCAAAACAAAAATTTTGTAAAATACAAAAATCGTTTAAGAATAATGTACCTCTCGAATTAAAAAATAATTATGCTACTTGAATTACACAACTAACAAAAATATAGCTTTAAATATGTTAAGTTTTGAATAGGTAAGTACTTTACAATAACAATAAAACAAAAGAAATAGCACCAAACATGTGGTTTTGATATCATGTTGCCTTTACCATTTTACCTTTACCTTATTTCTCCCCAGTTACAATTTTTTTAATAGACTGGAGCTGTGAATAATGAATTTTTAATAATTTTTTCTTTTTATTTTTCGCTTGCTTGTTTAAATAATATTGTATGAAAGAAGATTGGAATTGCTTTTAATATTTTTTATTCTAATTTGGGTAGGTAGTAAATTTAATTAATTTGAAGTGTTGATTTATTTATTAGGTTGTCTCTTTATGTAATATATGAGTTATTTGCGCATTTCATTTCTTTTTGCCGAGGGTGAATCTGAATTTGTTTTTGGTTTTAATACTGTGCAAAAAGAGGAAGAGTGGCTATGATTTTATTGGCGAAATATGCAAGAATTTATTTATACAAATAATTTTTATAATAGACATTAGTTTTGTCTTGTTTATGTTGTTCATAATTTTTTTTAAATATTACGTTTTCAAGTTCATTAGTTAACAAGAAAATTATTGATGGCGTTTTAACTCTTAGTTTTTATCTCTTATCTTATTAGTTTTGTCTTGTTTATGTTGTTCATAATTTTTTTAAATATTACGTTTTCAAGTTCATTAGTGAACAAGAAAATTATTGATGGCGTTTTATCTCATGATTAACATGAATATTGTTTGTTTTTTATTATCATTATTTCTGGCACACCCTGCACTAGTATGAGATGGACATTTTACACAAAATTACTTACCATCGCCTCACTTGTCTCTTTTATATTATCAAAACCATAAAATACCGCTGGAATTTGTTTATACTCTTCGTGCACCGGCAAAATATAATTAACGTCAATAGGTAACCAATTTAGTCGTCCTTCTGTATTTACTTCAGTATTCTCACACTCTTTATGCAAATCGTATACATTTTCAGTACTAAAATTCGAAACAATTATCTCAAATACACAAATGTGTAATAAAATTACCAGTCGTCACATTGTTTCATGATGGAAAGAAATGATTCATGTTTGGGTAAATGCTGGAGAAGATAAGTCCCACAATCGAGACCCACCAAGTGACTTAAAACTTTTTCTAAAACACCTAAACCTAGAATAGGTTTATAATCGTAATGAGTTTGGGCCTCGATGTTGATCTTTTGTATTGAACACTTCTCAACCGAGATAACTTCGTTCATGGGGCTATAAATGCGTGCTAAAAATGGTAAAAATAGAGTTGGCAGTTTGACTTGAAATGTTACCTCTGTAAAGAAACGAATAAAGACGAAAGAAAAGCGAAGTCCAATCACGAGCTATTTCACTCTGTGAGGCTATATTAACCCCATATTGCATCTGCTGTTCTATTTTAGGTCTAACAATGACTGGATATAAAACACTTTGTTCCGTTTCCTGAAATTTTATGGTAAAAGCCAAATCAAAGTAAAATGAAGCAAAAATACTTCACACCCATCCAATTTACACCTAACCAAAAGATTAATTTCACTATCTTTGGTCTGGTTTTTCATTAGTGTATTGTGATTCGTGGTCTTTTTTATATTCCAAATTCGGTAATTAGCATTATGATGAATGACTTTTTTCTTTTCTTTTGTGTCTGTTTTGTGGCAATCTATAAAATGTAATAAAAACAAAACGCAATGATTATAATTAACTACCTTGTTCAGCATTTTGTTCGTCTGATTCATCAGTCTCAATTGGTGTTTCCTCTACCGGATATCTGCAAAAAAACAACTAAAATCGAGACAAAATATGCCGCTTCCATACCTGAACGCCTCATATTCGCAAAAGTTAAGTTTTAAAAGCCGTTTATAAGCGTAACAGTTCAAATCGTGTGGACTTGGATCAACTTTTGGAAGGACCTTATCAATAAAAACAATTTTACGAAGTTTACCATCCTCATCTTCAATTTCTTTAATCACAACTGGTACAATCCACTTAGTTTTAATATTAGTGTAATCAATGATTTGTTTGAGACCACTGGATGAAATCACAGCATCAAATTTATGATTTTTGAGCAGTTTTGGTATGTTATCGTCTTGACTGACTGGCAATTTTGAGTTTAGTAAAACTTCTTTGGCCACTTTTTGCAATGTGTTTAACTTTAAACAGCACTGCTCCTTGAGATTTGGCTGTGCAAAACGTGCGAGTGTGCCCTAAATAGAATTAATAAATAAAAAATCGATTTAAAAATAATTTGGTACCGTTTCTAAAGGTTGGACCAAATGTTGAAAATCAACGGTAGCCTCATCCTCGTCGTAGTTCAAACAAACTGTAGCAAATTCTTTATAAAATTGAGGATATTCCAAATATCTGCTAATTTTCTGTTTCCATTTTGGCCAAGCAAAACTGTAAATGCCTGGTTTGGTCCTCAGAGGCTTATCCTTATATTTAAGCCACATATTTTTGGCGTATTCTTGAAACAATTGATTTTCTTCAACAACCTTTGATTGGCATTCCTGAATTCGTTACAAGTCGAGAAATTAAACTTTTGACCAAACCTTACTTACGCTATAAATCTTGAGACAGTGCTTATCTCTTTCAGTTAGTAAATCAGATCGTTTGCCACTTTGGAATAATTTTAGAGCCTCCAAACAGTAAGACTTTTGGGATTTTGTTAAGAGCGATCTGCGTCGAATTAAGCGGTGATACTTTAAACAAGGAACGTATTTTTCTTTAGCTACATGTAGCTTAACGTTTCGTTTTGGTTTAGATTTAATTGGTTTGATAAAACTCTTGTAAACGTAGGACTCAGAGACGGCCTCTTCGCTCAAAAATCGGTCGTCCAAATCCTCGTCGGTCACTTCTTTCCGCCTAAAAAATGTACAACACTATTAAATTTAAAAAAGTTGCCAAAGGACTGTACCAAGATAATTTCACGAATTCATCCATTTCGTTTAAACTGTGACTAGGTTATGTTTACATCAAACAGTCTACGGTGACTAACGGCGTAGATTTGTTGCATGGTTTATTCGAACTACTGTCATTTTTGACATGATAATAAAAGTATTGAAAAATTTTCCTTTTAATAACTATAAATGAGCAAAATGCTTTCCTCTATGGTGAAAGAACATCAAGCTAAGCAAGCCACCAAAAAAGACATTCAAGGTAAATATTAATTTGGAAAAATTATTTTTAGCTCCCTTCTTCTAGAATCTAAGCGCAAGGAGGCTTGTGCTGCTGCCAGTGATCTCACTCAAGCTTTAGTGGACCACTTAAATGTCGGGTAAACTATTTCAACTTGTGGATTAAATAATTACAAGTATTAACTCTTTAGAGTGGCCCAAGCATACTTGAACCAGAAGAAATTGGATGCTGAGGCTAAGCAGCTGCATGCCAGTGCTACAAATTTTTCAAAACAGACTCAACAGTGGCTGAATTTGGTAGAATCGTTCAGTAGTGCGTTGAAAGAAATTGGGGATGTAGAAAATTGGGCTAAGTCAATAGAGGGTGATGTTAGAACGATATCAACAGCTTTGGAAATAGTCTACAAGAATTCACAAGAGGCTGCCCAAAACCAGTAGTTTTATCTTATAAGTGATTTTTGTCACTATAATTTTATTAATTGTTTAAGTAGATAATAAATGATATTGATAGGTTATGTGGTGTCATTTTAAGGCGTAATTCCCATCAATCACTACTTTTTTCACGAATGAAGTATTTTCAACTTTCTAATTTATCTTGCCTCAGTTTCCCGCAACCCGCTATACACGAATCATGGTTAAGTGTAGTGCCACGTTTGTTGGATGTTTTGTATCAAGTTTTGTTTTTTTCTGCATTTTATTATGTGAAACTGGGGCCCAATCGACTGTACCATGGTACGAAAATCTTCCAGCTGTAGCCATGGACTATAAGGTCCATATAGATCCAGGAAAAGAAGACTGTTATTTCCAATATGTTAACCCCGGTGCCACTTTTTACGTGAGTTTTCAGGTAAGTACTATTTGTTTCTAGTGCTCCTTACTGTACACAAAGTAGCAATACTGATAAAATTGATATTTTAAAATTTTTATACCGAATGATAGAATTTACAAAAATAGATTGATAAAATTGTCAACAACCATAGAGTTAACAAACGCGGATTGCAGGTGGTACGTGGAGGGGATGGAATGGCAGGCTTTGCGGTGCGACATCCTTCGGGGCAAATTGTACATCCGTACCAATGGAAACCCAACAGCGAGTACCAAGATCAAACTTCCACAGGGGGCTATTATTCTGTCTGCATAGACAATCAGTTTTCGAGGTTTGCTGGCAAACTTGTTAATATTTATATCACGGTCGTCAGGTACGACATGTGGGAGAAATATACGAAAGAAATTGACGAGCTTAACATGAACATGGAAAATTTTACGGTAAGTATATTAAATTTGATTGTCTGAATTTGAATGTTTGAAATGTTGTTTTTAGAACACAATTGTGACCGTGGACCGCAACATTAACGATATCTTACAGTACCAACATCATTCAAGGGCGCGTGAAGCGTGGGATTTCAATCTATTGCAAGACAACAACACTTATGTTGTCCGCTGGTCTATTATTCAAATAATCGTTATTATGGCGACTACAGCTGTGCAAGTTTATTTTGTCCGGAAGTTGTTCGATATCAAAACGGGAAGTAGTAGATCGCGGATTTAGTTTGGTTGTACGTAATTTGTTATTTATTTTTTTATACAAGGCTGTATTGTGCTAAACTAGTAGTTTAGGCCAAAATAAACGACAATTATTATTAAAAATAGATTAATCAATTTATTTTGTATTCCTTTATTTATATACAATTTGTTCATATTAATATCAGATACACAATTTAATAAAAACATTTGATATCACTACCTTTCTTGTCTATAAAACATCCATAACATAAATTATATAAAAAAAATAACAAATTCATTTAGTTTTTAAATAATTTTCCGAAAATGCCAACAACCGATATCTCTGTTTTAAATTACGTGATCTGACATGAGGATTTGCTATTTCTACAGTATAATTCGCGGGAAACCAGCCAGTTTGGCCATCTCTTATTCTCTCTCCGTGATACCAACCTGCAACAAAAAGTTACTAAAAAAAAAACAAAAAAAACTCGCTCACCATCGGCCATTTTGCGGAGAACGTTAATAACGTCCCCTCTAGATAAAGCCAATTCGTCGGGTTGACTAGCCGAATAATTATGAATGGCAGTTACTTGCGGACAGTCCCAACATTCATAAAGAGTCTCGTTCGGATCTTCAGATTTTGGAGGAGTTAGTGCCTCGATCCATCGCTCTTTGTCGCTTTCACTGTTACAAGACAACAACTAAAAAAAAATTGTTAAAAAGACAAAACTAAGAGGGAGAGCAACATACAAATTCAACAGTCTTTTCATTCTGATTTTCCAACATTGTGAGAAACACTAAGTGGCGACCTTGCGTGTCTTTGACTGGTAAGGAGGCCAACATATCGGTACTACTTAACTCGACCAAATTTCGGGCACAGTAATGGATCACGGTGTACAAATTTTCGCTAAAAAATATATTGAATCTAAATTCATAATATGTTTAGTTAGGTACTTTGGTTGGAAGGAATTGGGAGCACTAGATTTTCTGACTAAAAGGGGCCCTAAATTTCGAAAAGCCTTAATGCATGTGTTTATGAAATTTTTAGAAGCAAAAAAAAATTACAAAGTTTGAATAAAGTAAACCGCAAGTCTCAGACGGAAGTCAAGGTGTGGTTACTTTGAGTACAAGAGGTTGGCAGCAACTATGTCAAGTTCGGGGAATTGGCGGGTCGGTGTGATGAAAAGTTTTGTGCTGTTGCTTGTTAAGATGTGCAAAAAGTTGTTTTTGTGTGTTTCTTTGAGTAAAAATGATTCAAAACAAGTGATTAAGATAAGTACTGTAGGGATAATTGTTGTATCGTAAGTTGCGTTGTCATAACCTCACTCACCTTTTCGGTTTTGTAACAAACAAATAATCGTTGAACAAAAACAAATGTAGTGTAACTTTTGTAAACCGCTTTCCAAAAGTCAGTTTAATCTCATCTGTCCTTTGTTGCATATGAGTTACAGTACCGGATCGGATGAGCCACCGATTTTCAGACACTATTTCTATCGGGGGAACCCCCTTTGCAAAGTCTAATTGTGTTACGATTTTTTTCATTTCATTTTCGCGTTCTTTACGTCTTGCTCCTTCGTTGCATTGTATGACGATCTAGTAGAATTTACAAAATTAATCTTTTAATTAAATCAAAAAGGGGGTTTTCTTACTTTATTAAGTGTTGCAAGTGCGTATTGACACGTTAAATATTCGGAATCTTGAGGCGAAAGTCTTTTTAAGACGGCATCCACAAGAAGTGGCCATCTTGTTATCCTCTGCATGGGTAGCATTAAAAATGAGTACAGTGTAAGTGATTGACATGTGGAACTTGATTCAAGTTGTTTTAATTGTTCGAGAAAAATAGGACGTTCCCTGGATAAAAATAAGTAAGTAAAAAAGAATAAACAAGGTAAGTAAATGGGAACTTACTTGATTCGTCTTAACGTGTCATCTAACAAAATTTGATTTTCACAGTAGGGGACGTACACGTGGAAATTTTCTTCGGCGTGCTTTTGAACAATGTCACATACTCCGTGGAGAAGAATATTTTCCTGCCAACATTTCTCCAAGTCGGAAAAAAGTTTTTCTGAACAGCTCTTCACATCCTCAACTTTTCCGAATAACATGTTGAGTTCCTCTTTTGATAAGATTTCCAAGCTTTCGAAACTTTTAACAAAATGGTTACACAGAACGTTGAGGGAGTTCAGATAGGAAGCTTCAGATGTGATCATTTCAAATTTAGCCTCTTGCAACTTCTTCTGATGTGTACTTAGAGTACCTAAAATGGAAAAGTTGTAACAGTAGACTTAACAAACCCTTAAAACTTACTTAAAACTGATGACTGTATAACTTCAGGTATTTCGCACCAAAGAGTTCTTGAAACTGTTAGTAAATTTTTGTTGGGTGAGACTAGTTCCATTGTGGATGGTCTTGAAGAAAGAGTAGATTCGGAATTACTATCACCGACTTCCTCATAGCCGTCGGAATCAAAATCGGAGACGCCATCGTGACAAACCGACTGGAAAACCAAAGTTTGGTAATACTTAACAAAAATTCTAAGACAAACCTCTAAAACCGCAGCGTCGTAAAATTGATACAAAGGTTCATCTTCTAGCCTCAAATGTGCATCAGTCGCCAGACTCGTCAAAGACTGGTCTTTCTTTGTTTCAGTACTGCTAAAGCTATTAATACTGTCATTGTAATAATCCGATCCGTTTTTGAGATTGTAGTACTCCTCACTGTTGTCCTGGTTGATAAAATCGTCAGGCTTAATAGAGACGTTAGTTGTATTGCCACTGTTTTCCGCCGAACTGGTACTAGGAGTACTTCTCCCAGTCTGGTAGAGTCCAACTTCAGCATACCAAAACGTATTACTCCTTCTTGTAGCATTGCTTTCCGAATTTTTAAACAACCCTACTTCCGCATACCACGAAGTCGATCTCTTTTTTGCTCTGACTGGTGCAGGTGGGGGTGGACTTTGGGGCCGTATTATAGCCTTGGAATTCCTTTGTACCGGCGATAACGACGCCCCACTATCCCTCTCAGACTCATTTTTATCTATATCGATCTCGGTCAAGTAAAACGTGCTTTTCGGCTTATCCAAATTTGAAGTGAGTTCACTAGCGGATTCGGCACTCAAAGACATACTTCTCCGGAATTTTGTCAGGAAGCTCTTCCGAGGGAGAGTTTTAGTTTCCGGTTCAGGGGGACATTCACAAGGGGGTGGTTCTTCAGGTTGAAGAATTTCAGGACTAGATTTCCTGTGTTTGTCCAAGTCTGTTCGAGATTTACGTTTGGTCATCCGACTCAGTGATTTACTGATGTCGTTTTTGGTCAATGACCAGTTCCGCCGGAGTTTGCGCATGTGTTTACCGGCTGTTGCGGCTAGTCGTGTCAGGACGTAGGTTTGGTTGTTTGGAGTTTCGGGAAGTTGGCTATTGCCGATGTCCAAACCGCTGTCATGCTGAAGCAAGTGTTAAATTTTGAGAATTTTGAGGAGGAGCACTTACTGAATTGACTTTGGTGAAGGAACCGTCGGAGTCACTATCACTGTCGAAGGAATCGTAATCATCGTCTTGATTGTTATTGGTGCAAAGGCTCTCGTAGAGATGGTCCGGGTCACTGTCAGTACCTGAAACACTTATTATTAAGAATTGCCTTGAGGTGTTTTGATTGAGTAGGGAGACCTTGCATAAAGATCAACCCAAATACATATTAAATTTAATACTTTTGATACTAGATTCGTGCGAAATTCAGTCTAACAAGGGAATTTCTCTGATTGTATTTTTCTATTCATGCTAATCTTAGTAATTAAACGTCAATTAGGTGGTACCATCACGAACACTTATTTATCACAACGTAATTTACTTATCCAATTAACTTGTTCACATAGTAAATAAGCTACTTTTAAAATCTTATTTTCTCTTTTAAATGTGTACAACCTATGTAGAAACTGATTTCTTGACTCTCCAAGCTTTCCTCAAAAATCCTGCTTCTGATTTTGGGAAAGTCCCTAGAATTTCGTATCTCTTGACCTAAGCTAATTGTATCACATTTTTCTATTTCTTCTTCCTCTTCTTCCTTCGGGACTTCCCTAAGGATAGTTTTCAAGTTTTCATCCATATAATCCATATATACTTTAGTAGGTGAGCTGACAAAAACTCTGTCGCCAACATTTCTTCTCGGTCTTCGCCATGTGGTGGGTGCTGACCTGGGGGGTGGAATTGGGACGGTACTTTTTTCGTTTCTTCGTCCCGAAGTGGAGGACACCGAGCGTTTATGACGCGGATTTTCACCAACACTCATATTAAATAATCACAGAACGACTAGAAGGTTGATTGGCAACATCCCGACTTAGTACTGATCCACTTCTTGTGTAATAACCTTCAAAATGACATCACTTTGCAACCCACACGAAAAATTCCATGGACCGCAAATGACATTAAAATTTGATCGAAGAGCGACTGGGAGCGCACTTGACGTGGTACTGCCGAGTACTGAACGCAAAACTTTCACTTGATGCAGCACTTAATTATGAAGTCATGTCGGCCATCGGTTAGTACTATCGGTTTTTGTTGGAAATACCAAGTTTTGGAAGTAATGGACAACAAAGAGTGGTTTCACCTTCTTTCGAGTGTGCAGACCGATTAAAAATTCCGGCCACGAAAAGACACGACCATTTACGAGCTACAATTCCGATGTTTGTCATTGAATCAACCTGATCCGCACCTTGAACAACTACAAAAACTGGCTTGGATTGGGCAAGTGTTGCGCGAAAATTGCGCCATTTTTTTCATTACACAAATGCTTGCTCCGGCTGTGTTATGTCACGGTGGGCAAATTGTCGGAAACGAATGCGAGTTTTTAACGATTAAGTTTGCTCACGTACTGAATCGTGCATCTGGTTAAATTTTATGAGGGAAAGTTAAGGTGTACATTAGTTACAACAGGAAATGCATTATCATAGTTGCGTTACCTACTTATAGCCGATTAACAGCTAATTCAGAATGTTTTGACCTTAACCTAATGTTTCCGTGTGCTGAAACAAGATCTGAACAAGACAAAGATTGTTCTCAAGATTTCTAAGGGAAAACTTCACGCGTAGAATTAACATTCTCAAGGCGGGAAAAATAAAATTGTGATGTAATTTGAATAGACGAGGCTCCAAATGGGGAAAAATAGAAATTCTAGAAGCATGATCGATTCTTGGCTACCATTGATTCAACAGCAGAAAGTTGCAATTGATTGTTGTAATTTGTTAGGAATATCTAAGTAAGTATAATAGAAAGTTCATTACATGGATAATATGTAGAGCAGTGTTACCCAAAGTTGAGCAATAAACACAAAACAGTGAGAGAAACAAATAAGGATATACAAGAAACATTAACCAGAATGCGTCGACGATACTTACGCTGATCAGTTGGGAGTTTTCGCGGTGATTTAGACCACTGCTCCCGAAATTGTTGGGCCCAACCGGTAGTTTTTTTTGCCTTGTGACGCTCTCGAATACTGAAACAAAGTTATATAAAATTGAAGATATTTGAATAGATCAATTATCTGCGCTTATTAATTATTAACACTTTCACCACTATTTAAATTAAGCAAAGAAGAAGGCAAAAATGTTTGGATTTCAACGTATTTGATTTTAAAAAGTCACCGCTAACAAAAAATAAAATCGCTTTTACTTTGCTTGGAAGCAAGAACGGCTGTTACTCTGAAATCTGTATAATTAGTAAAATTTCAATAGATAAGCTCATTAGCATTAGGTGTTACTATTTCAAAAGGTAGGCAACTAATTATACATACGTGTGTGAGACGTTGCATTGTAAAAACAAAAAATGTATCTCTTCATACTCCATTGAATGTTGACACAAAATATTTGATAAAAAGTTTCCTTGAAATTAAAAATAGCGATTATTTAAGACAACTTCCGGCCACAAATATAATAAAACTGATTACTGATACCGCGTTTTTGTAACACAAACTTCCATAAAATCATTTACAATCAAGAAATCATTATTGACGTCATAAAACCGGTCGTGTGAAGATGAACGAGGATCATGGCAATTATTTTCCGTTTAAGGTTGAGCAAAAGAAGCTAAATTTAAATGTTTGTTTTAGATAGTATGTGAAAATACTCACATGATGATTTCATTGTTGTTGTCGTTATCCTCATTATCGGTCACATCGACCCAATCGTCGCTCCGATCACTTGTACTTAAGTCACTTGTGGCCTTACCACTGTAGGGATTTATTCCATCTTCACCCCATCCTACTAAACTAGCCCTCCCGTATAAACTATTACTTTGCTGGTCAGATGAAATTAGAGAGTCTCGATTAGAGCCACCCTCGCGGATCTGACACCCATAAATACTCTCATAAGTACTTTCATTCGATTTGGATTCGGGATTGTAGATCGATTCGTAGCAGTTTGAGACATTTTCCGGGTTCTGAATCGTACAATAGCTACTCCTGGAGGGTGGTCTAGGCGGAAGCGGTTCTTGTTGTTGTCTTTTAGGTAGAAGTGGCGGCGGGAGCGTTTCGTAGATGTTTTCTTTAGCTTCCGGTGAAACACAAATCTCGTACCCATCATCCCCTTCGCAGTACTCGTAACTGTGACTGATTGTATCCTCGTCACGGCTAACATTCAACTCTTCGTAGATCTTCTCTTCAGGGGGAGGTTTCATGTATGTTTTTTTCGGGGGAGTTGGAGGTTTTGTCGGAGCAGACCTTGGAGGAATTTGTGGAGCCGGGTCGACAAAATCATAGAGGTCTTTCCAGTCGTCTTTGGACGCCGACGGCGACTTGTCTTGATTAATACTCCAGAGGAATGAAGTGTTTGGTTTTGGTTTAACGATAGTTTCTTCCGACTTGGTCGGTTTCAAAGCTGGTGTTTTCGCAACGTTGAGCGTTTCGTACATGGAATCACATCTTCGGTGCGGTAATACCGCTGGAATGTTAACGATTTGTACTAGGTCTTCGTCAGTCTTGTCTGGTTTTAGTTTCGTTGGTTTTTCAGGCACTTTAGGTTTTGGCACGAGATTAGGTACTGGGCTTGAGTTCCTACGTTCGAAGATTTCGATTGCAGCACGGACGGTTCCCGTGGGTGACGGTTTGGACGGTGGTTGAGTGGTGGTTTGAGTGTCATCAAGGGGGAGAGTTGTAGGTCTATTTTGTTCGTTCACTAGCACCGGTTTTTCTAAATTGGCACGACTGGGTTTCCGTTTGATCGTCGGTTTTCGCCTCACTATAACAATCTCTTTGTCTTCGTAGGGTTTCGTTTTAACGCTTGGTTTTCGCGTCACAACGTTTTTAACACTGTGCTTTGTCACTTTATCACTATCTAAACTTCTTTGGCTGTTGACACGTTTGACGAGCTTCCGGAATTTCGGTTGTTCCAAGATCGAGTTCTTTTCGTTGATCATGTTGAATTTCATCGTGAGTTCTGCGACTTTGCTGGCACTTATTGTTGTCATTTTTTGGTTGTGGCGGTAGATCGAAGCGGTTTTTTTGATTTTGAAACTGATTTTTTTCGTGGGGGGTTTTCTTGGTTCATTGTTGGGTTCTACCTTTTCTTCTTCATTGAGGTTGCGGAGGAAGGCCTTACGGGATTCTGTAAGGTTCTCTCGCAGCTTTTGTGAATGGAGGAACGACGAGTTTTGGAGACTTGGAAGAGGGACTTCCAGGACGTGAAGAGATGGACTTTGTCGGTCTAACGACAAAGGCTTCTCCCACTGTACTGGATTTAATGTTGCCATCGTCCTGGAAATTATCAATTCATATCTTATCTTGTTTATAGCAGATTATAGCGATTTATAACGTTCCATAGTTGCGTAAATGTGGCAATAATAATGGTAAAGAAAGGAATGTACTTAATACTAGTTTAAAAATATGTTATGACAACAAAACTGCTGCATGATTACGTTAGGTTGTTTGTAACGTTATACATCATTGTTGGCTAATGACTGGTTATCGGAAAGCTGCGGTTACTGTTAATTGACAGAATTTTAATCTTATTCCGGCCAAACACCTACTTTTGTTTCTTATCAGAAACTGGGTAACAATAAGTCAACGTCACCTTCAAATTACTAAACAAAATGACTGACTATATATACCTAATTGCTGAAATGTAACCATTGTGGTAATTTTTTACAAGGAAAATACAGACTATGGAACTAATTAAAATCGCTGCTCGTCTCGACGTCAATTATAAATTCACATTTTGTCGCAACAATACGAGCAGATGTGATCGTATGCAGGAAGTCGTCTTGTTAAGGCAATTTCTTTAAATCCGCATTCACCTCAGGTCTTCACTTTCTATATTTTCACCCTGAATGGACATTCGAATTTTGATCTCGTAAATTTGAATCAATGAAAAGTGACAGTTGTAATTGAATTGAATTAGTGAAATTAGTAGACAAAGGCATTAATTAAAGTCGTTTAGCATAATACGGCGACCTCAGTGGTTAACCAACTCTGATAAAAATCCAGAGTTAAAATTCCGCTCATGGAGTGAATTTACTTACCCGAGGCCACTACACTTTTTTATTCAAATGGGACATGTGCGGTCTCATGGTTGGTAAAATTCTGGAACAAAATAACAGCATGTAAGATATCCAGATCGATAAAATGACAAGCTATTGTAATCCGTATTGGATTATCACAGAAACCCAGTTTACACACGTGTTTAATGTCTAGCAAGATAAAACACATTCGGATGGTAACCTGATTCTCGCATGCGGAGATTTTCATTTTTGTGTTGCACTTTTACTCTTGAAGGGCAATAAATACCATCTTGAATTTCTCTCGCTTCGATTCTCGATCAAGGCTACACATCAGATCGATAAATTTACATAAAATTTCTCTCAAATGGGCATCGTGCCGCACCATCTGAAAAATTCTCGCTAACCCATTTCCTTGGGACCTTTCACCGCATTCAATTCATGCTTGTTGCGCTTCATTTAACAGAAATTTTTCCCAAATATATTTTACAAGTCTAGATCAGGTGATTAATAATGGTGGTAACAATCGAACTGTTGAAATATTCAAAAGACGTACATCCTCTCGCCGGCCTTGGCGACTTTCGCGACAATTTGTCAAAACATTGAACTGGAAGAAGATGTGGATGGCTTCCAGTGACTCAGCGGTCACCTGTTGCAGAGGAATGCATTTTTGCCCTCATGGGCGTATGATTCATCTTTCTTGGACAAAGTGGAGGACTGGTCTTAATTACTGGGTGTGGAGATTTGGCCCAGGAATGAAGCTTTGTACCTCCGTTATAACAATAATTATGAATAATTTATAAGAGATGCTTGTTTGTATACAACAGTCTATTTATAAATGTTGTTAATTATCTGTGTGGTCGATGATTGTCGTTTTTAACAATTTGTGATGGAGAACGGAATTAATGAAATCCCTGTATCATAAATACCACTTCTGAAAACCGTCATAAATTTAAACAGATAACAATAAAGGAAAAAAGTGAAATAATTGACGTTAAATATGAACTTGATAAAAGGTTTTGGGTTAAATCGAATAAATGCAGACCACAACGAAGATATTTTGTAACTACAAAGTTACGAGAAAAATCTGCAATCACAGCAAAATTGTGACATCGTCCTCAAGGTTTAGTCGTGGAAACTTTTGAGGGTGTGTTGGTTCTTGTTTCGACGTTTTGCAAATAAAACTAAAAACTTTCGATTTCACACTTGATTAATGTCTTTAATTCTTATTTTAATGTATTGAAGCGATCCATTACAAGTAAAAGTTGTCTCATCACTTTTCATTTTTTCTGTCCGATAAAATTCCCACAATTTCGCGCAATCAAAAAACTACTTACATGGCACAGAAATTTCTGTTTTCTCACAAATTACATCAAAATCAGATTCCAAAAGTCGTGAAACTACTCTGTAATTATATTTCACTTTACCATTTGATAAATCCTAGCTTTCGCTAGAATTTTGTCTTTTTTATATATCCCGATGGCCAGTAACCTCAGCTAATTTACACTTAAACCATAACTGTTTTTATCACAAAGACTTTATTATGCTCGTTATGCTTATGCTACTTTCTCATAACAGTCCAGACTTTTAAATTACAATTAATTAAAACAGTGCTTTCGTACAAGTCTGGAAACTGCTTAGAAGCTTATCTTGTGGTTATTGAATCATTATTATTATCACTCAAGGACCCACTTTCACGTAAGTAAACTATTCTTAGTGGACTCTAATCGATCCAATGATTCATGCTAACGTTCGAAAAAGTGCCGCAATTCTTTTAAATGAGATTCTTTGCTCTGAAACATTACCATTCTTCAGCGGTATGGGGAGTGCCTGCTGAGGCTGCACCGTTTATTGAATACCAAAGCATTTGCGGTGAACAACTAATCGAAATTTCCATTGCGACACCGCTAAAGTGGAACAAGAAAAAAAATTCTGTTTGAAATTCCCCAAAACTAAGCTTTTTCAATAGGTGTTAGGTCGGTCAGCTTTGGTGGCATTGCACTTCCTGGCCCACTTGATGTAAAGTGTCTCACATTCCGCAGTTCAGGAAGTGTAAAATTATATAATTGGCGTGTGTACAGACCCGTATGCAATATCTTATGGAAAATTGATTCGATTCTTGCGGAATCACTTTCATTGCATCTGATGAAAGTTACATGATCCATAGAATTTTCTGTGACGCAAGAAAAAAAAAACAATTATGAGAACGTCACTAAAAGTACAAGAGGTTTAGCCTTCCAAAAGACACGCAATTGCAACAGCATTTTAATTAGCGATTTTAAGCAATGTCAACAAACTGTTTGGTTTGCAAGCGTCGGCGGTTTACGGTTTTATTGTAAATAAAATATTAATGTTTAACATTTTTGCTTCGCAATGGTGGATTTGTCGAGCATGAAACTTATTATATGGGATTATAAAATACTGTTAAGTGGACATTGCGTCACATTTCTTCGGGGCCAAGAGACCACCAGCTGATTGATAGCCTTCAAGGTCTTTTTTTTTCATTCTAGATAACATTTTTTTCAAAAAACTAAGTTTTTGTCAAAAGAGCAGAAACTCAATAACACGACTATAACGAGAAAAAAATACAATAGTAGGTAACTACTGTCTCACCTTGTACGTTATCATATTTTTGCCCGACGTGGTAACACTCGAATCACCGTAAAACTGCAAATCTAGCACCAGCACGAGTCAAACACTTGAAAAAAATTATTGCCGCATTAATATCAATTGATGTGTGTCTCATTAAACCGGATACACTTCAATAAAACAGTTAATAGCATATTTCGCGCGTCGACCACTCAACGACTGAAATGTTATACTGTTGTTTGACATTTACTCGTTTCTCTTCGGGGAACGACGGCATACTCAGCCACCGGCCGACTTAACATTCCTCAGGTGTATCAAAGTGAGGGGATAGGAGGCACGTAGGTGGCAAATTTTTTCGAAAATTGGTCACGTGGCGCCGATCATCAATCTCGGACTGTAACGGAATTTCGTCTTTGTTTGTCTCAAATGCTCAACACCTGCTTTAAGAGTGTGAATGGTCAAGTCAAGGACAGGAATGGAGGTTTACGACGGGAAACAATAACTCCTTTTTGCCTTTTTCGTAACGGGCGCCAATATCGATCGCATGGTAGCCTAGCAATTCTTAGCACAAACACGTGTTACGGTTCAAAATGAGCAGAGGGTAAGAAATTTTCCCAATTTCCTTTTAGAACAATTTGGAAATTGCAGCGAATTGAACATTTCGCGTTGGTTAGAGGCCCATTCGGATCGCAGCGCTGGCCTTAATACCTTTGCAAGAAGTGCCATCCTGGCCGATGTTTGCGGCGATGGTGACTTTCGGCTGGTCCTCACTGATGTTAAGTTTGAGGCTGATAAGAGAAGTCGGCTTAAGGTCTATAAAGGGACTCTACTGACATCAGATCAGGTCCTTCCAGACATTCCTAGTTCTCTCATTAGTTTCTATTCGGATGAATTGGAACCAAGAGTACCATCGATAGCAGTAGCTTGCGGTTCGGACCTCCTCATTTACAAGAATAGTAAACCTTTTTACAAATTTTGCGTCCCACCAAGTCCCATTACTCCATTAGAGGAGGAAACGTGGAAACGTTTCGGAGAACCCAACTGCGACTTTGATAAAGTCATAAATGACTTAAAATCGGTCAAATTCAACCAACTGAGTGCCCGCAGTCAAGAACTATTGTCCCTCTCTCCCGACCAAATTCAGGAATACATCACAAGATTCACCGGATTGACTCCGTTGAAAATCTCACCAATAGTTTGCATGACAACTCTGAACCGATTCAGTGAGGACAAATATGCAATCGCTTGTCCCGTATTATGCACCGAAAACGGCATTATTTACATTTTGGACTCCCAAACTTTCACAGTTTTGCATCAAGTAATGTCAGTCGAAAAAGATAAAAAAATTCATTTTGCTTGTTTAAGGCTGATGTCTGTAGTGTGAAAACGACTCCTGCTATTATTAAAACAACAGGAATGTTCGATGTTGAGTATCGCATTGTTATAGCTTGTCGCGAAAACAGTATTTGTATTCTTCGTCGAGGTTGGTTGGAGGGCAAGTCGTTGATACAAATGACTGAAGATATCGTTGATATGGTTTTGGTTCCGGGTGATAATTTTATAGTTGTCGCTACAGCGAGCAAATTTTTGCATTGTTACACCAAAAGGGTTAATTTCCCAAAATCACGTATTGTGTTATTACAGTTATTTTTAGGGCCAAAGGGTTTGGTCGGCTTCTATGTTTAGTCAAGTCACTTGTCTTTGCCTTGTCCCTTTGAAGCACTTGAGCACTCATTTGATTGCAGTGGGTTTAAAGGGGGGCTCAGTCCATTTGTACCATGGACGACAACCTGTCGATTATACCAACTCACCTGACTCTCCCTCGGCTCTAGTTTTCGGCCAATTGGGTCAAGAAGAACACGTTATGGTCATAATTACTATGGGTAAAACACTACCTTATTAATCATCACTAATTAATACAAATAATTGTAGCGGGGACTATTAATTTTAAAATACTAAAACGCACTGCTGATTTTAATTTATCGAATCAGGATAAGCTCGCTGCTCCAACTTTGCAAACCAAGCCGTTGCCACTTCCGAAAAGAAGTAAATTATTTATAGAACAAAGCATGAGGGAGAGGCAGAATCCGATCGAAATGCATCAGAGTTTTCAGGAGGATTTGGTCAGGTTGAGACTGACTGCAGCCAGGGCTTTGGTACAAAGTCTGAGTGACCAATCTGGGGCGGGAAATGCCCAAGAAGAGATTAAATTGTCGGCACAAGTCTTAGGATTAGGGCCGAAGTTTACTTTAATCTTAACATTAGAAAATATGAATGCCGAAAAACCGATTTATAATTTTTTAGTAGTGTTTCATGCCAAACCCACTATTTACAAATTATCAACATATGTGATTTTTGTGGGTATCTGAAAATGTTAGAAATTGAATAATTAAATGCTGTCTTAGGTGCCACTAATTCCGCCCGGTCTGTCGTATAAAATAGAGACAAAAGTGACTGAAGTTTTGACAAATGGGGGGAGTCCCCAACAACCACAAGCTATCCGAGTTTTTGTCATGAGAAAAGAACAAGCTAATCCTGTCCTTGCCGCTAGTATTAACATGCCACCGACAGATACTACTGGTTTGCTAATTTAAACTTTTGAATAAAACGTTTTGATTGACATTTTGACTGTAATTACCCCTTATCTCCTATATAATAAAAAAAACTCTCCTGAAATTGAATAAGTCGCAGGATGTCTCTCGACGAGGTCAGTATAACTATTCCTGGTTGCCTATCTAACTGATTTTTCTACAGAAATTCAAATCTGCTTGTGATCAGATTAGAAAATTCACAAAACGGCCTTCAGATTCCGACATGTTGGAAGTTTACTCTTTGTATAAACAAGCAACTGTCGGGGACGTCAATACTCGTAAGTAGTGTTGCTCATTTATTTACTTTCATAATTTTTATTTAGCTAAACCGAGCGAAGCGAAGGCTAAGGCCAAATGGGAAGCTTGGAACGGTAAAAAAGGCCTTAATCCCAACTCGGCCAAAGAACAGTATGTGGCAAAAGTTAAGTCTTTGGCGCCGACTTATGCGTAAAAACTCATTATTCTGGACATGAGGCAACACCGACTGTGCTTTACAAAATCGTTTAGTATTTGTACACTTTTCTAGAGGCACTAATAAAAATTGTTCTCTGCTGTATTGAGTGTTGTCTAGCCCTGTGACCGGTCAATAGTGTGTTGCCTAATAATGCATGACCTTTGCAAGAACGAGTGATTGCAATAAAAAGAAATTTTATTTATTTACGTGTTTGTTACAATTGCATGGATAATTTTTGTCCTTGACGAACCAGAAATGTTATTGGCAAAATACGATAAGAAAAGAGTTTTTACAAAAAAAATCCATCAGTGAGACTGTTAACGAATAAATTATTGCAAATTTTTCATCATTACAATTTGAAAATCCACTAATTTTCTCTGGGATTTACGTATATTTGCTAGTTTCCCTTTCCACCTGCTCATCAGTGGTATAAACGTGTCCTTTTCACGCAACTCCGCCAGAAGTGTTTTAGTCGCGTAGTGTACACGTCTTCGTTCTCTTTTTCCTAATAAATTTTCATGTAAGTAGAAAATTATCAATGGAATTTTAAATACTAGAGCTTATCCTTGTCACCAAATACAGAAAACCACTTTTTTATTCATTTCTGCTAAATATTTGGGTAGTAAAAAAACTCGGTGTCATTTCCGGCAATTTACCTACCTTCAAGCCATTGCTCATCGCGTTGGCTATGATTAATCAAAAATTAATTGGAGCAAGAACGAGATATCGAATATTGGGTAGGTAAGAAAGAGATAAAGAGAGCTAGACAGAGGCCTAACCTCCTTAAGAGGTATTTTTGTAACAAGTTATTTGCCGGGTTTACGTTTTTTGTCGTTTAAATCGATGCAGAACCGGTTTTTGAATGGCGCGCAATGCTTGAATTTTAATATTTGAAGGGAATGCATGGAATGAAGGTCATTATAACAGAAAACGATGATTGTTCTAAATAATAATCACAATAATTACCCCTCAATACAAAACTACATTTGAGACATTCAAAATAATTTGCTTCAACTAATTTAAAGAAAATTACAATGTTTTCTAGTATTTTGACCTCAAACTGTTCTCAAGCATTAGAAAAATGTTATGATACAATTTGTACCGTTGTAAAATGAAGTTTAATTTAAAGATTTCGGCGAGGTTGAATAGACTTTGGAGTTATTATCAGAGCTGTATTAACTTGATAAGTATTTTTAACATATTTACATTTAGATAAGAGTTTGTTAAGTGGTTTTCAGTAATATTGCCACCTATCCCAACAATTACAAGTGTTTTTTTGTATAGTAATTAATAAATAAAAAAAGCACATTACTATAGTTTAACTAATTCGTATTTTTTTAGAACCATGTCTTTGGATGAGGTAATAGTCAACAAAGAAAAATAAATATTAGTCCACTGTGTATATTTATTTTTCAGAGATTCAAAAAAGCAGCTGATGACGTGCAAAAACTAAAATCAAAACCTTCCAACGATGATTTGTTGGAAATCTACGCTTTATTTAAACAAGGTTCGGTTGGGGATTGCAATACAGGTTAATTTTTTGTTCTTTAGATTAAGTAGAAAATTCAATTTTTATTTTTTAGATCGACCCGGTATGCTCGACCTGAAAGGCAAGGCCAAGTGGGATGCCTGGAACGCGAAAAAAGGCATGCCTCAAGACAAAGCTAAGGAAGAGTACATTGCTAAAGTCGAATCACTAGTTCAGTCCATTGGTTTACAATAATTTTATTTAAATTTCCATTGTTGCATTACTTTTGATAATATTTTTTTCGAAATAAAATGTGTTTTTTGAATGTTTGGTTTTCTTGCGTTGGCAACGCCAACGTTTTGACAAGTGACGTTGACGTTAATGACGTACATCGCCCCATTTGCCTTATTATTGAACAATTCCAATAAATAAGCAATGAAAAGTTAATTAAGGGCACGTCGGTTGTAAAACAACGCACTAAATGCCCACCGAGCAGTTGAAATACCCTCGAAGTGCAATCATCGTTTGTCAGCTTTAAGGCGTGTCTGTTTTGTGCGTAATTTAATGCTAAAAATACTTCTACATGAAATTCCTAATGGATTTCATCATGCCACCCTTAAAAATAAGCAAGTGCATGTCAGACGTGGCCCAAGGCAGAATTGACAACTTGTTTTTATCGAAATTGTCAAACGAATGCACTAGTCAAAACACCCAGCACACCTGTCGCAGCTACGTCTCTAAGGTTCTCAACAATTTGAACGAACTTCGAAGACACAACAGGTTTTGCGATGTTGAAATTATTGCAGAAGACAAAATATTCCAGGTTGGTTCACCGCGAAAGCGATTAAACATTGTAACAGATTGTTTGTAGGCTCATAGGGCTGTGCTTGCCGCCAGTAGCCCCTATTTTCAAGCCATGTTTACAGGGGGCTTGTGTGAGAAAGATCAGCAATCAGTCGAACTGCATGATGTCTCTTCCTACATTTTTGAAATCCTGTTAAATTTCATTTATTCAGGGGAGGTGAATATTACACAGAATAATGTCCAGGAGTTGATGGTGGCAGCGGATATGGTGGGGCTGAGCGAAATTGTCTTGGGGTGCACTGAGTTTTTAATTAAGGAACTGCATCCCCTCAATGCTATTGGAATTTACAGGTAAAGGGACTGAATCACTTTCCACAAGTTTGCAGTAAATAGTTCTACTGCTTATTGCTTGTTTTATTATTGTCTAAAATATAAAAATCAATTACTATACTATAAATTCTCAATGAAATCATTGGTATTTTTTCATTGATTAATTATTAGGAAACTACTTGTTTTTTTTATCAATTAATTAATATAATTTTATCATTAATATAATACTGTAGATGTAGTATCAATGAGTGTAGATTATTTAGAGGCATTGGAAACTTAAAAAAGAACGTTGTCCTAAATAATTGTGCTAAAAATGATTATTACAAATAATAAGTTATTGTCAAGTCTGTCAGGTCTTTGGTTTTGGGCTAATAGGCCAGGACATGGACGGTTCTATGATGAGAGGCGATTATATGACATCACGATTTTTGATTTTCAATGCAATTATTTGGTTTTTGTTTCACGGGAAATTTTGAAACAAATACTTATATGTATATAAACAAATAAATAATAGTTATTTGTGTATTAAGGGCATAATTAGGAGATTATGGCATGAGGGAATGTTTAAAGCCCGAGGAACGAAGAACTAATTCAGAAGAAATTTTACAAGATTTTTTTTGAAACTGCTCAGGGAACTCTATTTTGCGTACTTGATACATAAATAGCTGTTATGAAACTTGAAAGATTAATGAGTTTTTATGAACTACACAAGGTCCCAAAATTTTATTTAACGATTTAAATAAGCGTGCGGTCAAGAAAAGATATTAGAAGCATATCGGCAAATTTTTACTCTCAAAAATTTTGCATCGTATTAAACTAGTTGTTGGAAAATAAAAAGATTAAACTTTGTCTATAAATTTAAAGAATATCTTGAACTTAGTTCTTTTACTAAAAAATCGAAAGATTCATTTCTTTTAACATAACAACAATCGATTTAAGTAAAGACTAAATCTAGGATGTGAGTTTTGTTAATTTACGTAATCAGGTGTAAACGGCAAAAAAATGTGTTTATTTTGTACATGTAAATAGGATTTCTTGGGCCTTGAAACTGCAATATAACATTTTAACAATGTTTTTGTAGACTTTAGTAAAAACAAATACATAATCATTGTACGATAAAAAATGAAAAAATAAATAAATAAATCACATAAATTATTCGCGATGTACGCTAATTACTAATTTACGCTAATTATTTAATTTACTACTTTTGGCAAGTAGCCTAATAGCGTTCAAAGTTTTATTGCAACAGAATTTTAATTGTGCTAGGTTCGCCGACGACCACAATTGGACGGAGTTGATAACCGCCGCCGTCCAATACATAGAAAACAATTTCCCTAAAGTATGCAAAGAGGACGAAGTGTACGACTTACACAAAGACACCATAATCAAATTTTTGTCATCTGAAAACCTAAAAATCGATTCGGAGTTTCAAGTGTTCCAAGCAGCGTTGCGATGGATCAACCACGATATCTTAGGTCGACGTCAGTACGTTTTCGACATTTTGAAAAACGTACGACTTCCTTTACTTCCACTCGGTTTGCTAGAAAGGGCTATATCTCAGTGTAACGACAGTAGTTTGAGAGTTGCTCTCAAGTCAATCCATGCCGATTTACTTAACAGAAAAGGTTGTCTCGTTCCGTTAAATGTAACTCCTAGGAAATGTGCCAAAAAAGACATCTATGTGATTGGGGGCTCCAAACGCGAATTACACAGCGTCTGGGATCGGGGGCTAGAAATGAATTATGTCTCAGTGGAGAAGTTCAATACGTTTAGTAGGTTAGTCTCGTAATTTGTGTCTATTATACTCACTTATTAGAATTTTTGGGTTATCAGGGAGTGGCATAAAGTGCCGGATATGACAGTCAACCGACTTGTCCCAGGAGTCGCTTCTCTCAATGGCCATATTTACGTTGTAGGGGGTGAGGAGGGTTCCTCCATACTGTCCAGTTGCGAAAGATTTGAACCTCAGAGTAACCAGTGGACGCAAGTGGCCAGTATGGTAGTGTCCCGTTGCGAATTCGGGTTATGTGCGCTCGATGGATACTTATATGCAATGGGTGGATGGGTCGATACTGACATAAGCGGCTCAATTGAACGCTACGACCCGAAAATCGACGAATGGAGGCTTGTGGGTAGTTTACCCGAGCCTAGATTCAGCATGGGACTAGTCTCATACGAAGGTACCACCCATTTCTCTCGCTCCTCCTACTTCTGAAACTGTTGTATACAGGTTTGATTTACATGGTGGGCGGTTGTTCTCTCAACCAACGCAATCTTCAAGATTTGATGAGTTACAACCCATTTTCGGGCGAGTGGAAAAAACTACCGTCAATGTCAGTGGCTCGTTTTCAGATGGGCGTGGCTGTTCTAGATGATTACCTTTATGTAGTAGGGGGTACGAATCGGCAACAAGTCTTGAATTCTGTCGAACGTTATTCGTTTAAGACGGTAAGTGGGTGGAGTTTGTGAAGAAGGCGTGACTTTGTTGGTTATAGAATAAGTGGAGTATGGTTCCGCCCATGTCGGTCGAAAGGAGTGGCCCAGCAGTGGCAGCAATGGATGGTCTTCTGTACGTAATAGGTGGAGCTCAGACACACGCCACGCCCTTCTACAGGGCCCAGTGTACTATATCGTCAGTCGAATGTTTTAATCCTATTACAAATTCATGGTCGGAATGTCCACCCTTATCGGAAACAAGGGCCGAGGCTGGTGCTGTAGTCATATGATCTCAGTTTTTGATGTAATGACGGGTGATACAACATAACGAAGTAGTTATAAACATTTATTTATTGTCTGTTTTAATTATTAAAGATTTTTATTTTTGTCTGTAGAAACTTAGACCAAAGTATAACCAAATATGCATTTGTGGCTTTTTCACATTTTATTTATACATATATAATATTAGAATATACATATTTGCAATATGAAACATTATGTTATGTGGTAGGAATCTCGCGCATTAGTTATTTGTATTACAAGGGAGGAAAGTGTATCTTTACTTCTCGTAGTCTCGGRCAGTAAGCACCCAGAGAGGAAATGACACTTTCCTCCCGTCTAATACATATAATTTTTTCTACGACTCAACAAGTAACTATTTCTCTGGGGGAGATTTTTACCTCCCCGAGGGGTTACATATATTTTTATGTAATTTTGACATATGAGGAAGGTAAAAATTTTACCTGGAAGGTAATGGGCTACTTTTCTTTCTGACATCAGGGTGGAAAAACTTACTTTCTGTTAGGGTCGTAGAAATAAATTTTAAACTCAGCGGTTGGAATATTTTTGGGGCGAAATTAAGAATTTCAAATAGAATCTCATATTTTTTTTATTGATAGAGATACCGCTTTGCTTTCGATTTATGTCATAATTATGCATTGCCGTTGACCAATCTCTACATAAAAAATAAAGCGATTAATACAAACGCGTGTTTTATTTAAAAAAAATATCACAATGGAAAGTATAAATAAAATCAATCAAAATAATTGACAAAAAGGAATAAAAACTGGATGTCTGAACCAGTTTGTGTTCTGCAACGCCCTGTAAAGAGCCACGGGAAGCGTCGGAAACAAAGATAAAATCGCGCAACTCAACTCTGAATCTGTCAGTTCACGTTCTTCCTGGTTGTCGTGACAGTTTTTGATGAAATTTAACAGTCCGACAACATTGTTATATTCAGTGATTACCACATTGGGGAATTTGGTTGCTATTATATCATGCCATTCTAATTTGATATAAAAATTGGCGTAACCATCGATGCTTCTGTGAAGTTTATCAATGTTGAGCGGCAGAATGTAACCAGTGTTGTTAATCCCGGAGCAACAAAGAATAAAACTCCATTTCTGGACCGGTGACCAAAAAAATGGGTGTCTAAAGAATGAAAATCACAATCGAAATATAATTTAAAAAGTACATACGCTAAAACCTGCTCAATATTGGGTCGTTCGTTAATATCATTTGACATCATCCACAATAGGAGGTCTTTCATATCAAGGTTTTTCATGTTAAGCTGAAGTATTCCCCCTTGTATGTTTTTCAAAATCTCGTCAGTGTCACAACCAAAAGGGTGCTTCCCGTATGATAACATATAATAAATGAGCATTCCGGCCACTTGTATGTCCGATTTTAGCGTACAATCAACGATTGAACTATTCTTGTAAATCTCTAAAGTTTCTTTTGCGAACCAAATTAATGAACTTTTGGGCGCTTCTATAATCTTGTATAAAGCTTTGTGTATTCCAAACTCGGCAATTTTCACCAAACCGTTAAAATCAATAAAAATATTTGACGGTTTGAGATTACCATGTATTATGGGTATTTCGCACTTGTGTAAGACCATCAAACCGGTCAAAAACTGCTTAACAAGCTGAAGACCAGTCAAATTGGGCACCGTGCACACGATGCTGTGTCTTAAAAGTTGGATGTATTGGCCCATCGTCCATTTGCACAATGGTGTGGCCAGAATCAACTCATTCCCTTCGTATTCACACGCGAAATAGTGCAAAACATGATTATCAATCAAACCTAGCAAAGATTCGGCCAAAGTTTTGACCATTTTCCCCACCCAACTCTCCCGTGGGATCCTTTTTACAGCCAAGGGTTGGTTGTTTATATCCAACCCCAGCTCGACGGCTGTAAAGTTAACCCCAGCTGAAATAATATAGTTTACTCTTTGCTCCTTAGTGGCGATACGGATTTCCCCTCCTAGCAGCTTCTGAAAAGAATCGCAGTTCTGCAAGCTGGAAATTTGTGATTTAAGCCGTTTTGGCATATATTCGGAAATCTCAGAGTAGGACTGGGGCTTCGGGTAAGTGCCGCGAAGTGGATACATCAGATCAGCTATTTTGTAAAGTTTTTGCTGACTTAAGTCGTCATCACAAAGCGCCATTATTGAGTTGATTAAGTGAAACCCGTTAGCGATTGTGTTCAATTTCGCTTCGATTTCTTTACGTTTGTTTTTTGGGTCGGGTTCTCCGACTTGGGACAGTTCCCGGAAAAAAAGTTCAATCGGGGTTTCTGATTTGTACGATTCGACGAATGAAACGTCATCGACTTCGTCTATTACTTCGAATTCGATGTCTCTTCGTGCCTCTTCGTGGTTATTGACCACGTTTTGCACGTGTTTTAGCACGAAATTATTGTCCACTTTCGGATTCGTTGTTTTGTATTTCAGAGTAAACGTTTCCATACCGATAACATAAGACAGCATTTTGATTCCCCGGATTTCGTAATTGAGGATCGTCGATTCGATCTCGTTGAGGGCTTTGAGACATTGAGACACGTCTTTGTGGGCTAACTCTTTCACAGACTTGATCAATTGATCGAAGTTTTTTTGTAACTCTTGAATCATTCGCTTTTCACGTGATTCTAGGTTTCTCAAATGTTGATTGAATAACCAAGGGACGTGCTCTGTAATTACCAAAAAGGTGATATATGCAAGAATTTCATTGTAAACAAGCTTTGTTGACTTGATAAATATTCTAATTTTGGAATTTGATCAAAAAGTAAAAGAAATGACAGAAGAGGAAAGTCGTATTTCGGAAAACTTCTTTGTGTCAAAATTGACCAAGTTGTAAACCTGTTTTGTTAGAAAAAAAAAATTCTTACCATTTATATCTAAACAGGTGCAATTGCCGGATATTCTATCATTTTCCCAATGCTCTCGATATTTTCTCACTATCAATTGGACGAGTTGTTTCAAATAATCTATAATGATATTCATGGAACGGTTAATATTAAGATTATATTTTTGACAAGTTGACTCTTTTAGATAGTTAACAGCACTGGCTAGTTTGTCTTGATCTAAAGGAAAGTTCTTTGAAATATCGATCCGAGACATTGATAAGATTTCTTTTTTCCATTGTGGGTGAATTTCTTGTTCAACTTTTTTTTTCTCAAAAGTCTCTATTTCAGTTTCTAGTAAGTGTCGAAGAGAGGTAACTATCGGATTGCGACTTTCGAACGTGTCTGTCGGTTTCAGTAAAAATTCTATTTCTCCATTGGATCCGATTTTGTTGTTCAAATTCGCTTTTGAAGGTCTTTGGTTGAGTTTCTTTCCATTCAAGTTTAGTCTTTTCGTTAGTTCTGCACTTTTCATTTTTGTAAGTCTAGCCTTGATTGCTTTGGAACGTCTTCTTGACTTCTTCGAGAAGTTGACACCATTGTCACTCTTCTTCTTGTCTTCTGAATTTTTGTCTGTCGTATCAACAGAAGGTTGCGACACCACATCCACACTCTCGAAGACTTTTTTCAATTTTCGTTTCTTATTCTTCAACTAAATATACAGAGTTAATTTTAAAACTTAAAACAAGAATATATAGCTACAATTTTTGCACGATTTTCATCTTCATTTATATTTTGATAGTCATTTAGTAGTGGCAAAAGGACGTCCGTATTCTTTTTCATGTTTTTTTCCCACCGTTCATTATTGGTGAACCCCAAAATCAGAACATTGAACGCAATTTTGGCTTCTTCATTTTGTTTTCGCAGAACTTCCAAGACAATGTCTACCAGACCGCTTTCGTAGAAACCTTCAACCAGTTTATTACTCAACTCGACTTTGTACCCGACACATTGTTCGTTGTAAAAAAGAATCTCCTCGCACACCTCGAGGAGAAATTTGACGATGGCACTATTATCCAACCTTGATGTGATAATCTTTAAAAAAACATTACCCACACAAAACCGATTAAAATTCCTCAACTCACTTCTAATAATTGTGCAAATATGTCACATCCCAAAAATATTGAAATTCCTTCTTCCATATAGTGGACTGCGAACTGAACAATCTTGATTAGCATCTCTGCTGTTGCGCACGAGATTTCCGATCTCTTTGCTGTTGCAATTATCAATTCGACTCGGCGGTGCAAATAATTTTCCAATGATGATTTCTTTTTCAATTCAGTTATGATTTTTTCGGTGGCTAAAAATGGCGGCTTGTTCACTTTCATACAAGAAGAAATGGCGTAACACAGGGTCATCCTCCCGTGATTGTCCTCTTTTAGTATATCAGCACCCGCATTGATTAGGATTGTGATAATAGTGATATTGTTTCGAAAACAAGCCAACATTAGTGGTGTAACCCCGTTCGAGTTTCCCGCATCTATGTCAGGCTTTAATTTGGTTTAGAATTTTTTTGCGGTGGAATTTTTAGCTACCTTTTCAGTCAATAGGAGTTTTAAGAGCTGTTCCCAGTCCCTTCGTACACACATATGGAGCATATTGTGACCGTTCTTATTGGTAAAGTTAACATCGATGAAACTGATCTTTTTGACGGACTTCCAAAGGTTGATCATGGATTGTTCGTCCCAAAGTTTGTGTTCTAGAGCTAGAATTAGGACGTTATCGCCACTATCGGTTTTGATAGTTGGGTCAGCTCCGTTGTTTAAGAGATAGTCTACGATGTCTAAATATTTATACTTGATGGCCCACAAGAGGGCCGTCATGTTGTTCTAGAAGGATCTAGTGAAAATAGGTGGAAAATTGGGGAAAAACTAATACCTGACCGGTTTGGTTGACGTTGTATCCGTCTTTGAGGAGTTTTTTCATTAGGTCGAGTTTATAGAGGAGTGTGGCGGCAATAACGAAAGGGACTCCTGTCTAGGTGTGGCGGGTGGATCAGCTGGCGGGAACAAAATTAACTTACCTACCACGTCCTTCATTTTCATGATGGATTTGAGTTCCGTGATTTCTTCATTGGTGAAATAGGCGTGTATTTTTTTATTAGTTAGTGTGTCTTTGCTTTTGGTTACATCGTTAATGGATTTGGGTTTTTTCTTTCCTTTCTTTGCTTTTGAAGACATAAATTTTTCTGACGTTCAGACTAGGTTACTTGGATAAATAAAATTCGGTTTTAAATAAATAGAAACTTTTACACGGTTTATTAAAAAAGTTCAGTTGCGTTAAACTCAGTCAGTCGAGAATTAATTATCACAATACATAAATTCCTAAAGTCTTTGATAGGCATTAGGTTTCGTTAACACTTTGCATATTTTCATCATCACAAGAGTTCGTACTGTCTTGTTGTACATTACAAGAGTTCGTATTGTGCTCCTGCACTTGGCAATTGTTCGTGCTATGCCCACTATCATCAGGATTTCGAATCACTTTAAAATTCGGAAAGAGAGTAGTGTAAGAAGGCGGTTGGTCAAGTTCGTCGTAGTTCGGTGGACTCGGATTTGCTTCTTCCTGATTAATTATTAACACTGTTGTAGGTTGAGTCTGAGTCACCGGCGGTTCAATCTCAGTCTTTGGTTTCTTGAAACAACACTCCCACAAACCACAGAACATCAAAACAGTTCCACAAATCAACATCCCCAACATCAAATACCCCCACGGTCCGTACTTGGACAAGACCTGCGAGATTGAATCTGTTGCTTTGGGCGGTTTCTTGGGCGTAGTCTGTTCCGGAGTAGGCGTGGTTGTGCCTATAACCAATCAGAGATACAAAACAATCGCCACACCTTCGATCATACTTACTGTCGTGTTTTCTCACATCTTGCCACTCCCTCCAACTGATGAAGGGTTTGCGCTGGGGCGGAGTGGGAGAGGCGTTGTCTAATTTCTCATGAAGCCATTTGTTGCCCAACTCTGGCGGTTTCCACTTTTTGAATAACTCCACAGCTAACTGTTCTAAGGACGTTGGAGCGAAGAAACTCTTTTTGCAAAGTTTTTCGTCCTCGTCGCTCGTTGTGGAACTTTTAGGACAGTTTGGGAAGCCGTTACAGAGGAGGTTATCCGCAACGCACATCATAGGATCCCATCCTATCCTCATGCAGGTGTGTTGGCCTTCTTCTTTGCACACTTGACCTTGTCCTACTGCCGTCAGGACGAATTTTCTTCCTTTGGTAAACGCCGGATTTGCTGGAGGGTTCCAGACGATTTTGAAATCGGGAGTGAGCAGATCCACTTCTGTCAAGGCGTTTTCGGAACACGGATCGCCTTTCCAGACTGGCACTCGTGGGTTTTCTGGCAGAAACTGGAAACTTTTTCGTTAGAGCGAGTCGCAACCGACTTGCAAGACTTACGAAGCTCATCACGCAAGGGGGGTGATTGGTGGTGGTATTGAGTTTGAGAGCGCGTTTTATCTCAGGGGTGGGCTCCACAAACTGTACATAGACCACGTGGGTCGAGGGGGCCTTGACGCGCATTTTGCATACGCTGTTGTGTTCGAAGGGAGACAACGTGACTGTCATTGTTGATGTCTCTCCCGATTTGGTCAATTCTATTTCTGCATCAGAGCCACATAGTCCTGTAGTGGCGCTGATTACTGAAACAAAGAAATGCCAGTCAGATATGTCACTCTATACAATATTTATAAGACGGGGCCCGCAGGGGTCCTAATATGGACCCCTGCTATTCAGGATAAATTCATCGATGATGGAGGTTATCGAAGGCGGCGATTGTTGACACGGAGATGTGATAAACTTTGATAAAGAATGACCGATTGCGATGAAAGGTTTGATGGATAGCTTGAGGGTATTTTTAATGATGTCATCTGTTAAGAGTTTGGAGCTAATTTTAGACTTATTTCTTATTCTATACGGTACAGGAATTAATTCATCTTGTTGGTAGTAGAGTCGTGTTGAAGTCTTAATTAATGACCACAGTTTTCGTGGCGCCTACTGGAATTTTTCAAACGACGGAAAATTTGAAATGACGCTTCTGAAAAAGGTTTAAGGCTGTGACAACGCCCAGTCCTTAGCTATGTTCTTGTTATTGACCTAATTTGATTTCGGTTATTCACCAACAACCTTGAATGCACCACCTTAGGCTATACTTATCAACTTTTGTGCTTGAAGGACTGGTTAAGTCTTCGTCATTGTTTTTGTTTTTCTCTTAACTATGGGTTTGTTTTCACGTGAGATGACTCATTTCTTTGAAAAAATTATTTATAGTCAATACGATAGAAAAAATATTTTATTATTCCTACATCCCATTGTTTAATCAAATATCAATTAAATTTTTCAAGGCCGTGCAAAAACCACCAATGGGTATAGGTACGAGTAGAAAGTAAAATTTATTCGTCGTTGTTTTTCATTTCTTGTTTTTCTAGTTAAATACGTAATATCAGGTGATGTGAAAATAAACAAACATTTTTCGAAAATAACAAAATTATGCAAAAATTTTAATTATGCCACTAATTGGAAAAATTGGGAGAAAGCTAATTCAATTCACTCAAAAAAAAAAGAAAAACGTATGTAAACCGCAGAAATTTGCGTATATCAGGAAAACCCAATGGTGCAGAACTGTTGAACATGATTTGCAATTAAATTATGACAAATCCATTTTTTTTAATAATCGTAGGAATAATACTTGAATCAAACGGGGAAAATAGCAATCTGTGCTAAATTTGATGTTTGTTCCGTTAACCGCTAGACATATTCAACAACAATAAAGCAACGTTATAAAAATAATCGTGTGAAAGGATCATTAACTCAAACACACAAATTTGAGTCAATTCTAGAGTTACTGTTAAATTACAGCAGGTGCGAAGAATGACCTCCATTTGAGCCACACATTGTCGAGGCACACACGCCTGTCAAGGACCCCCATGTTGTTAATTTTCGTAATTAGGAGCGCTATTGTATACAAGGAAATGCAATTAATTCGGCACAGTTCCGTTTTTATGTAATCGCATTAGCTAGTGTAATTTTGATGTACTACAAATCAAATTCGCCGCCCCAAAATTGAGCCAACTTTATGAGGGCTAACTATGTGGCGAATTTGAAAAATAATCCTAAGACGTCATAAAAATAAAAAACACAGAGAGCGGAACCGTAAACTTGTTTTCTGTTTTTGTTCCTGCAATATCTGGCTAGCCTTTGACCTTTGTTTCGTATCGAATTTTATTTACTCCAAAATAAAAATTTCTATCAATTGGCTAAGTGTCGTAAAAAACACAATGATTAAATAGGTCACATGTCTCAATTATTCAAATAGCATACAAAAATAATTGGGGGAATTAATACAAGTTCACCTTTCACGAATGTGACCCTTATTTCGTCCTTTTTTGCCTCTGTTATTGAATTAGATCTTTCCTTGAGATTTACGAAAGAATTTAGTTTTTCGAGTCATTAAAACCATTAAACTGTCACTGTTAGACAAGAAAACTGTTATAGAAATCAATAATGATAACCTTACGAACGCACCATGTCAATATTACTGATAACATTTATTTACTTGCTGTGATGAAACTTCAATTGGACGACTGGTTATCTCTTGGACTGGATTTGAAAATTTCCGCATTAAGCACTATGCTTAATCTGCTCTTTTTTATTTTGTTATCTTGGTGACTTCTCAAAGTCAAAGCAGATCTGGATCCAGGACTTTGCACAATTCAAATCGCAATCAAGTTTTTTGAGAGACATTAAAAATGTGTATGTAAAAATGGCAATATCATATTTTTGTTTATATGACACATTTACATTTCAAAAGCAAAAATGGTAATTTGGCAATAAAACCATACCATAAAATGTGTTGGAAGTACTTAAAAGTAACGCTAATTTCTTGGAAGATTCTGTACATTTAAATTACAATTACATCCAAATAAACTGCWTAGATGGCTAAAAACCACTAATATGTCTCGTTATGTAAAACAAATGATAATTCGAGCCAACTTAGTTAAATGTCCCTGATGCATATTATGCACCTACATAGGTGCAAATACAAACTTATAACTATAAGTAATGAAAATGCTCTTTTAATTTAGAAAAAAATGTTATGAGTATTTAAACGAGCAAATACAAAAATTATAAAGAAACTTTGATTTTTTTTTGAAAATTTGTGTCTTTAGAACGTGCTACGGCCTCATTATGGGGAGAAAGTGCTAATGTGTTTGTTTACTCGAATGGAATTGATGAGAAGTGCAGCTCCGGTTTTTACTTTTTCGCAATTTTATAAAATTGGCCAACAATATTTATAACTAATTCATTTTTAAGTATCACTATTGTCGAGAATTGCTTAAATTTTCTTACTATTTGGCAAGCAACCGGTCAGGTCAAGTCAAAAATGGAATGTGAGGTTACGGTTGTGGGATTCCCTTGGTAATAGGGCCAAAAAATGCATGATTATAAAGTCATTGCCATGAAATATCTATGTATGACGGAAAAGAAAGGTGTATTATCAATAAGTTTTTATACCTTTTGCGCTAATTTATGTTAGATAAGGCCCGATGGTGATATAACCGAAACCGGTAGAGCATTTAGAAATTCAAAGCGAACTTAAATTTTTGGTTTATGATTTCCTTTTCCGGTGCATGAGTATGACGAATTATCAACATTCGGATCTTGCATTACCTTCTGACAATTTTTTGTAATAATGAGACTGGGTACGTTTACACACCGCCTATTGAAATTTCTCCATGCGTCATAAAATTCGATTTCGGAAACTTACAGGAAGAATCGGTGGTCCGTATGAGGACGTCTTCGGAACTGACTAGTAAAAGCACACAAGCAAAGATAGCAACTCTGCACATTTTTTCGGTTTTTTAGGAACACCTCAGGTACACAAAAAATTTCTTTCTTCGTCGCATCAAATGCACACTTTCACTGATGCGTTTGGCATTTTTCACGGAAAAACCGGCACGACTCTCGGCCGCACATCCGAACGGTATACTAGCGTTTAAGGATTGGTTCTTTGAAATTCTAGATTGCCGGTTCGTGGGAAGTCACATGATACCCATTCTACTACTACTCTTTCGTCTGCAGCAACACCGACGGGATATTGTCTCTCTCGTGGCAATTGCTCGGCAATTATGCAATACGTGGGCTTCAGCCAAACTCCGGGGCAAATTCACCAGCCGGAGGCTCCTGTAAAAGCAGCCTCACTACGTTAAAATAGTCACGTATCCGGTAAAGGCCTCACTAATTTTCTGGTTGGCGACGAGGCTAATGGTGAGGTTTTTCAAAAAGCGATGGATTAATTACATATCATTAGATTATATAGTCGGCTTAATAAGCCGTCTAGTTTAGGCGATTTTCTACCATTGGTTGGGTTGTTAAATAGCTAAATTGTTTAAAGACAAAATCGTTACAAACAAGGTCGGTATACAGCGAAAATTTTATAATTATGCAGATTTCGTTTAAAAATAACTCGAAGCTGCTCGGTTACAAGACACTGTCTTTTATTTATTGGCTCGTAAAATCGCTTGACTTGTAAACAGAAAAGGCAAGGTTGACCACATTTTTTACGGAGTTTAATTCAAATTATCTCTGCGAAGTAGACTCTTCCATACACGTCTGTATAACTGGTTGCGCGATAGGTAAATTATCTTGCTGTTAATTTTTGGAACGATCCAACAACTACATTAGACATTGCCATTTTCTCGAAAATTTGCAGCATATTTCACATTTTAATACAGTAAAACCTTCGTCAATGGACACCTGTCTAAATAATGGATAACTTTTGTTGTCTCRAACACGAACTGAAAGAAAGAAAAACAGTAAGCCACACAATGAGCAGGTAGTTTTACGATGCTAAGAAGGAATCTTAATTTAGAAAGTAAGATAAAGATAATCCCGTAAAGAGTGATGGAAGTCTATGTAGGTAAAGGCAAATTTGTATTAGAAATAGGTAAATTTTAAGAAAAAAACAAAAATTTTTGATGGAAAATAGGTATATGATGATAGATTTTTATGAAAAAAAGTTTATACCAAAAAACGCTTGAGAATACCATATGATCGAGAAAATGTATCCTTTAGAATAAGACTGTGACTTTTTTTGTACAATTCACATTGGCAAAAACAATTTCACATTCGTCTAGAAGATAMATTTTCTGGATCATACCTATGGTAGGTCATACAATAAAATAGACAAAAATAATCAACACCAAATAGATAAAGCTATGAAATCTAAACAACTTTATCACMGTAAATATTATGTAAAAGTAAAGCGGATTGTAAGTTTGCTGCAAAAAATGTTTGGAAATCCATATTTTCTGACGAATTTTCTTAATTATTATTTATTAAAGATCTCAATTAATTAATTAATAATTAATTTAATATTTAAATTTTTGATTAAATACTCGAAACTCATCAAGTAAAATTACTCATCGTGTGTACAAGTACGACAACAGTTCCAAGGCTTTACTTTATTGTTTTAAGTATAGCACTTAGCACTTGTCAACGTGAAAATTGTTTACACTTTTCTGTAGACGTAGCTACTTCAAAAGCAACTTTTTAGTACTTTTATCACTAAAAATGATAGAATGGCTCCCAAATTCTTTTTTTTTTGTTGTAGTAATTACTATTTATTTCCTAACATCAAAAACATTTTCAAGATAGTATATTCGGATCAAATAAAATTTTTGGCGCCTATGCCGAGGCCAACATTGTGCCATATATCATAAAATGTTTAGTAACTTTTCATTTCAAAAAGCAATTATTAAGTTTCTATTTTAGTTGTCACGTACACACATTAATAGGTAAATTTTTATTGTCTCTCAACTCAGGGTGAAAGAAATTAATAGGTAGTAATCATTTTTAATTAAGATTTGTCACTTTATTGAAAAATATTTGGCGCTCGTCTTTTATTTTGCGACCTAGTTTGTTTTTTTTTTTTTCTTTGTTAGTTATAATCTTTTTATTCCGTGTTATCTTTATAGACCAATAGCCAGTTGGAATAATTACTGTGTTATTTGTTGTGGACATTTACGGAGTAATAAAATGTTATAAACGTGACAAACACTTGACGTGAAATCGTATCTTGCATCATCTAAATTTGGCGCCCATTGTGGGATATCAATAAGTAGGTAGATCGTGTCGAATTTTGTGTAATTTTATTTTTTCGGTTGATTACTCAACGTTCCGTAATTCAATGTCAAGAGTGTTTAAAACTGTCCACATCGGTATTTTCCTCAGTTTTTGATTAGTAATAAATCAATAAATCCGGAACAAGATTTGATTTATTGTGTAGAAGTAGGGACGTCACTGTGAGATAAGTAGATGAATAGTGTTAAATTAATTAGCAGTTTTATTTTTCTCCCATGATCGAACTTTATCTTTGTCTGAATACAAATATAGAACTTGTACAAATTTGAACAAACGACTCGTACTATATGTGTTTTACCTTGAGTCTAATGTGCGATTGGAATGCAAAATACATTTTAATTGCATTAACAGTTTGGCATGGAAGATTTTTCAGCATAACCGTAATAATTAGAATATTTGGATAGAGATTGTTTTGATTTTATTTATCACTTATTAGTGTAGAACAATACAGTGGTCAGTGATTTCACTGACGTCACTTTATACAAACATAATATCACATACAAGAGACGTATAAATAAATTATTTACAAGCAGGTACAAAACTTAATCTACAACTCTGACAGTCTTATAGTTAAGTAGACTTATAAATAAGGCACAAGTTTTGGGTAATAAAGTAATACTGTTTCGAGTCAACTCTACACCCTAAGAATTATGGCTCATCCACCAGTCCGTAATACTTCCTCATATCACTATAATATCACAATGTGCGATATCAGCGCCCCAACATTACGATAATCTCATATTTGGTCGAGTTTCTCAACATTCATTTATCGCCTTCAGATCTCTTATCAAGCAATAAACTCGTTTTATTGTTTTCTTGTTTCACGTCACTCTCAACACTTGATTGTTTTCCGTCACGGCTGGAACAAAGCTGTGACCAGAAGCACTGAAATACGAAGGGGGCGCATCTTCCTGCCGACTCTCCATAATAGGTGCAAAAGCATGGACAGGAACTACATAAATGTCGTACTCGCTCTTCTCACCGCCTCTACCATTTCTCCCTAGACAGATACTCTCATACGAAGGAGGAGCGAATTGGTCGTAAGATGGGGGCGGCGTATCGGGCACGTTGAGGGTGGTGGCGGCGGGGGCACTCCTGCCACAGTTCTGACTGTTCCGGAGAGCTCTTCGGCAACACCACTCGGAACACGAAACAATGAGGAAGAACACGATAAGGCCCCCAAAAGAAGCGATATACCAAACCACTGACCAAGAGTCCAAAGGAGTGGAGGTATTGTCGGCTGTAAAGAGAGCAAAGATTAGGTTTTGGCTTAGAAAATCAAAGACATACTATCAGGAGCGCCGACTAGATGGGTGCTTAGATATATACTATGCCCAAGTCAAATTCTGACCTTGATTCTAAAATTAAGTTGGCGACATTGAATAATATACACTATTCAAAGTAACCGACTTTATTTCAGAATAGACAGTAGAAGTTTTGTGAAGTTTTTTTACTTCTTAGGGAAATGACCAGAAGAGTTATCTACAGTAATTTTAAAATTAAAAACACGTGCAAGATACATAGCATTTTCAAATAAAACGTATCTTGATATAACCAGAATGGTTAAAGGTTATTATTTTACTAAAATAAATTTTTTGATATTATTATCGCATCTTAATCATCCAATTCGTGCACTTGTTGAAAATAAAAAGTCGGCGTCCATGAGTACTAGAATACTAAACTAGATACTAGAACCACTAGAGCATTATTTACCTCCAGTGTATTTATCGTTGTTTACGAAAAACAAAAACAATCGATTTTCAGCGTCATCAGCACCTAACAACGCAAAAAAATCTTTAGATGGTAGGTATTCCTTTGTTAGTGTACTGACCTGGAAGTTTGGTGGATTCGAATTTGGTACTTTCGTACATGTCCTCTTTTTCTTTATCTTCAAAACTGTCTCGGAATTGACTTTTGTCATAAGGGAATAAAAGGTCCCTGTCTAAGTTAATTGGTTGGCCATTTTCTTCTTCTGAAACCAAAAAACGTTATTTGTATATTGATTGACGTAGATTTAGTTGGAATACAAGAAACATTCCATTGAAACAATGACCTGCTTTACGCTATTTGTTTAATATTATGGAGATTTCCTCGATTATTTTTGGTAATGCAAAACAGATTTGCATTTTTTGTTAACAATGAGATTGACTTCACGGTGTGGAAGCTGGTAACCTTGAGTTTTGAGGTGGAGGTGTGCAATTGTGACGGTAAAAAATTCCCAGTGCGGTTCTTAAGACTTTGATGATAAAATGTGCAAAAAATAAGTCTGTGGACTTTGGAGCTTTGGAGATGATTAAGTGACTAAACAAGTTTCGCAATAAATGGAAGACGTTGAGAAGCCGGTTAGAGGAAGTTGAGTAACCGGCGAGCGGAAATTGGACCAGTGACCATACAATGTCAAGGGAAACTTGAACCAAAGTAGGGGAAGTTACCAGAGTTAGCATTAAATTAACAAGACGTTAATTTCGTTGGCAAATCAAACATTAACGGCAGATTTTTACCGTGTTATATTAAATTAACAGTTACGTCAATTCTTATATTAACACTTTTAGTCTTTACAGGCCCAAGTAATAAAGAAATCCGTGCCATGATATGGGCACGAGTTGTCTTGCTGTATCAATATGAACTAAGTAATTTATTAATTTGAAGGATCAATTACGATGACCCCAACCATTTAAGATTTGGCAGTGAAAATAATATTTAATAACTGAGGTCACAATTGTTGCTGTTTAACTAACCTTACATAATTCAAATTTGGAATGGTCATACGTATCTAATTTCCAAAAATAAAAATAGAATTGCGAAATGTCAATAAACCGCAGACACTTCTCACTGGACACAATAATAACATTGCTTCCTGTGAGTGAGTAATGTGAATTTTTTGAGTTATCTCCTCGAAACTGGAAACATTGTGTAATGGGAAAAAGAAGTCAGACAGTAGAATTAAAACCTTCTGAGAAAATTATCATAATTAATACGCTTAGTAATCGTGGGATTAAATTTTTTACGTGTTAAGTAGCACGTGGTAGCCAAATTAATACTAAAAAAAGTAAATATTGATACCTGGACTATTTTTTAAATCACCGGATTGTCTTATCAATGACGCTGCGTGCATCTATATTGCCAACCATAAATTTTAATTTCTGGCAAAATGATGATTCACTGACGAATAAATTTCCAACAGGAAAGTAACAAATAGTGTAAATTTACCTGTGACATATTAGGCAACAATGGGATTAGTGGTTAAGCCACGGGTCAACAAATTTGATCCAGTTTTTTTTAAATATTTGTGCAGTGTCAAGGAACGTCGACCACAAAAATAAGTTGGCAAAAGAACACCAACACCAACAACCTCTAAACTAAATTAAAATAAGAAACGGTTTGTTATTTTAATACGCGCCCGGGAATAACTAAACAAACAATTTTCGTTTTTTGTACCAACTATGAAGATAACGACCGACTTAATTGGCGTTTTAAAACAAAAACAGTTTAATGGCTAACTAGTCGATTACGGTGTAATCGGTTAATTGTGGTGTTAACCGTGACCGCCGCATTGTCCTGTCGATCCCATGGTTAGCTGAAACTGTCCTAGATTTGGTGCAAAACGGGACAGTCGAAAATAGCAGARACGCACTCACCTATCGGCCGTATGCTGTAGCCATAAATCCCCGTCATACTCAAACACCACACACTTATAGCGAACCATTTACAGCACGGAAGACCCATTTCGATGGACGCTAACCCGCCACTATACATCGACAACAACACCGCACACTTTTTATTAATTACCGCAAAGCGCGATGTCTCGTTCGTGTGTGATTTCAGGAATGGAGTTTACGTCGCGATCCGGTCGGTTTTGTACCTGTCGTGGCTTATCAGCAGGTGATAATGATCTTGACGGTATCCATGCGAAACGTTTCGTCATCGAATAACTCTTCTTTGATGTGTTATGGACCGTCTTATCGGTCGAGTGCCATTTTCGACCGGTGGACTTGTCTAGAGGGTTATTTTTTTTCGGAAAATTGGTTATCACGAGACCACTTGATGGTACGGGAATGAAATGAGTTGCTGCTGCAAATCTTAGAAGACGTCACAGACGCATTTTTCCGGGTTATTAATAGGACGTGGTTTTCTTTAGTTTTAAGAGTGGTATCGGACGGTAATGGAAATTTGTGCAAAAGTTGATTATTTTGCTTTTGGCAACACAAGGTCAATGCTAATGCAGTATAATGGTGCCTGCAAATAAATTAGAAGGTGTACATGTTGCCAAGTTATTAGACAGTGGGCAGTGGGAAGGACGCCGATTTTTTTATGCATATTTCGATTAGTATTTCGGATCGTTTKGTCAACAAGTTCTCTTGTAATAAAATGACTTTATTAAGGAAGTGTACTAATTATAGTACTATCACGGCCTTATTTACAGCATATTTTCAACTGGTTTTATCTTTTTAGGTACCTCTTCCTTGTTTATGAATRTTTAAGTTCATTGACATAAAGGCAAAAATATTACTAGCCTTGCCTTATCGATGTCCATGAAGAAATTAACACGATTATAATTATGTACACCATAATACGACCAAAGAAACGAATACTATCGAACTCAAAATATGGTAGATTTCAGTTGATTGTGGTATCTAAATATTTTTTAAGATTTTGGTGAATGAGTTTATTGTAACTAAATTATGAAAATATTGTGTTTAATCTAAAATAAACGTTTTTTTTTCTTTAATTAATTTAACGTAAACTAAAATACAAACAAAATTTTTCGTTTTAATTGAACAGTTAGCTAATAATTCATAACACTATAAACAAATTGAGTAACAATCAGGCAGATATTTCTACTTAGATACAGGCATTTGTTAAAATTAAAATTAGTTTAAAATCTTACAATAAGAGTTTATTTCTCAGTTAAATATGCATTGAGTGGCAAAATTATGGAATAATCTTATGTATTAAAACAGAAAATATGTATTATGTTTTGGCAAAAATTCTCGAACAGGTCAATTTTCTTTTTAAAAATACAATTTTCTCAACTTGATTTACAATTGTATGTTTGTTTTTGGTTCATATTAAAGCTTACGTTTTTCACTTTTAGATTTTTTTTTAACTTAATATTTAATATTTTAATGTTGTGATTTTGACAATTAAAATATCTATCGAAATGGGTAGAAAAATTAAAGGTTTCCATTAAAGAAAAAATTGTCGATGACGTCATTACTTAAAAACCTTAAAAAGTGTAAAATTTTAAATCGAGTTGAGAATTGTGCGTTTTTAAAAAGAAAATTGACCTTCATTTTGCCAAATGAGATTATTCCATAATTTTGCCGCTCCTATATTGTATACAAGTGTAACTTATATTCTCTTTCTTTCGGATTGTAGCCGCGAAGCCTAAATAGAAAAAATTGTCACAAAATTGCTGCACCACAACACCACTGAAAAAAGCCTGAATAAATTTTCTGCGGTAATATTATACTTTGTATGCCAAAGATACATAAATTGAATAGCTTAGTTAAAAAAGAAAATATATAAGTCTCTATGTTAAAATTATTTATAATAAATTTGGAATGAAAGTGGGCTTGAATTTTGACGTAAGGTTGAGAAGAGTTAGTGTGAAGTGTTTTTTTTATGTTAACTAAAATGTCAACTGTTTGCAACTGTGGCCCTTTTCTGCCGTTAAATTAGTCGTAAAAGCCTTACCTGTTTAAATCAGTATTAAATCAGTGACTATGTTTTTGTTTCGTAAATGCAAGGTCTTCAGTTCTTTGCTTCAATTATTATATTTGATTCAAAATAAACATTACATAAGGGAAGGGCCTGATTTGTTTGTAATAAAAAACGACGATATGTAATTAGAGATGTTGACATTTTTTTTAAAAGGAATTTTGTTATTAACAAACGATGGATGAACAATGGCTTTTTCGGGGTCCCGAAGTTTTTTAATAAAGCTTATTCCATATCTGGCGAACTGACAGTGACAGAAAAGACACCTGGAGTGCGCCCACTTGGTTAAGATAAAAAAAATACATGGGCGTACTTTTTTTCTGTAAAGACAAGGATTGTTAGGAATATCATTTTTGAAAATTCTTTTAATGCGTTAACAATTTAATAATTTGTTCATCATTCTTCATCTTATGTATGAGTGCCTACTTATTATAATTTTTTAAAGAATAACAGTGGTTTTGAAATATTATCTCATACGACGCCTATGAACAATATTTTTTTTAATCGTAAACATATGTTTAGTGTCAAAATTCAATCATTTTTGACAACGTCGGTTCGCCACCAGATTTGGAACAAGCTCTATTAAAAATATTATTTTGGTTAGACGTTGAGGTTGATTTGTTGTAGATTTTGTTTATTTGTTGTGTATTTTTTGCAGTAGGTATACAATTATCTCTACAAAATGTGTGGAAACTAGAAACAATAAAGRATTAACTGATTAACATTCATTGTTAGCAGAATAGCAAGTTTCGTATAAATTCGGATAAATTTKCAATCGTATAATCCTACTAAATAAAAGTCATTAGGTATTGAATAAATTGAGATGGTTACTAACAGCCTTGCTAAGAATAAGAAATATACAGGGTGTCAATTTTAAAACTTGCAATCGCCAATATCTCTAGAACTAAAAAAGTTATTGAGAATCACTCAAAACCGTTTCGGTGGTTTTTAGGGGGAATCAAGATGGCATGGTAAGTGACGTTCCTCCACCCACCGTTCAAGCYACAGCCACCTTAAGTTGAAATTTTAAATGGCGCGACCCTACTTGCGATACATCGTTGGAAAGCYCATAACAAGCGCTTTTCAAAAATGTCATACAACAGCCTATTGGRTAAAGCCATTTTTCCAATTATTCAAAAACGAAGACGTTAAATTTTCATTTTTTTTATTATATTCAAGGGTGGGTGGAGGTGTGTCACTGATCATGCCATTTTAATTTCCCCTAGGAACCACCAAAACGGTTTTGAGTGATTATTAATAACTTTTTCAGTTGAGAGAAATTGCCGATTGCAAGTTTTAAAATTGACACAGTGTATATTAAATTTAGTTGAAAAACAAAAAATCATTCTGTATCTTACAAATGACTATCTCGATTTTATCCTATTGTATAAAGAAATGAAGAAAACTCTAGAATCTCCATTTATATCTTTAAATCTTTATCTCAGTTCTATAATCAGGGCTTACGCAAGTTCACTGTTCTATTTATTTAAATGCTCGAGATAATGTTGTTGTTGTTGAAGGAGTACTCATTCTTTTAGATTGCAGCTACAATTAAATCATCAAATCTCAGTTATTCATATCTAAAATTTAGAACAGGATTGGAGAACCTTTTATGTTTGAGGACTTCCTTTTTTTTTCTTACACGTTTGGTAGGTTTTTGTAAATTTGAGGCTTCAAATTTGTCCCTTGGTAACTGTGACTCATTGTGAAATTTTTTTGTTTTTCATAGATTTTGGATAGAAGAGGTAATGTAATAAATCAAGAGGTTCAATTGAGTAAACAAGATTGAAGTTGTTTATTCATTTAATCCAAAATTTTGTTAACCAGACAGAAAAATATTAGAGTGTTTTTTTTATCTCAATTAGTGCATACCCTTTGATTTTCTTTGTGTGAGCTCCTTATGTAAAGTAATTAACATTAGGCAAGGTTTTTTGACCTGCGTTGTAACCAAATAATTTGTTTATCTTTATGGGCCGAGATTTACGCAAATTGTACAAATAAACTGCAAAAAAGCACGAAAATAACACTAATAATTAATTGGACAAACAATTATAATGTGTTTTTGTTTTCATCAAATGCAGATGAATTTTCTCGAGGCGTTGTGTTAGATAATCTACGGGATGAAAAACTATAAATAGTTATCTAGGGTTATTAATATTTTTTTATCTCAATTAACACGATAGTATTTATCTGTAATATAGGTATTGGCAATAATTAGAAAATTTCCAAGTGTGGGGTGGAAGTCCAGCACTAAGGAATATTTTGCCGATAAATAATTCGATCAATATTTAAACTGTCGGTATCATTTTTTAGATATGAGTACATATGCCCTAGCGACACATTAACCGAATTCGGGAAACTGGGTCATATGCAAGTGTTTACAAAAATCTGTAAATTTTCAAAGATAAAAATTGGAGACAAATAGATTGGTGATCTAGCAATTTTTTGTAAAATCATGTCATTAAAATGGAAGAACGAATCACGGAATTACCTCGCCTTTGTACTGACCAGAACTCACTTCTTGTAAATTACAATGGATATCAAAATGTGACGTCGAGCCTTTATCTCCATCTTTTTTACATTAATTGCTTTGGATATTTGTTTTACTATCAATAATGACGTCCATAAAACGTTAAAACCTTAACATACATTTTTGGAATAAACATTTGTTAGTATTATTACTACCGCACATTCTTTCTTCTATTTTTCCATGACAATGAATTTCTTCGATCACTCATAAGTTGTAATATGGCGAAATGTTAAAATTCGTCATATTTATTTGGTATGGTTTCATTATTTGTTTCATTTGTGGCAGTAAATATGAGTAATGGCATGGTCATTTGAACAAACAAATGATTATATAAATAATTTCTTTTTTCTATTCCTACATCTAAAATACGGATTGTCGTAAAATGTTTCTATGACGTATACACGTCTTGACAAGTCGTGACTAATATGTGTATTAGTTACGTTGCTAATAGCAACTGTCGTATTAGTCACGGGCTGAAGATAGCTTTTTGTTATTTAATTTATTTTTAATTTAAGTATTTTTTTGTGGTAGTCGTAGGAAAAGTAAAGTATGTAACACGTGTATAACCTTTAGACATTCGTTTTGTTAAACACTCGCTCCGATGCGCTTCATAAACCTCTTGTCTAAAATGGCGTTTATAGCACCAGTTACATAATATACTGTTATATCATATTGTTATTTAGAAAACCTAATGTGTTTATTAAATTGGTAATTTGATCATTTTTTAAACACACAGTAGCATTGATTTGTTGTAACTTGAAAGTTTAATCATAGTCAAATGACACTATAATTTTACACAACAATGGGTTTTATTTAAAACTTACACTACCTTTCAAAAGTTTGAGTCCAAAATTTAATAGAAACATTTTTTTAAATATTTCTGCAATTAGTTTATAATGAATTATAATAATTAATAAATATATTTATTTATTATTATTGATTTATAATAAAAATAGTTATAATGCTTGTGTTTGTTTTTATCTGAATATTAAATGATTTGAAACAAATTATTAAATATAAATTAACATAAAATTATACAGGGTGCGCCACAACTCGCGCCCCAGAGAAAATTTTCAAGTAAGGTAAGATACCAGGAACATGAAAAAAATGTTTAAAAAATTCTAACTGTCAAAAAATTTTGACATTTATTTTTTGACATTTGACATTTTTTTATATCTATTTAATGATACTGATGATCTTGTATATGTTTTTTTACAATTATTTAGTAAAGGGACAAAAATTTTGCCAATAAAAGCCACAAATAACATTGAAAAGAGTTACAATTTAGCTTCCTTCCTTCCTACAGCTTCCTTAATTCCTCTTTTAATAGCCTATAGCAAAAAAATTTGAAAAATTATTTTTCCAACAGAAATAAATAGAGTCAAAGTGCAAACTTTAAASCCTCATAACTTCAAAATTTTTATAGATAAAATTTTTTTAACATTTTTTCCATGTTTCTGATATCTTACCTTATATGACATTTTTCTCTGGGGCGCGAGTTCTGGCGCACCCTGTATACACAATCATCTTGAAACTGTAATCTTGGGAAATGGTTTCAGATTTTATTTTTATTTTGTCTCAATAATATTTGAGCAAAGAAACTGTTCAAATAAAGAACCTGTTTTAGTATTTCACTATTCAAAGTTAACTTTTGTAAATCTATTGTATTTTGTTTTTATTGATAACTTCTTTCTATTCTGATAATTATTTATACATTTTATTTTATACATACGGGTTATCCTGAAAAAACGTTGGTTCTCTAGGTTAAAATAAAAAAAAAGTTCTTATAGTAACCTTTTTATACTTACTCGTAATGTTCCGGACAGTATGAAATAAAATATTTTTTTACTGAAAAGCATTTATTTAAAAGTTATACATAAAACGACAATATTCCGTCAAAACCGATAAGTCAACTACAGGCAAACAAACACTAATTTATTTTTCCTAATTAATCTTCCAGATAAGCGTTCTTACGTGGATTGGTGCAAAAGAGTGAAATAAGAGTATGAAGTTTTTAGTAACTAAAAAAAATTGCATCATTTATTTTTAACATTTTTTCAACTTACTGTAATAAAAAGGTCAAAAGACATAATTCCCACAGGAGTTGCCTGAAGGTTGAAAGCTTTTTGAGAGCGGACCAAGAGCAAAAGCAACTCTTTTTGTGATTTGAGTGGTGCTTCGTACCATTTTGAATTCAGAGCTGCTTGTGGGACGGTCAAACTCTATAAATTATATAATGTAATAAAAGCCTTGTATAAATTTTTGAAATACTTCTGAGAGAACAGCCTGACCAGCATGGCAACAGATAAAAAAGCTGCATATCCATCCTGCAAAATGAATCACAGCTCCAACGCTTTTTTCCTGAAAATTTTTTGAATCAGGGTTTTATTTTACAAATTTGGTATAATTACTTTTAGAATTTGGTTTAAAAGACTGGCAATTATGATTCCCACCATGACTACATAGCATCCATTGCAGTGTTTGTAACAGACATTAAACAGTTCATTTGTTCTGAAATTTCGGAAAATTTACAAAAACCACATTTTAAGGAAAATTATACCTGATGATATGTTGTTGATAACGAATGCAGTGTAGGAGCTTGTTTTCTATGACTTCCTCCCGAGGATCGTCGTAAGCTTCTCTCAAAAGTCTGTTAAGGTGCTTAATTTTGAGACAGATATACTGAGCTACTTCAAATGTAGTCATTGAAACCGCTGCACCTCCCGTAATAATAATATAAAGTCCAAAGAGTTGATTAATCCAGATAATGTGTTTTAGTGGGAACCACTCGATATTAAATGGTGCCCAAAAGGGTACAATCAAACCACAAATTTCACTTAGACCTTTTTCTTGATTCAGTTTACGACATTCAGGCATTTCTACGATTTGCCATAATGCGTAAACTAGGAGCCCACCATCAGCATAGTATAAATACAATCTAGAATATAAGTTGAGCCTTCCACTGCGTTTTTTGAAATTATCAGGGGCGCCAAATATTTCATGGGTACCTAGTTTTGCCAGAAGATGGACAAGTTTATCGTGGCTCCAGACGAATACGATGAGCATATAGGTCAAGCCTGCGACTGCAGATAAGACAGCAATGTTTGCACTTAAGTNAAGATGGACAAGTTTATCGTGGCTCCAGACGAATACGATGAGCATATAGGTCAAGCCTGCGACTGCAGATAAGACAGCAATGTTTGCACTTAAGTCTACGTCTAGATTATCTGAAGAGATATTTTTACTGTTTTCAGTTAAATTTCGAACTTTTATCTACCTTTTAAACACACAATGAGGTGTGCTGCTAGTCCTACGGTTAAAGGGGAACAGAGAAGAATAACAATTAAATAGCGTCGACGTAAATTTGTTTGTTCATTTTGAGGCCACAGTTGCAGATTTTTCATGATTTCGATACTTTTTTGTAAAACTGGGGACGAGTCTTTTGCCATTTTAACTGGCAAATGTGTATTTTATTAACGTAGAAGCTTTATACAGGGGCTTTCAAAACTCGGGCTTCAAAGATAAATGTCATATACTACCAACAGTTATTAGGAAATACAAGCAAGAAATTTATTTTTACTTGCACAGCAGAGTTGAGCGAGTTTTAAATCCACCAAGTCCAGAAGGGTTGTTCGCGATGCTACTACAAAATAAAATCGTTTGCTAACTTTCAAGTTTTTTTGTTCACACTGATTTGTTCAAACAGTCGTTCGCGAATGATTGACCCATTAGTTTTCCAATACGCTTGAACATGTATTTTTTGGTAATGTATTGAACAGTGCTTGTGGATCGAATGTCTTGAATTCGAATAAAACTGCGTGTAACTTTGGGTGAGTCTTGAAGACATGCGTATTCGCGTAACATCACATGCAAAACTTTTAGTTTTCGAATTCTGAAATATTTATTATTTAGTTATGCTGAGTTTAAAGTATTTACGAATAATTCTATCTAATCCGAATACATATTTAGAATATACCTGTATGAAATATCGTTTGAAGTATCTAGTCGAGTCTCGGTTTCTAACTTTGTTTAGAATCAGTGCATTTGCATTTGAGAAAAAGACTCGATTTATTTGAATCAAGTTGAAATAAAATGAAATATAATTTACCACCTAAAAATCTTCAGTCAATAACTACGTCTATAAAACTTTAACACAAATTTTCAAAATAAATAATTATTATACTTGTTACTATCCCACCTTTTAATTTATTAGCCTGTAATTTTTTTGTACTCTACCACCAATCATAACAGTTTAAATTGTAATCTAGTGACATGGTTTTAGGTTTTAATTTTTTGCTCACAAAATAATTTGAGCTAAGAATTTGTCCAAATTCAAATGAAGAACCTGCTCTAGTATTGAACTATCCAGAGTTAATTTTTATCATCTTATTGTACTCTGTATTTATTGATAACTTCCTTTCATTCAGATAAATGTTTCTAAAAATAATTTCCTTTATATCATTGATGCTTTTTTTATATTTCTCAAGGGCAGTCCGGAAGATTCTTATTTAACTGATAGTTTGTTCACTTATAGTACCGATTTGTTGGAAATTGTGGAAAATTTAAATTAATAGTATATTATAATACTAGTTTATAGGCAAGCCTTTAAAACACGTATGAATGCTTTTAACGTCGTAAGTGTGTTAAAGGCGTTTATAAACCAGTGTTATACGCTATTTTTTATTATACCTGCCCATTTACGATCTTTTATGAGCATTGAAAAAATGTGAATTTACACAATAAAATTATCAAAGGTTGTTTGTGAATCGTTTTCGTAGAGACGGTTACTAGTTTACGTTGTTAAGCAGCACATTTTTTCACGTTGTAGGTAATTGGTCCAGACATTTCACTCTTTCTTGTTACCTAGAGAACTTTAAAATTTCAGCGTGCTATAAAGGCCAAATTACCCACGCTGCAGAGTGTTTTAATTTAAGATTATGATGTAGGTATAATAAAAAATAATTTTAACTACAACAACTTTTATTTAAAACTTATATAACGACAATATCCATTCAAAACTGATAAGTCAAGTATAGGCTAACAAACACTATTTTTCTAATTATATTATTAATCTTCCAGATAAGCGTTCTATGTGGATTGGTGCAAAAGAGTGAAATATGAGTATGAAGTTTTTAGTAACTGAAAAAAAAAATGTCATAATTTATTTTTAACATTTTTTCAACTTACTGTAATAAAAAGGTCAAAAGACATAATCCCCACAGGAGTTGCCTGAAGGTTAAAAGCTTTTTGAGAGCGGACCAAGAGCAAAAGCAACTCTTTTTGTGATTTGAGTGGTGCCTCGTACCATTTTGAATCTAGAGCTGCTTGTGGGACGGTCAAACTCTGGAAATTATATAATGTAATGAAAGCCTTGTATACATTTTTGAAATACTTCTGAGAGAACAGCTTGGCCAGCATGACAACATATAAAAAAGCTGCAAACCCATCCTGCAAAATGAATCAAAGCTCCAACGCTTTTTTCCTAAAATTTTTTTTGAATTAAGGTTTTGTTTTACAAATTTGGTGTCTCTACTTTTAGAAGTTGATTTAAAAGACTGGCAATTATGATTCCAACCATGACGACATAGCATCCATTGCAGTGTTTATAACAAACATTAAACAGTTCATTTGTTCTGAAATTTTGGAAAATTTGCAAAAACTACATTTTAAGGGTAATTCTACCTGATGATATGTTGTTGATAACGAATGCAGTTTAGGAGTTTTTTTTCTATGATTTCCTCCCGAGGATCGTCGAAAGCTTCTCTCAAAAGTCTGTTAAGGTGCTTAATTTTGAGACAGATATATTGAGCTATTTCAAATGTAGTCATAGAAACCCCTGCTCCTCCCGTAATAATAATATAAAGTCCAAAGAGTTGATTAATCCAGACAATGTGTTTTAGTGGGAACCACTCGATATTAAATGGTGCCCAAAAGGGTACAATCAAACCACAAATTTCATTTAGACCTTTTTCTTGATTCAGTTTACGACATTCAGACATTTCTACGATTTGCCATAATGCGTAAACTAAGAGCCCACCGTCAGCATAGTATAAATACACTCTAGAATATAAGTTGAGCCTTCCACTGCGTTTTTTGAAATTATCAGGGGCGCCAAATATTTCATGGGTACCTAGTTTTGCCAAAAGATGGACAAGTTTATCGTGGCTCCAGACGAATACGATGAGCATATAGGTCAAGCCTGCGACTGCAGATAAGACAGCAATGTTTGCACTTAAGTCTACATCTATACTGTCTAAAAAGGAATTTTTTGGTAAAATTTTATACTTTTATGTACATACCTTTTAAACACACGACTAGGTGTGCTACTAGACCCAAAGTTAAAGGGGAACAGAGAAGAATAACAATTATATAGCGTCGACGTAAATTTGTTTGTTCATTTTGAGGCCACAGTTGCAGATTTTTCATGATTTCGATACTTTTTTGTAAAACTGGGGACGAGTCTTTAGCCATTTTGACTGGCGAATGTGCATTGTATTGGAGTAGAAGCTTTATATAGGATTGTTGATTCAAATAAGCATACAGATAATCATAGAGTAATGAGGTAAACTAATATTTAGGTTTATTTATATTATAGCACGTTGAAGCATTTGCTTTGTAATTTATTAGTTGTGTCATTGTAATAATCGATTAGCTAATAAAACAGCTAATCGTTTAAGTGGATTGATTCAGAAGAGTATAATATGAATAAGAAGTTTTGACCAACTTAAAATAAATTTTTAAGTATTATCTAACGATTTTACTACAGTTTACCGTGATAAATAGACTCAACGACATGACTCCGATTGGGGTGGCGTGAAGTATTAATGGTTTTTGTGATTTTAGCATCAGCAAAAGAAGTTCTTTTCGCATATAAATTGGTGCTTTGTACCATTTAGATTCAAAGGCTGCATCGGGAATGGTTAAACTCTGAAAACTGAAACTAGACATAGTCAAATATTTTAGCGATTTACTTCTGAAAGTAGTGATTGTCCAGAAAAACAGCAAATGTAAAAACTGAAAACCCATCCTGCTAGATGCAATAGTGCTTCAATGTTGTGCTTCTGAAAGGCATTTTGAAGAGAGTTTTTATGAATTGATTCTTACCTTCATAATTTCATTGGAAAGGCTGGCGATGATAATCCCAACCATCAGAATATAACACCCGTTGCAGTGTTTATAACGACCGTCGTATAATTCTTGAATACTAAAAATTTCATGAATAACCGTAAAATGTTACAATGTCGTTATTACCTAATAATATATTGATGATATTTAATACAATGTAACAGCCTCTTTCTCTGCACTTCTTCTCGTGAATCATCGAAAACTTCTTTCAGCAATCTTTTAAGGTGCTTTAATTTGAGTATAATGTATTCGCCTACTTCCAAGGTGGTGAAAGATATAGCAGCTCCTCCTTTGACTATGAAATAGGTGGCAAAAACCTGATCAACAAACAAAATTTGACGAAACGGGAAAAAATCGATATCAAAAGGTGCCCAAAACGTGGTTACTAAACCACAAATTTCCGTCAAATTTTTCTCAACATTTAATCTGCGGCATTCGATTCCTCCACGATTTTTCATAATAATATAAACAATCAATCCTAGATAGCAATAGTACGAATAAAGTCGTGAGTAAAAATTCAGTTGTTTGCACCGTTTCTGAAAGTTGTCAGGTGTGCCAAAATTATTGTGGGGTCCTAAATTTTCCCACAGATGGGCGATGTTCTTGTGGCCCCAAACAAAAGTAATCAGCATGAAATGTAAGCCGGTCACCACTGCAATTACCGAAATGTCACCACTTACATCCACGTCTAAGTCTTCTGTAAAAATTTTGTTATTGCTGTTTTATCTAGAAAAGTAACACCTTTGAAAACGTTGATAAAGTGGGTTAGAGTGCCTATCGAGAACGGTGAAACTAAGATTAAAGTAATAACGTAACGAAAACGGAAATATTTTGCTTGGCCCTTTGGCCATAAATGGAGGAGATGCATTTCTTTCTTGCTTTGTTGCAGAACTTCTTCCATTTTTTCAACTGGTTATATTACTGTTGCCGCTTTTATAGTCGTTGCTTTAACTATCATTTGAATAATTACAGAACACGGGTTAGCATTGTAAGAACCTTTAATAAAACGGTAAGAAAATTGAATTTTCTTACGTTTGTGATTGATAATAGACTTGAGTCTATCGGAAATGTAATTTCAGATCTGTCAAGGTCTTTGATAAAGTACAGAAACGATTTCTTTACTTTTTACTCATCATACTGAGAAGATTCTGTCTAAGCCAGATTATTGGAATTTGATGTTGTAATTTTTACTTATTATTGCGAAACTCGACTTAAGTACAAACTTAAGCCATATTATGCAACCAGAAATTTCGTTGTTATTACCTGACGTCAAAATTAAACTGGAAAAACATGTTTTGCTACGGTTTGGACTTTTATGCATACGCATGTTTCTTAGTATAGGTCTCTCTTTTTCATAGAAAGTAAATTCTAGATGCTCAATGTTTGACGCAGAAAAATCCCAATTTGATAGAATTGAAGGACTACAGCATATAAACGATTTGTTTAATTTTTTGCAATAAACATTCATGTCATTATTCAATTCGTTATTTTAATGTATTATATTTATTATTAACTATAGTTGAACCAGTTATATCAATCACTGACGTTTACGTTTATCTATGAATTGTTACGAGCTATATTAAAACATGAACAATGCGATAATAATTGGATAAAGTAATAATTTCAAAGACGTAATTCTAAGATACTGGATCTAGTTTCCAAATAGAAAAAAAATGGGCCTTTTATTTTTTTACTTTTTAGTAAATAATTGAACTACACCTTTTTCAAGTGTAATTCTGAAAGCGTAAGATATATTTCAGAAATTGTAATTCAGATTAGTAAAGTGTTAATTGTAATTCAAAACAGTAAAATGAATTTCAGAAACAATCAGATGTAATTCAGATTAGTTAATTTAATTTCAGAAAGCGTAAATTGTAATTCAGATTAATCAATTGTGTTCCAGAAAGTGTTAATTGTAATTCATAGTTTGTCATTTGTAATTGACAATTGTAATTCAAAATTTGTTATTTTCATTCAAAATCATTTTAAAAATAAAATATCTTATTTATTTTATAAAATACCAAGTTTTTTGTATACGCTCCCAAAAATAGGTACTTTGAGTCCCCAAAATGAGTCTTTTTCGGACTCAATAAAATACACCTTTTTCAAGTGTAACTCAGAAAGCGTAAGATATATTTCAGAAAACATAATTGTAATTTAGATTAGTCAATTGTATTTTGAAAGTATTTATTGTAATTCAGAACCGTAAACTGAATTTCAGAAACCATCAGATGTAATTCAGATTAATTAATTTAACTTCAGAAAGCGTAAATTGAAATTCAGATTAGTCAATTGTATTTCAGAAAGTGTTAGTTATAATTCAGAGTTTGTCATTTGTAATTAATAATTCGTCAATTGTAATTCAGAATTCGTTATTTTTTAAAATGGCAAGTTTATGTAATTCTTTAATTCTGAAAATAAAATAATTCGTGTTTATGTGTAAACTCCATTTTGAGATAACAGTAAGTTACTCATCTGAATTGCAATTGATATTTTCTGCATTACATGTAACATGAAAATCGAATTTATTTACTGTTCTGAATTACATGTAATGGTTTCTGAATTACAATTATTACTTTATGAAATACAAGTGACTAATCTGAATTAAAATTTATGCTTTCTGAAATTAAATTAACTAATCTGAATTACATCTCATGGTTTCTGAAACTCATTTTACTCTTATGAATTACAATTAACATTTTCTGAAAGACAATTGACTAATCTAAATTTCTACGCTTTCTGAAACTAAATTGACTAATCTGAATTACATGTGATGGTTTCTGAATTACACTTGAAAAAGGTGTAGACCCCACACTAACTGATTCATTGTATAGCCGCTGGTATATAAAAATGTCAAACAACACACCACCTTACTAATTGATAATGGGGTTCATTAAAGTTATGCACATCACTAACGTTTCAAATTTTGTTGAATTTAAAAAAGTAGACAAATCTCTTTTTTACATACATTCCGTGTTTAGTGGTGATTTTTATGTTGTCGTTGTCAAATATTGTTTTAGTACAAAGCATATAGAAAAGTCTACCATTATATTTCAAAGAACTAATTGAGAACCAATCATACATTTTTAACTTCAGCTATTGATCAAGAGGGACTACATCTAATCACATCTTATTTTCCCATGTAATTTACTGTAATTGCTGTTTTTATCAAACGTATAAAAAGAAATCATAAGCTGAGAAATTTCATTTCAAGATGACTAAAGAAAAAAAGTTACGAATTTGTTTGTCCAGTTGTTCTTTTCTGAAATGGTCTTTAATGTGGCCGACTAAAAACGAAGAGTTTAAAACATCGAAAGGACTTTACATTAGATTAATTGTTTTTGTAATAATCTCAGGTTTCACTTTTACTGCGATGACTGCAATGCATCTTGTTAAGTCTGTGGAAGGTTTTATCTGAATATCCAAATGAAGTTTTCTTAAATCTACCTTGCAGTCAATGATTATAACATTAGTGAAGATTTAGCAATTTTGGCTTCTAACATTGGATACATACTAATGATGTTGCTGTATGTCATCCGACAAAAAGATTTAGAATCCCTTCTACTCGATCTGAGCAATTTCAAAAAATACAACAAACCGCCGAAATTTGACGAAGTTAATAGAAAACTAGATTGGTGTGCAAAAATGATTTTCGGCTATACTTTTCTCGGATCAGTGTTTTACAACGGTGTTAAAATTTTGACAATACCTTCTTGTAAAAAACTGAGGAAAATAAACGAAGTTTGCGGAGTCGCGATACCTTATTGGGTATGGTTCAATACTGAAAATTGGTCAATTAAATTACCCGTTATCGCATACACATTCCTTGTGATTATTATCCTCGTTAAAGTCGCGTTGTTGGTGTCTCTTCAGGTTCTGGAAATCGCCTGCAATATTAAATTGCGTTTAGATCAGTTAAATTGCATGATTGTGAATTGTTTTGACGGTGATGTTGAATCAAATCGAAGAAGACTAAACGAATGTATTAAATATCACAAGGAAATCATTGGGTATTTTTTACTTTGATACAACGGGAATTTAAGAAACTTTTTTAGCTACAGTCAGAGATTTAATAAATGTTTTTCTAGTGGAATGTTTATTCATCTTGCAATGACTGCAATTATTTGTGGATGTTTGGCAACTCAAATTGTTAAAGTTTGTCTCTTTAGTATGTTTTAGAATTGTGTTAACTTTCTGATTCAGGAATACCAACCTGAAGCTATTGTACATATAGGTGGATGGACTATTGCCATTTTTATTTCATCTTTCGGAGGACAGATTTTAATGGATTCGGTATTTCAATCTTGTAATTTTTAATTTGTTATTTTTTGTGTTTTAGAGTGTATCTGTAGCTGACGCAGCCTACAGTTCTGCTTGGTTCGAAGGAGATGTTCGTTTGAGAAAAGATTTGATTCTTGTCATACGAAGAGCACAGAAGGCTTTTTATGTCTCAACAGGGGCTTTCAACGTTCTCTCTTTTGGATTGTTTTTTTCTGCACGAATGTTAAATTAATCAATATTAAGTGTTAATTTATATTTTTAGGTCATGAAAATGTCGTATTCAATTTTTACACTTCTGAAATAATAATTACTTCTTTATCTGGAAAACATTTAAAGCAACAGGATTATGATTTCTTACACAATAGTATACCACATATTTATGTACCTATTATGCATCTACTTTTAAACATCCGTGGTTACAATTTATACTATTGTTTTATTTATTAACTTTCTTCATTTATTAGATAAGGGTCGAAGATGTGACAAAATTTAAGTAAAAAAACAACACAAAAATGTCGTAATTTTTAAACAACAGATAGTATCTACTAATAAATCTAATAAGTGCACTTTTCCAGACTGTAGCCATTAAAAACCAAATTATTGGTAAGATAATTTGTTCTATTTTTAGATTCCTCACGAAACTCTGTTCATAGGAGTAATTATTATTAACATTCTTTTATTCTGATTTGGGCAATATGATATGCAACCAGTATTTTCTTTTAATCATAGGCATGGTTACGTGGAGTAAATGTAAACTCAATTTGTATGTTTTAGAGGCATCCAAAATCCAAAAGTACACCCCTGGACGGGACCTAATTGCGTGCAAACATAAGAGGGGACGCGTACCAGTGGCGTAACAAAATAATTTTATTCAATCGAATAAGTATTACTGTATCATTTACGGGAAAACTGCATCTCAAAAATTTCAGTTTACATAAAACAGCTTTCAATGATATACTTTACTTTAGTCTTTTCTCAAATATTGCGATAATAATGTGAATCTACACCCCACTGCTGTTTGTACTGCCTGACACTACCTACTTAGCCTCATTAAAATTTCGCAATAAAATAATAGTAAACTAAGCAAATAAAACACGTTTGAATAGATTTCCTAGTTCTCTAAAATTTCACAATATTGCAATTTTTTATCATCTGTTTAAATCAATCGATAATAAGTATCATCTACTATCATCACCTTTTAAAAAATGTACCATRTGCACCTGTAAAATTCACAGCGATAATTCGATTGAACAGCCATTTTAAAACGTCACTTAATATTGCTTCAATAATAGATTCGATCGGTTTTCTTGCAATACATGGGCGTTTCATTATTACTTATTAACTATCTAATAAAATCGATCACTGGAACATTAAACAATACTTAAATATATTTAAATATTCTTAATTTTTGCAGATTATTCTTTAAAATCAATTCACTTAAAAATTCATTTTGTTATTAATTTAATTAAAATAATTTTTGCCACAAATAAAAAATACTACTTTGTTATGCAAGTTCCAACTCCTGAAATCACTTGTTGCTTTCCTCAATAGCATCTATATACAGTTTTAGTTTTAAGTAAAAACTATTGTTTGGAGTACTTACCGCAAAATAAAATTGGTGAAACGAGAATTATTCAATTATTTTACTGCAGCCTATTTATTGTTTTTGATTTTACCTTATCTTTTTTAATAAGCTTTAAATATCCTTATAATAAAATAAATAACAACTTTTGTTTTTTCCTGTAAATATTAGCTGTTAGACCTTATCAGCAATTTTAGCTCGGAATATGAGCTTTGTGACTTTTGTAAAACCTAGGAAATAATAACGAATCTCCTTGTGAAAAAAATTGCAAAAATAAAACTTACAAATCCTAATTTTAATAAAAAAGTTTTTCTTCTTTATTTTGGTGCGAAATTGTTTAAGGAAATACATAAATATTTAACATTTCTATTTTTTTTAATTCTCGTGCCAGTTTGGCTATTTTTTACTTTTTTCGAATATAGTAGGTATAATGTGTGGGATGGAACGAAAACATTTGTCGATATTTATAAAGAAATAACGTTTCAAAACTAGTGACACTGAAAAATCGCAATTGCATTTTTTGAGAACAAATAGGTCGCTAATATAAATGTAGTTTTTGTAAAAAAGAATATTTGTATATATTATTGCTGGACCATAGTGTCAAACTTGGCACCAAGAAATTAATTACTTAAAAACATAAGAAATGACACATACAGAATTTTTAATAAATCGATGATAAATGTATTTCGTACACTATCATTTATTTTAACCTTGTAAAAAATGAACTAGTGCACCTGTGATGGAGAAGCAGAAGCACAAAACTGGGTCAATTTTATTAAACATCATATAATTTTGTTTCAATAATAGATTCAGTTGCTTTTCCTGCAACACATGGGCGTTCTTTTATCATTTATTAAGGAACATAATCGATCCAAAGAACTCTAAACAATACTTAAATGTACTCATACATTTAAAAAGATGCCGCAAGGACTTTTATTTACACCCCCACTTTCACGTGCAAGATTAGTTAATCTTTTATTTTGCATTTCAAAATATATAATTTTTGTAATTGTCGCAGAGGCGACTTGTGAGAAAATTGATGGTTGTTCCAATTTTATTATTACTAATTCAAACTCTAGAGTTGTGTCTAAGGTAACACGTATTTCATTAATATTCATATAAGGAAGCCACACCTATCTTTGAAAGGGAATATAATTTTAACTTAGGAGTTTTGGTAAAGTTATAAACAAAAATAACCAAGATAGTGTCTTTTTAGCGAGTTGCCTTGTTTAACTGTTGCAAATTATATTCTTGTATTGCTAAAAAATTAAGATGCTTTAAAAAATTTCAAATTTATAATTTCATATTGAAGGATTAAAAAAAAACCTTTTAATATTGATATTTTATAACAGAGGATAATACGTGTGTATATTTGGAATTTATAAAAAATATTTTTAATGGTAAATTATAAGTTAAAAACAAAGGCATTTGACCACATTGTGTGCTTTGTTGTATTTTTACTTTATAACCAGTTCAGTAGCAAATTACTGGTTACGCTTCTCTTCTTTCAATTATTTTGAATTGCATTGTTGCTGAAAAGTCAGTTCTAACAATGACTTCAAATCAAGAAGATGCAATTTGTTCGAAAAGTTGCTTTTTCCTTCGTTCTAGTTTTTTGTGGCCTGAAGAAACTCCAACCAAGTCATTTTATGTAAAATTTATTCTAGTCTTACTATTATCTTTGTTAACCGCATTTTTGCCACTGTTGATTCATTTTTTGATACTACTGGAAAGTAGAAATGATCAATTATTCTAGTTATTAACTGACAATTTTAAGGGGGGTTGGACCCTAGTGAAGACTTATTTGTAATCATTTCTTACACAGGCTTTACTCTTATTATGACAATTTATGTGATTAATTTGAGAAAAATGTCATACCTGATTATGCAATTATCTGATTTTAAAAAATTTGGTAAACCTAGGGGATATGATTATTGGATTAAAAACTTTAATTTGATTGCATCGGGTGTTTACTATTACGTTTTGTCAATTTCTTTTTGTCTAAACCTGACGAGATGGGTAGGAATTCCGGAATGCAGAAAAACAAGAGATTTCCAAGTTTGTGGGATAGTCATACCTTATTGGTTACCTTGGAAAGTTGATTCATGGTTTTTCTTTATTTTACTAGACTTATATGTCCTCAAGATGACACTTATTGTTAATTGTGCTCTTTTCCTTATCATTTTTCAAATTTTGGAAATCACCATGCACATAAAATTAAGAATTGATCATTTGAAAGAAATGTTAACGAAATGTTTTGATAATGATTCTCAAACAAACGAAAAACAATTGGTGAAATGCATTTGCTACCACAATTATATTATTAAGTATTTTTTTTTATTTATTTTTAAACAAACTATATTTCAGCATTAGTTGCAGTAATGTATTTAGACAATGTTTTACCTACTCTATGTTTTCTTTAATTGTGGCGATGGCATTCTCTTGTGGTTGTCTAGAGAGCCAAATTGTTAAGGTAGTAAAAATTTATTTAAAATAAAAATAATTCGCCCTCAGTTTGATTTATGGGCCGTTCCACCAACTTTTGCTTGGATTTGTCTGCTTTTCACAGCTTGCATGGCGGGACAGATTTTAATGATTGCGGTAAGATTAAATACCGTGTGATCAAAAAAAAATTAATAAATTAGAGTAGGCGTCGATTAAATTATACAGTTAACAACACATTGGCTGGGAATCTGGCTGGAAATTTTCCACACAAACTGAAAGTGAAAATGACCATTCACCGTTTTCGTCTTGTAGAGCATTTTCGTAATAACTTGCAACAATAAAAATTTTCTGCTTTAAAGTGAACATTATTTCACTCAAAATGAATAAAACGCAAACTGGTCAAAGTTTTTGCTGATATTTGATGTCGAAAATCAGGATTGCCATCTGAAGGACCGAAAGCACCGCCTACTCTAATTTTTTTTTTGATCACACGGTACTATTCTACTTTCGTAATAAAAATTTTCAGAGTTTAGAGATTGGGGATGCTTCTTACCATTCAAAATGGTACCAATTCGATGTCACTTTTCGAAAATGTTTAATTCTAGTGATGATAAGAAGTCAAAAAGCTTTGGTACTTTCTGCTGGACCTTTCAATATATTGTGTTTTAGTTTGTTTGTTGCCGTAGGTAGATTCTGAAGTTATTATAATGTTTAATGAGTGTGTTTTTATAGATAATGAAATTTTCGTATTCTGTATTTTTGCTATTAAATCAACACTAGAAATGCATTAAATAAAAGTAAAAAAATAAAGGTATTTTGATTGCTAACATCTTTTATTTTTATGTAAGATTTCTAATATGTTACCACTACAGACACATTTATAGATACCAATATAAACACATAAAAGTGAGTTGTTGCGTTTTCTTTTTGTAGTTGAAAACTTACACTTCTTTCCATCTAGATAGGGTTTTAATTCCTTCAATGTATGTTGTTATCATTTGTTAAAAGTTATTGACTTGTAAGGCAGTTACATGTTATTGATAAATTTTGTTTTTTTTTTTCGAAAATAATTAGTGGTTTAACACATTAAAATGCAGCCAAATTGGATTGGAAATAGCTCAAATTGCTTTATTTTGAAAGATAACTGTTATTTAAGCCTTAATTTTTGTGAAAAACTGAAATTTGTTTTTTATTTCTTTAAAAAAAATCGATTGAAAGTTGCGCAGATTGCTTTATTTCAGCCCAAAATTTGGATTGGATTAATTATCTTTATAAAATACATTAATTTAGAATGATTCTGTAATAAAATCGAGCAAAATTGTATTGAAAATAGCTCATATTAACTTATTTGGACCCCAAATGAAAACATTGAGCATTATTTAGAATTCATTTGCATCTTATTTTTGAAAAGTGCAACAGCTACCAAAATATTTGCTGATTTCAATCAAAATCATTTTTTATTGTGACTTTATTTCTTGGTATTACACAAAAAATTGCCTACTGCCAGGCATTCACATGCCCCATCATTCAATTATAATTTTCTTTGTATTTTAAGTTGTTACTATCTAAAACTATCACTAATTAGTGATCTGGTCTCTGAAAGGCAGAAATTTTAATTTAAAATGGTTTTCCTCTTCCAGACTAATATTTTTTGTTTTCTAGTCAACATCTAAATTACATTCACAATATCACATCTTGTGGAATCTTTGTTCTTTTGATAAGTCAAAAATTATAATTTTTTTGTATTTAGTATCACATTTATAACAGGTGTTTTTTTTAATTTGGCGTTTATGAAATTCTGATTGTGAACAAACCATCGTAGGCGTATTAAAAATTGTGGTTCGTTTACAACACACTCATATCACCGGCAACTATGACGTCAAATTTAAATAAACATTTGTTATAATTAAGTATTTTTGCAAAATGTTTTTTTAACTTTATTACAATAATAAAACAGAAAATAACTTTACTTAATTTTTTATGAGCACTGTATTTTAACTGTATTTTATAAATAGATAAAAATTTAGTAGCAATTTGTTGCTTACAATTTCTTAAAATTATTTGTATTGTTCTGTTTATGAAAGATTAGCTAACAAAGATGATGCACTTTTTATAATGACAAATTTTTAGGACATAAGAAATTATCTGTTTGAAAAATAACAGTTTTAAAACGAGGGTATGCACACTTTTTTTTTATTTTGAAAAATGATATGTAGTTATTTATTATACAAGACGATACAGAAATTGTTTATTTACGAGTGAAAAGGTTAAGTTTACGAGTGATGAAGTCACGAGTGGACTTTTTTCACGAGTAGATAAACATTCTTTATCATCGTGTATAATATTTTGTTTTATTTTCTACTCACCTGTTAGAATTTCTTGAACATGAACAGTAAATAAAAATTACTTTATTCTTCGATACTGTCAAAATTTACAGTTTTTCTCCCGTGTAAGTAAGTTTTGACAACTATTTGGCATTTCTCAATACGAAACGTCAAATTATTTTTAACAGATTTAAAGTAAGTTTAAGCCTTGAATAAAATGTTGTATTCAACTGTTACACTCGTGGTTTAAAAATCCACACTGTGAAATAATGCACTCAGACTCGTAGAATAAATATTATTTCACTAGCCGATAAAAGACTAATTTATCTACTGAAATTAGTTGATTAAAGCACTCTTTAACATTGAGTACAATTAAAATTCATTGATTTACAAACATAATACAGGGTGATTTACGAGGAATAATGAGCCTGACCAAATTCTCGATGCAGCCATTATTACACTTTCGAAACTTGTTTAAAAATATATATAATTTGGATTCACGATGCCTATTATTATTATTATCCATAAAACGTCAAAACTGACAAATCTTTACTATACTTGCTATGATTTTATATTTATTACAAATAATCTTTGAAATCCACTTAATTTTTGAATATGGTAATGTTGATAGCATCGAGAATTTGGTCAGGCTCGTTATTCCTTGTCAATCACCTTGTATGTTGAAAAGTTTTTTTTAATTATAAATGCTAAAAGTTATGAATAGTTTCAAATTTGGATTTTTTAAAATTTTGCTTCTGGGACTTGTGTTCCTCTAGTTGCATTAAAGACATAATATTATACCTACCCTTTGTGGACATACTCGTAAATAGATAAAAGTGGGTTGTTCTGTTTTTCTTTTGTAATTGGCAGTTTATGGCCTTTGCTATATCATGTATCGTAGGTGGTTAATATTATTTATAATTACTTCAATTTTGTTATCATTTATTAAACAGAGTTATCGATTTGTATCACAATTGACTTATCGTCAAATTTTTAATTCTCATTAAAAAAATATAATTAGGGGTTCCAATGGTGTCAGTATTAATATAAAATGAAGGTGGTTTCAGTACTTAAACAATACAAACAAAATTGACAAGATGACGACTATTTTGCATTCATCTACATTTCACTTTTTCCATCTCCAAAATTGTTGAATCTGTCAAAAATCAAGATTTTTGTTGACATTTTTAACACAAAGAAAAAATAATTCTTTAGAGGGCTTTATTCCTTGCTATTGATTAAAAAGTGCCTACTACCACTAATCACATACCCCCTCCATTTAACTGTAATTTTCCTAATACTTTATATAAGTGTTATTCCCAGTTCTCCTCTTGTAAGTTGAACTTCTCATGTCCAACATGATAGAAGATAAGGAATTACGTCTTTGTCTTTGGAGTTGTTACTATTTAAAATTATCGTTAATGTGGCCTTTAAAAAAAGAAGAATTCAAATCTTCCAAGGGGCTCTACTTGCGACTGCTCACCTTTGTCATCATTTCGAGTTCTACATTTGTATCTATGATTTTTATGCATCTTTACAAGTCTTTAAAAGGTAAAGTTTTTTGTAACATTTTAATAAATTACCACATCTTTGGGACAGTCGGTAGTTACGACGTCAGTGAAGATTTAGCAATTTTGGCTTCACTTATCGGTTATATATGCATGATGACTATGTACGTAAGTAGACAGAAAAATTTGGAGTTGCTTCTGCTCGACTTGAGCGATTTCAAAACGTACGGTAAACCACCAAATTTTGACAAAGTTCGGAAAAGGATGGATTTTTACGCACATTTAGTTTTTTTTTATTCCATGTTCGGAACTTTTGTATACAACATGGACAAAATTATCTTAATTGAGAAATGCAAAAAATCAAGAAAAATCAACGAAGTTTGTGGATCAGCTCTACCCTTTTGGACTCCGTTTGAAACCGAAAACTTGTTTATTCTCACTTTTGTTATTACCTACGTGCTTATAAATATTTTCATTGTGGTTAAAGTTGCATTGACCGTCTCTGTTCAAGTTTTAGAAATCGCCAGCCACATTAATTTACGAATTGAACAACTAAAAATCTTAATTGCTAGCTGTTTTGATAAAGATTCAAAAGCCAGTCGAGAAAGACTTGATTTTTGCATCAGATACCATAATGTCATTATTGAGTATGTACAGAAGCATTCAAGTCAAAAATTAATTTCTCTTTAGTTACAGTGAACGTTTCAGTAGATGTTTCAGCTATGTCATGTTTATACATCTTGCAATCACCGGAATTATTATCGGTTGTTTAGAAAATCAAATTGTTCAGGTTTGTACTAATATAGTAATGTTACTTCCACATTAGCAATTTTTAGGAGCACCAACCTGAAGCTATGTTACATATGGGTGGGTGGAGTACGGCCACTTTTATTGCATGTTACGGAGGTCAACTTTTAATGGATGCGGTATGTGAAATTTTTTTACACATCTTTTGCATCACTAATTTAGAGTACTTCAATCGCTGATGAGTTCTATAACTGTCCATGGTACGAAGCAGATGTTAAAATGAGAAAAGATTTAATCCTTATCATCCTTCGGGCCCAAAAAGCCTTATTTGTATCTACAGGACCTTTCAATGTTCTTTCATTTACATTATTTGTATCGGTATGTCTATAACAATTTTTTTCAATTTATCAAAACTTAATTTCAGATTATGAAATTGTCATATTCTATCTTCACTGTTCTGACTTAAATGGTTAAATTGGGTCAATGCGTTTTGGGGAGTCAATCACTAGGCTTAGCTTTAGTGCTCTTTCATTTTTGCTGACGTAAATATTTTATTCACTGAATCGCTGCTTTTACTGTGTATTAATATTTTATGCACAATATATGACTGAAAATTTTGTGTCTTTTTGTTTAATCCTTGCCATGACTTCATCCCGAAAGTTATTAATAAGTTCAGTTACCTGTTTCCAACTCAAAACCTCATTTATATGGCCTCCAAAAAACGAGGAAATGAATCCATCTAAATGGTTCTACATTAAATTAGCTCTGTTGTTAACAGTGTCTGTCATAATATTATATGTGCCAGTTTGCATTCACATTCACAAACTCTTGGAACGTAATTTATGTATTTTAATTTGGACAATTTAAGATGATTTGTTATTTTCAAGGTGATTTAGACACAAGTGAAGACTTTGCGTTGGTATTTTCATACTTTGGGTTTCTATCAACAATGATATTTTATTCAAAAAGCCACAAGAAAGTCTGTGACCTTATTTACAATCTTGGTAAATTTGACGAATTTGGTAAACCTCCAAATTTTGATGAATTAAACCAAAAATTAGATTTCTACTCAAAACTGGCGTCTGGATATACAGCTATAGGCGTGATTGTTTATAGTGGGATGAAAGTTTACAAAATACCCGATTGTAAAGCGGAAAGAGGGTCGATTCAAGTATGTGGATTGACAGTACCACTTTGGACACCTTGGACTGTCGATACATTCTGGTCCTACATTGTACATTTTCTTGTAACCCTTTTTTACTCAGCAATTTTCACTCGAGCTACTTTATTTTATGCTGTCCAAGTTATAGAAATTGCATTAAATATTGAGTTAAGGATGTATCATTTGAAATCGTATATTTTACAGTGTTTTGATAATGTCAAGTTAAATCAGAGACGACTGATCACATGTATTCGCTACCACCAAAAGATTTTAAAGTAATTTTCTAAACATTTAAAATTTGATCAAACAAATAATATTTGTAGGCTTTGCGAAAAATTTAACGAAGCCTATTATTGGACAGCATTTAGTCATATTGTTTGTTCAGTTTTGGCTTGTGCCTGTGTAGCACATCAAGCCGTCAACGTAAGTAATTCTATTTCTCCTACCATCGAAAGTTTTGTAAATTTTTGCAGCAAGATGTTGCAGCAGTTCTGCATTACATAGGCTGGATTATGTCAATTTTTGTAGTTTGTTGGGCTGGCCAAATTTTAACAGATTCGGTAGGAACAAAAATTTTGCGAATATTCATATTTTTAGCAAATTTTAATGATTTTGCAATTTACAGAATTACAGTTTTACTATAATGAATTTAACAAGTATTAAATCTTTCTTATAAATAGGTCAATTTTTTCGAAGTAATACTTAAAATTACTTATTTTTTTAGAGTCTTACAGTAGCAGATGCCTGTTTTGAATCAAACTGGCTCCAAGCGTGTCCTCGATTGCGGCGAGATTTATCATTCATGATAAGACGGAGCCAGAAATGTATTCAGTTGAAGCCAGGACCGTTCAACGTCTTGTGTTTTTCGTTGTTCGTTTCTGTATCTATTTTTTTTGACTTTTGATATTGTGTTTATACAATTTTTGAAGGTTATCAAATTGTCTTACTCTGTCCTAACACTGATAGATTAAAATTTCAACAAATATGAGGGTGCAGCTTGAGACATATTGTTGGTTGTACCTAACTTATTATTAATATGGCACAATTTAGGATACTGATTTAGTTATTAAACATTTATAATCACATTGGATATAAAAGCATTAAGTTCTCCTGACGCACTTGTTCCACAATGAGTATCACTGTAATGCGTTCCGCTCTTGATTTTATGGCTTTTTGTCGCATTTGGCCCAATAAAAATGAAGAACTTGACCCGAGTCGATGGTATTATATCCAGTTTGTCGTGGTGTTAGTTAGTACAGTTATAAATTTAATCGGAAGCATCCTACACTTGTCTAAAGTTTCAATACCCCGTAAGTAAAACTTTGTTAAAAACATTTTTTAATTGGTATTTGTAGACAGGTCATTTTATCACGTTGCTGAAGATTTGATAACAATCACCGCACAAATAGGTGTGTATTACTATATTATAGTGTATGTACCTTTGCAGAGAGTAGCTGCACGTGTTTACCTCCAATTATCTTCGTTTGGCCTGTTTGGAAAACCTCCCGCTTTTGATAAACACTCAATCAGACTTAAATATCTTGGTATAATTCATAAGATTGGTCTAAATATTGTCGTTTTTGCTTACTTCTTTGAACCTATACTTACCAAACACATCTGCGAGCGACAAAATGCCGCCAGACACTTTGACGACATTTGTGGTTTGGTCACAAACTCTTGGATGCCTTTCGATATAAAAAACTTTCCCAACAAACAGCTTTTCTACCTTTGGCAAACTTACTCATTTTATTGGACTTATGAAGCATCAGCGGCCATTACCTACCTGAATGTGGCAACTATGGAGCACGTTTTGGTCAGAATTTGGCACTTACAAGGCATGATTCGGGAGACTATAAATATATCTGAAAAYGGGGAATTGAGGAAAAGTCAATTGAAGAAGTGTTTAGATTATCATAATCACGTTTTCTTGTACGATTTGTATTATGTGGTCAAGTTTTACGTTATCTAAAAATTTCAGACTTGCTGCTGATGTTGATCGAATTTACCAAAGATCTCTCTTTGTGCATGTGCTTTTTTCAGGAGTTCTTTTCGGTATTATGGGCTTTAGTATTTTAACTGTAGGGATTTCGATTAAGACGTTGAGTTTGTTTGTGGTCTGGGTTGCTGCTGCAATTTTTACAAGTTTGTCGGCACAAAGGCTTTATGATGGGGTAGCAGACAAAAGGATGATGTATGAAAAATCATATTTTTTGTTCTTTAGTCAATTGCAATTGGTGAGGAGGTGTATAACAGTAAATGGTATGATAGAGACTACAAGTTTCAAAGGGATTTGATTACTATTATGAAAAGGACACAAAAACCGATTACCATACATGCAGGACCCTTTACCGAAATATCTAATGTTTTTATTTTGATGGTAAATACTTTAAAATGCAAGGAATCTAAACTATGTTTTTAAAAATTACAGATTTTTAAAACGGCTTATTCATATCTAACACTATTAAAAGCTTCAAGCAAATAAATACCATTACTTATGCATGTATAACAAAATATTTGTTTTCAGTGACTGTTTAGTATCTTTGCACAATAAAGTATAGATGAGATTTTTTTTAATTCCCTGTCATAAGATTTCATTAAAGCAAATAATTAATAACAAGAACAAGTGTGGTATTGAAAGTTTTAACATTGTATCTCACTATGTATTACAAAAAGTTTATGGTTATTAGTAATAAGTAATAGTTATTTATGTATTAAGTACGCAAAATAGGGTTTTAGGGGACGAATCGTAATTAATGACGAGGCGACGTAGGAGCCGGAGTCTTTAATGAGAGGAGTCACCTAAAACCTTTCGCCTACGTGGTTCATACAAGATATTTTTATTAAAGCTCCCAAAAAACGAATTCATACCTCTTATTAATGAAAAAAATTTCGCCACCATCGTAACCAATTTAATTTTTTAGTCCGCAAAAACTGTTTTATTGAGTCCGGAAAAGACTCAAATGAGGTATTTTTGAGAGCGTATACAAAAAAAAAATATTTACTACTTTTGGAAAAACTGTGAAATAAAATTTCATGTGACACTGAAAAGTGGTTCTTTTGTTAGATAGAGCAATAGAAAAATTTATTGTTATGCGTAACTGTTTGCTTATCTTGAATCAGAGTAAAAGAATATGCAATTAAATTTTACTGTTACTTTGTTTTTACTTTTTACAAGACTAATTTGACTTTTATATTTTTTTATTGCTTATTAATTAATTTCTTGTATTATAATGTATCCTGGGTTTGTATGTCTTGTCACTACCTGTAGTTATTATTTTAACGATTTTTATTGACTAAAATAAAGTTAAACCAAGTGTTTCATCAAGTTGTCGTTTTTTAAGCAATATATGTATAATACATCATTAGTATTGATGAATTTTATTTTTTTTTTTTATGAAGAAATTATATCGAGCGATCAAGATAATTTGTAATCGAGTCATCTCTGCATCCGAGAATGTATGTCTATACTCGTTTTCATATTAATGTGCATCAAAGTAGTCGTTGAAAGGGATCATTTTAAATTGGCAATGCGAAAATTCAAACAATCCTAAACTCAATGTTCCCTGAAAATTATTTTTTAAATAAATGTGTACTCCATGTAGCAAACATAGGACAGAAAACATAAAGATTTTTGTCATTATTGACGTGATTAAATTTGTTTTGAATGATATTAATGACACTTTTTTTGTAAATCGGACTTTAAATTAAAGATTCATTTAGACTTCTACAACCTACTTGATGCACATTAATATGAAAAAGAGTATAACTGCCCGTGAAACGTCAAATAAAATGACGAGTCGGAAGGTAAAACGGCAAAATGGGCTGGAATTAGTCGGCGACGTATAATAATACGAGTAAGACCGCTCTTTTTTGAAGGTAAATTATAAATTTAGTTATTATAATCATCACCTTTCATATCTTTATGTGCTATTTTGCTCTTTGTGTTTTTTATCAATTTTGTGGAGTAACATTACTATTATTATACCGTGCGATCAAATAAAAAATAAATTAGAGTAGGCGTCCATTAAATTCTACAGTTGACAACACATTGTCTGGGAATCTGGGCTGGAAATTTTCCACACAAACTGAAAGTGAAAATGACCATCCACCGTTTTCCTCTTGTACAACAATAAAAATTTTCTGCTCTAAAGTGAACATTATTTCATTCAAAAGGAATAAAACGCAAACTTGTCCGCTGACATTTGATGTCAAAATTCAGGATTGCCATCTAAAGGACTTTAATCACCGCCTACTCTAATTTATTTATTTTTTGATCACAGGGTATTTTGCACCCTTCTAAGCAAGAAATGAAATAAGGAAACAAAAACTTTGTTGTATGCCACTAAATGGCCATTAATAAAGAATTTACTCGCTTTGACACTTATTCTTCACAACCTTTATATCACAATTTTAAAAACGGAGATTACAAAAGCTCGTTAGTATTTAAGCAGGACATTTGACGGGAGGTAAAAATTGAAAGAACTCCATTTCTTTGACTTTTTATTTCAGGTTTTTTAAACAAGTCATTCTTATATCATCTCACTTAATGTCAGTTAATTCTTACATTTATCAATAGTTTTACCATTTTATATAATTTTTGATAAAAGAAAATATTCTATTCTCAAAGTTTAATGTTATAATAACTTGCGACATGTTTCGGCTATTTTGTTGACATCCTCAGGCAATTTTTGTTTAATTCATCCCGACCCCACACAACACCTTTACACCATTTGGTGTAGAAGTGTAGGTTCTAGAATATTTCCCTTTATCAAAATCGAAAAATTTCTCATCAAAATAAATCACTCACTAATTTTTAAAACGTAATAATAATTTAAAGTTCTGCATTTTTTATAAATTCAGACTTTTGCTCATTTCATTCGATAACCTCTTCTTTGGTAATTACAATATTACTTTGGTCACAAGTCCCAAACTCAATCTCGAACAACACTTGTTGTATCCTCATCCTCGCAAGGGCATTTTCTTTAGGCAGTAGTCTTTTCAAAGCCGGTAAGCAACTTAGTAAAAACTGTTCATCAGCATCACCCAACAAATCGCCCCTTTTCTTTGCACAACTTTCAAAAAACTGATCGGCGGTCATTAAAGGATCTTCATCTACGATATTTCTTTTCCTTTTTGTTGAAATTTCCTGTTTTGAACTAGTTGAAACGTCCGAAAACCCGGCATCTTCGGGTACGTACCGATAATCAGTCCCGTTTTCAACTTCTTGTGTAGCTTCATCTTCTTCTTCGTTCTTGCTACCGTCTACAACAAGTCTGTAAGAAGATTAAAGATAAGTTCGACCACGCCTACCACTCACTCTTTTGACTCAATGTGTGGTATTAAAAACATCAGTCTGCTGTAATAAATCCATTTAACCGCTTGTTTGGGATTGAGTTTTAGCGAGCGCTGGATTTTGATAAACGAATCGCGCAAGGAACGCCACCGCTTTTTAACCGCTTCGACATCTGGAAGTGTGTTGTTGGTTGCGGAGTTGCGTGCGTGACTGAAGTTCAACGGACTTACCGTTCATGTTGACTGCTTTCGCTACTTCTTTCCATTCCTGATCACGGATTCTGTTATTTTTGTACACTAAGGTTGTTTTGTCGTAGATTGAAGGTCGTTGGCGGACCTCCTCGATGAGGATGTCTTCCATGCTTACGTGAGTCATGATGGAACGTCACTGACGTAGACGCAACTGACTCGAAAGCAATCGATCGAAGTTGACGTAGCGCGCAGTGCCGCACAGTGGCGCACCGACAACGTTTACGTGAAATTCAAAGATGTTGAAGGGCTAATTTAAACTATGAAGAACGAAAAGTACTTTTCTATTAATTCTTTATTAATTAATAAGTCCATTTTTTAAACGTTTTAAACGCACAATTGTATTATAAGCTGCCATCCGCCCAATAGTAGATAACAATCTACTAACAACAACAATTGAGGATAATAAATAAATTATTAAACTCAGAAGTGAACCCACTTCTTTTGTGGCCTAAAATGCTTAATTTTAGAAACAAACGCCTAAACACTAAAACCCTTTTTATCCGTCTTAAAATAGGCGTTTGTGTTTTGTTCTCGTTATTTTACAAAGTCAACTACGAGACCTAAGCTCAGGGCCACTAAGTCTAAAATGTAATGGAAAATATTTATCGGAGAAAAAGACTCCCTTAAAAAACAAATATAAACTTTTAGGCAAAAACTTAATATTTATTGGAGAGAATGTGAAAATGCAAAAGTAAATTGGTTATGTTTGTATAAATATGTCATATGCTAGAGTAACTTCTTGTGCCTTGGAGAAATCCTCTAGCATCTCATTAAAATTATTTTTTTTAGTTACTTTTGTTATTAATTTTTTATACATACAGGATGAATATAAAGTATGGAACCAAGCGGTTTTATTTTTAATCATTTGCCTCCGGAAAATAATAATTAATATAAATTAAAGTAATATAAAAAATGTGATCGTAATTTCAGAACGAAATTTTGTTTTGTTTTTGAGTTATGCGATTTTTTTTGTCAAAATTGCAATTTATGTGAAAAAAATTTTTGGAAAAAATTAAAAATAAAGCAGATAGTTGTAATCCTTAGAGTATAGCTTTTATGAGAAAAATGATTTTATAGTGGGTTGCCATTTAAAAAAAATTATTTTTTTTGTAGAAGTCAAAAATAAAAGGAAATTTCGAAAAAATTTATTTTTGTTAAATCATCACATTTTTATAGTACTTTAGCACTCATCAATTAGTTTTTCAAAAAATAAATAGTTTAAGCAAAAAACGTTTGGTTCCATACTTTTTATTCACCTGGTAGTCCTAAATGTAGTATTTTTTTTTAGTATACTGTGCTGGTAAGATCTGTCTACCGCCTTGACGACGAGTCCGATAGGCACATGTTTATGGACTAGACCCTTTTGTTTTACACCGCTGCTGGTAGGAAATGTCAAATAATTTGTCAAATTTTACGGTTTTTACTTACATGAAAATTATATGTACAATTACTTGAAATCGTTTCCAAAAGGCGGTCTGGAAAGACTCTGGCTTCGGTTCCTGTTTGTGAGAATTCATTTTATTAAAGGAAGTTAACTCAAATGAAAGAAACCGCATAAAAACTTCGACAAACTGGATTTTGTTGATCCTTCTATCTGTAACAAAGCATAACATTTTTTTTAACCAATTTTTTTTATTTAAATTATTATCCCAAATTATTTGCTTGCCACCTCGTGGATGATAAACCACTCGTTAACACGTCTCGTGAAATAAAGCGTCCGATGTACACTCAAACTCGTTGAATAAACAACAATTAAATCATTGTTTCAGTATACTAAAAAATCTTATACGTCACAGAACCGGGACCGGTAAAATCCGGTGTTTATTTATGATATTAATATTTTATGATTTAATAAATATTGTATGGCGACTTGTGTAATTCAAAAATAAATATCTATAATATATATAAATACAAGGTGATTCACGAGGAATAATGAGCCTGATCAAATTCTCGATACAACCACCATTACTCTTCGCAAGTTATTTTGCCACAACTGTAATGTTAGTTGCATCGAAAATTTGGTCAGGCTCATTATTCCTCGTGAATCACTTTGTAGAAGTTGTTTTCTTCTAATTTTTTTATAACGTAGATATGGCAACAAACTGAAAATAATTTAAAACAAAATAAAAACAATTTTTGAGGGTTTTTATCATAAAGCTTTTCTTAGTGTACTTTTTGAATAACCCATCCATAATTTATTGTAATTGGTCATCAATAACAGTCCTGACTTAGTTATATTTTACAAATACGAGTAAGCTCGAATTTAATTCTGATTTCTTAAAAACTTATACAATTGAATGAAACAGACAGAATTAAAAATTAGAACCTGATTTTGCGATTTCTTGCATGAATTCAACGAAATCGAAGGAAACAAACCGAAATAACACAATTATAGTCTGATTTAGCAATTTTACGACTGCTACAGCTAAATCTCTAAAAGTAAGCAAGATTTTTATTAGAATATATACCAAAAACACTGCGCTCAGTGTTTGAAAAACGAAACATTATTTTACTTACGACAGTGAAAATGTTCTTTTTCTGGCTGACCGATCAGTGCATTCGTAATTTGGTTGGTCAAGGACTACGAGTGAAATTAAAAAAAGATTATTTATTTAAAAACGTTTCTTTACGTATTATTTATAAAAATATATCATTCTGGCAACAGTCACGCACCCACTACATAATAAAATACGTGTAACAACAATAAATAACAAAGTTTCGATGGATCACAGGAATTTCGAGATCAGTATAGAGACCCCAATGATAAGTGAGGAGACGACAAGACTATCGGCCGAATTTCCGTCACTTTCCTTAACCACAGCTGATTCCTTGACCCCAGTGACGACTCCATTACAAGGCATATGTTTCTTCAAAAACTTGAAAAATGCATCGACGATATTTGCCGGAGTGCTGTCTTTGCACTTCTCCAACTCATCATTGAAACATGCTCGAATTTTATCAAAGTCGCTGAAAAAATGATATAAGTCGGGGTCATTTCCGGTGAAAGTGACTCACTTGCACTCCCTGTCAGTGAAAAGAAAGACCGGAAGACTGGTCGCCGACATGTCAGTAGGGATTCTTGAACCCAGCGTCTGGTTTGCACATTGTTGCAGCTCGTCTTTTCTAGATTCCAGACACTCGACACCACCTTCGGCGACAAACACTGCAAAAAAACTCATTAGAGACGCCAGTGTGGGCGATTGTGTGTACTTACTTGCGATTCGGTCGCCGTCTTTGAAACACACGAATTCTTTGAGTTCGTCGAGGATCTTAAGGGTTTGGTTCATCGTGTCTTTCTCCCTGGGATCCATACATGGCTTGATTTTCTCTATGACCACCTCTGCGCACTGGTAAATTTCTGGGTATTTGCGACAGTATTTGCCAAATATTTCGTCCATGGAACCGGTTTTTTTAGCCTCTTCGACTTCCAGTTGAATTTGAGTGGCGTTCATTTGGGCTTCGAGACACGTGCGGAGTTCTTGTTGCTGGTTCTAAAAAAAAATTACTTAATCACTTAGTACTCGTAAATAACAGGTTTCTTTCGAAGGACAAAATAGTTTATTGAGGACAAAGATCATGGGAATTTTGAAAAAATTACTTAAAATTTAAAAATTCTTTATCTCCCAATTCACATACAAAGAAAATTAATGATAAGCTCCAGATAAAAGATAATGATAAGAACTTTCCATTGTCAATAAGTCAAAGTCTTGAAATAGAACTTACTTTGAGGGCCTGGAAGGCTTCTTCTCCTCCTCCGTTTTTCTCACATTTTTCTTTCAACATCCTCTCAACATCCTCTTCAGAGGGTAACTTACTCGCATTAAAATTTTCCAATCCGGGTATATTTTCTTGGAGTTGATTTGTGATATTATTTACATCAATTTGGTGGTCGATTTCGCAAAACACGTGACCTTGAGAAAAATTATAAATTTTCTCACAAGTAATTATATGCAAGAGGACAAAGGTTTAATTTCATGGTTGATGTTTTACTTGTTAATTAATTAGAAATGTCGACTGGAGGGCCGGGTCAGAGTTTAATTGAATGTGAAAAATCACTCACCTATTAGGACCAGGGTCCCAATTATATACAACAGTCGGTGCATTTTTATATGAGTTTATCTACACAGGTGACTCGCTATGACCTCAAATGTTCGAACCACACGAACGACATGGAACGACTAAAACAACTCTCCGCTGTTTCACTTTTATCGCTGTTGGTTCTATTTGTACTTTATCTCCTTGTAACAAAAAGCGAACATTGATCGTTGATGACTTATTTGAACCACTTGGCTTTAATTGGGACTACTGACTTTGTGATTAGGAAGAGAAAAATGCTATTGATTTGCGAGTGGAATTTGCAAATTTTTCATATGAGTTTTTTACTCACTAAACAAAAAGTTTGTTTCTGTCTGTCTGACTTTCCGACGAAACGTCTCACTGAACTTGAACTCTTACTTATATGCATTTCATCTCTCACACTCACAAGTTTATATATCTTTTATCCAATGTGAAAAAAGTCGTGGGAACTTATAATTATTAATTTTTAAACAAATATTAATACGCTCAAAATTGACTAAAAACACCTAATTATGTATACGACCGATAAAATAAAACAACAATGTACTTATTATTCGGAATGCTTACACAGTTTAATACCTACTTACACATGTTTTTTCATTCACGTCACATTAAAATGTTTCGTTTTATTCTTTTTCTTAATATAGACTTGATATTTGAGGTATTTTAAAATGAAAATTTGAAAAGCATTGTGCAAAATTTTGTAAAGAATGGGTAGAATATCGCTGCAAGCGCGTTTAATGCTCAAAACTATTAAGCGCCGATTAACAAATAAATTACTATAATTTAACCTTAATGGCCTTTATTATTTAATTTTTTTCTACTAATAAACAATTTTAAAATTATTCATTTTTATGAACGATTACCTACATATCAACAATCTGACTATACACCAACTATAAAAAAATATTTCAAGTATAAGTTCTAGGGTAAACAATTGGTATGTTTCTGAAAAAATCAACTTTCAAATAAATTACCATCAGTAGGTACCTACTGTACCTACTACTGTACATACCTACTACATGTATTAAATTTTTGTAGTCTTGAGAATAACCTGTATACATCGGGTTGTTTATACATATAATGTACCTAACAAGAATTTATGTAAGTGTTTTGAATGTTATCTTAGTTAAATGAATTATAAATTATTAGGAAGAAAGTTATAAAAATGTAGTATTATGTCATATTTGCTTGAAACAACTGTTTTATTGTAGCTTTTTTCTCTTCCATATAGTGCTCTTACGTTGCTCTAAGTTTGTCGTGAGCACCCAGTAATAACGATATTTTTTTTAAAAACTATTTATTTTTGAGCTATTTGGCTCAGTTGCGTTATTGCCATTTGTTGTTGTTTGAAAAGGGATTTTCTGGCATCGGATTTATGTATTGAAGCAAATTACAATAAATTTAAAATTGTTTTACGAAAATGACACATATCACATAGGTTCATAAATAAAATGTAATACGTACATTGTAGCAAATTTTACAGTTTTTGGAAGACAATATCAAGAATTGTCAGTGTGATGAAAATACCTTGTCTAGATTGTCTAATAAAATGTCAAATTGTTTAAGATCTACCGTAAAGAGTAAGTGGAACGTTGTAAAATGATGCGAAGTTGTTAATGCTGACTTTTAGTTTCGTCCAGAAAAAATTGGTGTCAATCAATATTTAACGCGAAACAGGTGTTCAAAAATTGGTAAATTTCATAGATAACTGACAGATATTGACCTTCTTATTCAAGACAAAATTTATAAAATTTTCAAAGTGCTTTTTTAACCACGTTTTCAGTTAGGCTAATATACGTAATAGATACTTAATTGAATTATGTAAAGTCGATTAGATTAGATAAGGGTTGTACGTGGTTGTACACTGTTGTACCTATGATGTAAGTAAAAATACTATAATAACAACAAGTAGGACTTTTTGCCTTTTAAAAGTTTTTACCAATTACTCGTGCTTAATTTATTAAAAAAACAAAGAATCAGAAATTAAGAATGAATTAAATTTATATTTTTTAACTAATACAGCCTGAGTTAGTTATAAAAAACCTAACCAATTTTCAGACGCAACTCAAAATACATTCTCACAGACAACTTGACTTTTGCAAGTTTGCTGTGTTTGAAAAATTTCGATTATTAAATTTATACATATTAAAGTAGTTGTTGATATGTCAATAATTGAATTCGATAGTGTTATCAATTCCATTTTTTTTCCTTGAATTCAAAATGTACTCAAACAAATAAAAAATGATGGAAACAGATGAGGCGTTTTCCTTGTGAATTACTTTTACAATTTCACCATAAATCTAAAAGAAAATTAAAACTTTTATGTCAAAATAAAGATTAAAACAAAAACATTCTTTATTAGTTTATTATTTATTGACTTAATNAAATTTTTCTATATACATATGTGTAGGTATATTAATTTAAGGTTTTTTCAAAATAACTTACTTTTAGTTAAAGATGTTTTGCGAAAACGTAAAGAAGCACTTTTGCTTTTTTTTAAATTAAATTTATAATATTACAAATTAATCTTAGTTTATTAGTCATTTATTATAACTGATAATAATCATTAATTCCAGAAATAAAATAATCTTCAACTTTGGAAGACAAGTTTCGCTTTTGGATATTGTGCTGCATACCTACAGGCGCTCCATTTATAAGAATTTAAATTTTGTCCGCCTTAAGTAAAAGCAGGCTAGATTTTCAACAGTTTTATTAAATCACAGAGTTTAAATTATAAATCAGTTGACTTGACAGAACGCTGCTGAGGCTCTAGCGAAATATAATGAACTTCGTCCCTACAATCATCAACGGGAATGACCAGATCGGAATAAATACATTTTGGGCCAGTCTTCACTTCCGTAATCATACTTTCGGACCATCTGAATGGCAACAATTTCTCCTAAAACATTTTGAAATCAATTTCCCACTAAACCAATGGCAAAAATTACCTTGAAATAAATTTTCTCATTGTATTTGCGTTTGCTTGAATCGATATTCAAAAACAACGATTCTGTATACCAGACAGGGGTCGTAACTGGTTTAATAAAGCACTTGGTGGTGTATCTTTTAGGGGATGATCCTGTAAAGTCAGTTTGTGACTTCGTCAAGGTTATAATCTCACTCATGGTCCTTCTGAAATAAAGCAATCAAAGGTGAAGTTTCAGGGGAAAAAAATCTCACACTCACACTTTGACATTTTTGTTGATTTTTTCCACAAATAATTCATTGTTTGGGTTAAGTTTAATTTTTGCAGGCACGTATTTGGAGCGATTTTCGATCGCGGTTAAACGTAGGGTCGCCATTTCGAAATTTTTTTGTAAATTTTGTGATTAGATACAATTGAAATAATCGAGAATGGCGATTATTCATGTTTGAATGTATATACCTATTTAAAATAATGGTTAATTGTGGAAGAAGTCGTAAAAATGTGAAAGTAGCGAATGAAATAGTGTAAATTTTCCAGTTGGATGAAAATTGGCTACAATGTAGGCAACCAACAATACGAGTCCAATAAAATAGGAAGTTTTCACGACAAAATAAATATAAATTACCGTTCTTTGTTTTCACAGTCGGATTGTGCTTGTTTATCACAACGTCTTGTTTCTTTAACCTCTTTTCTTTGACCTTAAACAATACAATATAAATAAATATAATCAGTCAAAATTGTTACAACAAATGTTAATGTTAGGTTTTAATGTCAGAAATCAACAATTTTCTTATCTTATCATTTTGCGATTCAAATACGACATTGATCATTAAAATTTCAAGGCTGTTAAAGTTTCCATTCAGCGTGGGTTAAATTTGAAAAATATTGGTTGAGATCGCCGCCTCCGGTTAGTGCTTTGTTAGTATTGGCCGCCCCTGACTTACCGCCATCCCCGGAAAATTTGCCGGCGTTTTCCTCGTGCACTAGTTCACTATGAAACTTTTCGCATTCGATGAAATGAAAACTGTTGATTTTCATGAATTCCGTTTTATTGGGTATTTCGTTTTTCCACTTCATTTTGCGCTGGAGATTTTATTAAAGCGTCCGTTTACGAGCGTTAACAAATTCAAACAAGAGTCGGGAGCAACAAATGACCTCATCGGTTTGTCATCATTTCGCGTCATCGTCGCTTTCGGTGTATTACTACAGCGGGATGGGAAAGTCGCGATTTCCTGACGAGGTATCAATCTACAAGGAAAACAACTGTCCGCGGAGGAAATCGGTTAATGTAATTTAGTCAATCTAAAGTCAATATTTCCACGAGGCAAACTAACGTAAGTACGTCATAAGACAAACAGTCTAACAAAGCCGTGACTCGAGAAACGAAAGAGTATAATGAGGAGGAGCACTGGAAAATCCGTTTTTATTTTTCTCATCCACTTAACGAATTAGGACGGAGACTTTTGTGTGTTCATCCGGTGCTTACTTGCCTTTTCTGTTTGTTATATCAAAAATTTCCCAGCGCATTTTCGATAGCGGGAGATGTTCGATTCGTAATCTTGAGAGTGAGTAAACCGCGACGGTTTCCCCTCGTTTTTTCAATGTTCGGAATAGTCACATTGTTCCGGAAGAATATCCGGAAGTAGGAAAGTTTGATGGGCGCAGTTGATAACATCGGATAAGCGAAGATGCTCCCGTTTAACAAAAAAAACTATTGTATGATTGGTGATCTAACCATTAATTAGTAATGATCCTAAAATTTAACTAACGTAATACGTATTTTACTTATTTAATTTTTTTTTAGTAAATTGAGTAACAAAAGCATATTACTAAAATCTAGTTTAAAGGTCTTTCTATACATTTGCATTAACAATATTAAAATTATAAAATTAAAAAAAATAAATAAAGAGAACAATTTAAGAAAATCCCATGAAGTAAGCTTTTCTTTAATAATTTTGCAGCTGGGAAGTATCTTTTTCACCTAATTGGTCCACCTGATATTTTTTCCCGGACTGTTGAATTTACAAGCGCATAAATAATGTATGCACCACGTCCGTCATGTGGTATTTTACTACACTCGTTTAGAGTCGTAAGCTACCAGGGCTCGTCTAGCGACTCGTATATGCTTACCCATCAGATTATTTCTTGTTATTATTCGTATTACATAAAATTATATAAAATATTAAACCTTGGAATAAATTGCCGACTCGTGTTTCGACCGCAGTGTTTGAGTAAAGTCTAATGAGCTTATATTCTACGTTGTTCTAAGTACTAAGTAGATTCCAAACTAGGTAAAGGCATGCAATAAGAAGTCCACCAAATTATTTTTAATGATACTTTATTATATATTTTGTAAATCTATTACAATGAACAAATCTATTGTTGTCAATCCAAAATCTGAATAATTAAATTACTTACCTTCATACATCATACATTTGCCAATTTTGTGATAGACAGGTTCGTCATTGTATAAAACAACAATACTTTTATTTTAATTAAACTATTTGTTTTATACAGGGTGTCTCACAGAGTATGGTATACAGTATGTCCCTGGATTGAATTTCCAAGAGGAAAAAAAATATCTTTGATTTTACGCCAAAACTGCAAAGGAAAAACATTTTTTGCTTTACCTAAAACGAACAAATCTCTACTTAAAACTTTATTATTCTGATTCAGTGGCTTTTTTTGTTATTTAACTTGCGTAAACTCATTTGTCAAAGTGACATCATTGTTAAAATAATAAAACCCCCAATGTGATACACTGGCGGCAACGGAATTTTGGCCATCAAATTTTTTTATGTCAGTTCAAAAGATGTCAATGTAAGTCACGCTTTATTGTCATTATGATTGACGTTTGAAACCAAAATCTGAAAGTTTTAGTTGAAATTTACTTTTGGCGTCGATTTTTCGAAACAATAATGCCAGCAATACGTGTTCTTATATAAGTTCAATAAATTATTTTGATTTGTTGTCATTTTTTCTCTAGCTATCAGGATAAAAATTACAAAAACCGAAACTGAGGTTTGTTGGCTAAGGCCCGTTTTACATTTTTATGTGAGTCGAATGACAAATCGTCCAAAATTCCGTGTCCGTCAGTGTAGGACTTTAAAAGTCCAAAATCAAGAGAAAAATAAACTTAATTACAGATTTGCTCGTTTCAGGTAAATAAAAAAATGTTTTTCCTTTACAGTTTTGGCGTAAAAACAATGGTATTTTTTTCCTCTTGTAAACTCATTCCGTGGACATACTGTATATTCAAATTCTGCATTACGCAAACACTGAACGTATCTTTAAACCAAAAATTAGTGAGAAATTAGTGACTTCAATGAAACCACTGAAATGCACTATTAAGGACCGCTGACATTGGTATTAAAAGTGATGAATAAAAACGGGAAGAGGTACACAAATGAGGTACACAAATAAAATGCATAATCTAGACTCAAAGTCGAAAAAACTAAGTTTTTATTTGTTGGATGTACAAATGATAAAATCGCCTCATTCAACAAAATAAAAAGTACTTACCGTGACTTTGACATTGACCCAATTTTAAACCGAGGCCACATTTATAAAAATTGTTCAAAATGTCTGCCTGCGTTATGTATGCGAGCCCGAGCACGACGTAACCAAGATCCTTGCACTCTGTCGAAAACACCAGACATGTCGCGAATTGTTTGGGCAGCATTTTTCACTCGCAAGCGCAATTCCTCCACTATGTCAACAGGACTAGCATACACTAATTGTTTCATATGGCCCCACGCAAAAAAATCGCATAGATTTAAATCTGGAGAGCGAGGCGGCTACGGCACAGGTCCACTACGTCCTAACCATTTATTTGAATAATTAACGTTCAACAGCTGTCTTGAACTAAAATCTGACCACTGACAATTCATAGTGTCAACAAAAAAACACTCAAATCAAATTAATAAATTATTAGCCATTTTCAGCGGTTCTCGAACGGTTTTGGCAGCATTTTCAAATTGATCTTTTACCCACACGGTTAAACTTAGAACACTGGATTTTTCTTTTAAAAATGCTTTACTTGCGGATCAACTACACGTTTAAATATACATCACACTCTGTGAGACAGCCTGTATATTGATTTGACCAAATTTTATTTTACCCTAACATTATTTCAGAATATTAAAATTTGATACTAGGTATTCTTTCAATAAAAACTTATTTTCTAAATCGAACTGCTAAGTACAAGGTGTATCAAGTTTTAGGGCCCGCGCAAAAATAAATATTTGTAATTGACTAAAAAAAGAATTTTGCTAGTGTAAACGATAGAGAATTGCGGTAATTGATGATCAATTGATGTCAATTTCTTGACAAAAGAAAAAGGTCCGCAATGACATTTATGACGTACCCGGGCTCTCTTGTGAAGCCTCCGCTCTATTGTCAATGCATTAGCAGAACATCAACCCAAACTTGGCCATAAATTACCAGAATTCCAAATTTTCAATATTAAAATGTTAATTACTCAAAATCTATCAACTTTTACATTATTCAATTTTTACAGTTACTACTAGAAAAAATCAAGGAATTTTATCCTATAGAAAAGATTCTAATTTTTTTTTCCAAATTTGGTTTTTAGGGTCACACTTATGTACATAGGTACTCTAAAAATTGTGAAAAATACCAGAGCATCAAATTGAAGTCTATATGATCCTCTATCGTTTCCAAAAGCATTTTTTTAATCAATTAGAAATATTTATTTTTGCGCTTGCCCTAAAACTTACTAAAACTACTAAATTTGACAATGATAATAAATTAGCAATTAATTAAAATATTTTTTTATCATAAGAAAACTTTGAATGTTTAATTTGGCCCCCTTTCCCAATGTCAATTTCCTCAACGTTTACAAAATAGCTCAACAGGAGAGGGCTACGAGAATAGCATGAAGTGGGACGCCAAACACTAAACTATAGATAGCCAGGCGGAAACAGAATGGAAGTTCAGGACCATCCTATCTCTCCGTATAACACAGTTGAATTTACCTCACAATGTATTATTTGTCGTTAAAAATCATTGGCTTTTGTGTCTATTTGAAATTTCAAACTACCAATACCGACTAGCTTTTCCAATATCGGAAAGTTCAAAGTAATCAAAGTGTTATATTGCTTCCAATTTTATTAGCATATTTAGTGGTGGCAGAAGCAAGAATTAGCCGGAATTATAAAAGAACTGAGTTTTTCGTTTTGTTCGTTCACAAAGCTGGACTTTTTGCTTTCTCCTTTCAACTTATTTTAACCGTTTGAAGCTTACCCCAGACACCTGTTAATGACTGCTTCAACGAAAGGCTCAGAACTTCACCAAATGTTCATGACAACGGACGGTGGAAGTCTTAAAGTGGCTTTACTATTGTAACGCGGTTAATTTAGTTGCGTCAAAAATCTTTAGTTTTAATCAAATACTTTTCCTGTGTAAATTTCACGCTAAATCCAAACCTGTTCCGCCATAAACTCTGTCTCGAACGGCGAGAAAATGCAATAGTGCAACCGAGTGTTTAACGATAAAGGTAAAACTATAAAGTCAGAAGTGTATTCATAGCTCTATTATCATAGATGAATTTGATAAACCTCACGTTCCTGACGCGCCGTTGGCCCCAAGAAAAATCGCTTTGATCTAACTTTACGTTTAGGTATAACGATGAGGGTGAAAAGCTTCTGTTGATGTATTCATGAAAGTCGACGAATAGACCGAGCTCTGTTTCTTTCAGCCCTTCTGAATGACCACACAATGCACCCCATTACGGTCGATCGTCGGATCGACTTTTTAATACAACTTCACTGTTATACGAGCTTTTTCGAAGTTTGCCCTAATATGTCAACGGCAAGAGGACAAACGACACTTTTACGCATGTATGTGAAAAGGCTATTACGAACATTTTCGATTTTTCTTTTATTTTTGACACTTCAAGAAACATAAACCTTTAAAAGCTAAAGTATTCAATTTCGCGAGCTCTACGAAAATTAAATTTACTTGTACGGTCACAAAATTACAATTTTATATATAAATAGTATTTGAAAGTACAATGGCAGAAATAGTACAGAAATTTTTTCCAATATCTACCATTAAAGTGTTTGTTTACATCAGCTTGACTCAGCGGCAGCTTATGTTATTTACTTTATTTTAAAATATGTGCAATATAATAAAGTATTAATTTAATAAGTCTAATAAAAAAAAACGTTCTTTTTTATAGTCAAAATTTATAGAATACGACCGCACGTTATACACTTTAAATA